CCATCTTTTAGTCAAGTCGAGAAGTAAGGGAATCAGACAATAGAATTGTCTGGTATGAAGAAAGTACGCTTTCCGAGAATTGGGGGAAATTTCGAGAAGCAGTCAATAGAGTATATAAGCCGGAGCCATCGACAACTGAGACAGTTTTTGAAATTTGAATATACCGCGTGGAAATTGAAAATCGGACAATTTGGTGAAGGAATCTTATAAATAGTTAGTTGTTGTGTGTTATAAGTTAGTAATTGTGTATAAAGTGAGAAAATAAATTCGTTAAGTATTTTATCGTGAGTTTAAATTAGTGGACCCACGGAATCCGTAACAATATGAATTAGTTGAACTTAATAATCATATTTAAGTAATGTGGTTGTATAATCATATTTAAGTAAATGGTTATCGAACTCAAACTATGGGGTGAGAAAATTAAAATGAAAGTTTTACACGTACCAATTTAAAAAAAAAGTTAACGATGTTTATATTTTGTTTATGCTAATTCTCTTACATGTAGTTTTTTGCGCAGAAAAAATATTTCATTTATTTTTTAAAGTAAATGCCAGTAAAAGTAAATATAATTTTTAAATAGTAATATAAAGCACCCAATATAAATAATTTTGATTTCTAATTTTTTATTTATATTTTCCTTCCATTACACTGCATGCTTAGAAAATTAATAAATGTTTATATTTCATGATTTTAAAATTTGTTGTTAATATAACAAATTAGTTCTGTAATTATTATTATTTAATAAACCACCGTTGCCAAAAAATTTAGAGACTATATTATTTTTAAATAGGATCTAATATAAATAATTTTGACATCTAATTTGTTGTTTATATTTTGCTACTACTTAAAAGAAAATATTTATATTAAATGATTTTAAATTTTGTTGTTAATAGGTATAACAAATTATTATTGTTATTATTATTTATTAAACCAGTCTTTGCTAAAAAACATTAAAAATAATTTTCCTACATCCAAAATAACAAGTATTATTGCAGTGTAACAACAGAATATTAATAAAAAAAATGCAGAATAGATAGTATGTCTTTATATTCCCTAATTAACTAAAGCCAAACAATAATATTCTTTGCTAATATCAACTAATACCAAAATATGGCAACAGCGCCTTTCATAATGTATTTTCTGTGTAAATACTAGCACCTCAATAAAAAAATAATGTGTCCTTATCTATATCTGACTCCGCAAAAAATCAAAGATGCCGGCTCTTTCATAGCATTGCCACAGCATTGCCATCGACCGCTGTCGGGTTTCTCGGAAAGAAACCTACGTCGCCAGGCGAGAACTAAAATTCAGTTAATATTTTATTATAATCGATCCTGACGAATGAATGAATTTCATAAATGAATGAATTTTATAAATGAATGGTTTTTACTGCCGAATTACTAGAATACAATATTTCAAGGCAGATGACGGATCTATTCGATAATTTTTATTCGAATAGTTTTCAACGAATGTTTTCTTACTAACTATCGAATTATTCGAATGAATTGCAACTATCGAATGTTTCGATAGTACTCATTCGATAGTTCCCACTACTAATGTAAATGGTCCAATACATTGATGTGCTATATTTTGATTTTAAAGCAGTAATATTATGTTGATATCTTTAAATAAGAAGACTAAGGAAGGAGCATATCAAAAATCTTAGGTACACCGCGATGGGCCTCAAATATGGCCGACTTAAATTCCGGTTTATCAGTGTCGTTCTAATTTTATTTAAAAAATGTAAACTATGATGTAGGGTAGACGTGGGGTAGACTCAATAATTTGTTGTTTTATTTTACGTTGTGAATAAATGTTGGTAGTTGTTAAAATTGTTATAAAAATAGATAAGTTATAATAAGTATTTATTAACACAAACATCCGATACGCTACTGAAGCAGGTAAGTCAAATTAACGTATCTAAATTCTTTCATCTAATCTTTGACAAGTAGTAAATAAAAGCAAAAATGCAAGAAAAAATATATAATTAGTTAATTTAAGTAAATTTCATAAATGATCGGTTTACTACACGTATGTATATTACATAGTCACTTACTAGCGAAAAGTTGTTCCATTATTTCACTCAATATTTGCCCAGATCTACCGCACGCTACACAACCAACTATTTTAGAGTCTTTTTCGATAAATCGCGATAGTGTCACTGTTAATTTAAGTTCCATCCTATTCAAAGGTTGATATACTCATATACATGGTGATCCGAACTGTATTCTGGAAACTTCGGTAGTATATTCTGCAGATAAAACTAATTAAAAAATTCGTATAAATGTATGTCCTAAAATGCTTAGTTTCGGAGATATAGGGTGTAGAAGTTTTTTTTTTATTTCGATTTTTTCCAAATAATTTCTGTTAGGTTAGGTAAGTAACGCCAATATTTAGATGAAAATTGGGAGTTTTTTGACATGAGAAATTTGATTTTGATGTCAATATGACTCCTATTTGTAGGGGGCGCCACCTACATGTGTTTTAATTGTTTTGAAGAGTAAACTTTTTGTGTCCGTATCTGTATAAAACTACTGCGTGAAAAAATATACATTTCCGTGATTTTTTACGTAAAAAATGTCTCTTGGTAAAAATTGCTGCCAAGCAACCGTTCTCGAGATATTTAGAATGGAAATAGTCAATACATGTCATTCTTGACAAAAAAATAACATGTTGTGTAGATAGTTATTTGACCGAAATGATAAATTTGGGAACCTTTTTTTTTAATTAATCATGATAAAACAGTTTCTGTTGAACTTTTGGCACAAAAACATTTCAAATTTATGATTTCAGTCTAATAACTATTTAGTCAACATGTTTAATTTATGACAAGTAGAAGTCATATTGACATCAAAATCAAATTTGTCATGTCAAAAAACTCCCAGACACCAATTTTCATCCAAATATTTACGTTACTTCATAAATTATTTGGAAAAAATCGAAATAAAAAAGAAACTTCTACACCCTATCTATCTCCGAAACTAAGCATTTTAGGACATACATTTATACGAACTTTTTTACTTATTTTTATCTGCAGGATATGCTGCCGAAGTTTTTTTGGAAGAAGTGGCTTTTTTAAGTTATAGAAAATAGGAGAGGTCATTATTTTCATTTTTCTACCACATTAAGGCGTTAAAATGTGGTTAGATCTTTGTTTTTCACATTTATTTAACCACTCACTAAAGATGAATAAGTATTTTTTGTTGAAAATTAAACTCCTCGCCTCTTCTATTTTTTTCACACATTTAAGTAACTATATACCTAGGGTACTGTATGATGCTGTATAACGAACATATACAGAGAAGACCAGGCTACTAGTAACATAGCAAGTTGCCGGACGAATTTACGTTTACCCGATTGCGTTCATACTCGAGATTCACTATGCCGGCTGGTCAGGCAGTAGGCAGTTGCAGTTGTGCTTGGACGGGTCTGTCGTGACAGACTAGGAATACGACGCGAGGAGTGCCTAGTATTTATTATTTTCATTTTAAGTGTTTACCTTCACTTAAGGTAACGTTTAAAATAAAAATACTTAAATATTTATTATTTGAGTGTGTTTGCAAGCAAAACTAAAAATAAATAAATTTTTACGACCGCCTAGACAGAAGCCTAGGCGGCCGTAAAATCCCCGTCTGACATTGGCTAACATATTAGGGCTAATAGTTTGGAAAGCCTCTCGTATTTTTACTTGAAGGTCATCCAGATTATTAGCCCTATTATGACCATACACTTTCGATTTTACATAACCTCACAAAAAAAATCATTGGGAGAAAGATCTGGTGATCTAGTGGGCCACAAAATAGTTCCATATCCACTAATTAAACGGTTGGGAAAAGTATTGTTCAAATATTCTTGAACAATACGGGCATTGTGGGCAGGGCAACCATCTTGTTGAAACCAGACATTGTGGAATCTTTCGCATTTCTTCAATCAGTTAAATTACCCTCTATAAAAAATGGACCAATCATATGCTCTCCTACAAAACCACCCCAAACATTTAGCTTTTGAGGATATTGCGTGCGTACCTCAAAATATCTGTGCAAATTTTTCCGAGACCAATATCGTACTTGTGTAGGGTTATGACGACTCAATAAAGGAAAACTTGATTCGTCGGTGAAAACTATACGCCGAATAAAGTTTTCATCTAAATTGGCCTTTCCCATTACAGATTCACATAACGTCATACGCCGAAATTGGCCTTCATGGAAAATTTATTTTTTTTTATTTATTTTTTTTTGCGCGCTTTATGCGAGTTTTGCGCGCTTTATACGATCGGTATCCATTCTTTTTAAGGACTCATTTAATCGTGTTAGGTGAAGAATCTGTTACCCCAGCAATTTGATTACTTGAAAACGTGGGATTTTGATCCGCGGTAGCACAAATGAACACTTGCTTTAACTCCTGTTCTTCATTAATCAACACATCAGGCTTTTTGTGTTTTTGTGGGTATACGCACCCATGTGTTTCAAAATTATTAATAACTCTTGATATAGTAGGAAAAGATGGAATTGGCCTGTTTACAAAAGTTTGTGGAAAAATCATTTGTATATCCTGATAAGACCTATTTTGGAAATACCATTTTACAATTTGAATTTTCTCACGAACTTCGTAAACATCCATTATTTCACTTAAAAAATAAATTTTACACGGGAGCTGTCGCGAGAATCTTTGTATTTGTTTTGGCTATTAAAACACGAATAAATACAAATTCTGAAACATTCTTATCACATATCTACCTATTTTTATTTTATAGTATTTTTCGCCTGCTTTTTATCCGGCGGACGGGTATACGCTAATTTGTCCGGTTCTGCCTATGTTACTACTACGGTGGTCCGGTCTGTATATACCACGAGACCCGAGTATATAATAGTTTATAGCTTGATGTGGAAGCCTGTATCTATGTCTTTACTAGCCTTATAGGAGTATTACTTGTATGTAATTCATCAATCGCCCAATAATCCCAGTAGTATTTTTATTTACTCTAAATATATTATTATTAGATGCTCAATCTGAAAATGCTGATTATTCAACCCAAGAGGTTTCAAGAATGTTTTATCAAGTTTCAAGTTGATGATTTATTGACGAAGAGTGACACAGAGAAAGGATTAACACAATTAGCTGATTTAAAGGTTGAAGAAAATAATGAGGAGGTATTTGTGGATCAATTAAAAAGTATAGGTTGTCCAATGATTGATGAATTCATTGAAAACATAATGGCCTTCTGTCATTTTAACTTTAATATAAGTTGATTTTTCTGTCAGTTTGCCCTCTTCTCTCGTTGGACAGACTTTAGAAGAGAATATCTATAAAAATAAATGTTTTGTGTGTTTGTATTTTAGGAAGAGGAGGTAATTCAAGAAATTCCGCAACTAAATGACTTGCAAAACTCGGTAAACCTTCTAATTCAACAGACTCAGTTAGAAAATAGTAATCCGAAATTAACCCTTATGACTCCTGACGATTTTACTACTTCAGGAAAAAACTCGAAATCGAGCAGGTGAGATAATAAAAAATGTTAAAAATACCATTATTACCATTATATTATTATAACATATTTTTTTCTTATTACTTTTATGTTTTTAGTATCCGCAATTCCATGACAAACGAAAATATTTCGGAAGAACCTGACAATAAGCTAAATGAAAACAATGTGAAGGATTTTGAAAAACCTCAAAAAGAGAACTTTGCTAGTGCTGGTTCAAGCCCCAGTAGAGAGGTACAGGAAATTCTTTCTTTAACTAATTCTTCTACAGGTTATCCAACTCAAGAATATTTCAACAATCTGGCCAACTTGGAAGTCGATGTAAGTGTATATTTATTGTAAAACTGTTTTAATTATTAAAAGTAAAAGGTAAATTAAATATTACACTTAAATATATACACTAAAAATATACTTTGAAAAATATCGCTCTTCCTATTTTAGGTAAACAATTTTGTCATTATTTTCAATTCAATTAATAAAATAATTTTAGGGTGAACAGGAACAGCCACAAAAAGATTATTCGGCTGAAACCGACAACGGTATAATTTATCAGGATTCGTTGAGCTGGCCCAAAATTCCCCTAGTAAAGCAAAACGACGCTATAAAACAAGTAACTGGTACTAACGAACTAAATCACCAGGATTTGGAGACGGTCTACATGAGAATAAATTCTTTAGAGCTAATGCTTACGGAGCAAAAAGTTCTTTTACAACAACTTCATCAAGATATTAAAGCGACAAATCAGAAGGTAAGGATTGTTTTACATAGATTTACCAGAACATGTCTGTTTATACTTTAAGTCCAAATGACGACAACTTTACTACCTTTACTACTTTTATTATTTGACATTACATATAATAATATTTTGAGTAGGGATGGGCAATGATGGATTTTACCTATCGATATAGCATAGGGTCGAGAAAAAAAAACGGCGTTAAAGACGGCTGAGGAATGACAATCGATAATTTTGACGAGGTCAAGTTCTAGACGTCGTTTGCTTAGCCCGTACCCTTCTTTATTTTTTAATGGAAAGCCAGTTAGCCTTAAGAAGGTTGTGATTTATGTTTATATTGAATATAAATGATTTTAAATAGCTTAGTTTAAAATTCGAGAAAAAATATTTATCATTTTACGCCAAAATTGTCATTGATTGGCATTTCCCAGCGGTCTTTGACTATCTATAATATATCGATAGTTATCAATTATGATAACTATTGATATTTATCGATATATCGGGAAAAAAATTCCATAGCTAATTTTGACTATATTTTTTTGGTTACTATACCGGGTGTGTCTCAAAAGTGGGTCACCCCTATAACTTTTTTATTTTTCCAGATAAAAAAACGAGATTTGATATATTAGTATATGACATAAATTAGTATTGATTGACCTATTCAGTTCTTTTCGGCCACTTCCTGTTTCACCGGAAATGAGTACAACTTTTGATTTTTAAATGGTACACTCGGTATTTTTTTACTTTATTCTTTAGAAAATGACTCTCTGAATAGAATGACATATCATATGTCAACACTTTTGACATTTTCGCTTAACACAAAATTGAATTTTAAATTTCAATCTAGAGTACCAGGCTGTGTTAAAAACTAAAAACACTAACTTTTATTCAAGGAGCCTTGGAAAAATAGATCTGATAATATTTTTAGTGGCTTGTCCTGGCCGGTTAAAAGATGCCCAAAACATATTTTTAATCATATCTCAATTTTTAACCGACCATACAAACAGGTATGGTAGGCTATTAAAATCGGCAAAAAAAAGTTTTTTTAATTTTACTCAAAATGAGTTATTTGGGTCATAAATGACCTAAATACAAAATATTTTTTCATGGTGTCCTTCTGTCTGTCTGTCTGTAACACGATAACTCAAAAACCGCTAAACCGATTTTAACCAAATTTGGCACAAAAAATACTGTGGCACCTGAGAATCTGGCCATTAGTTTTTGGTGGGGGTGGGGGGTATGGGAGGGGGTTAAAAATTTTAAAAAATCGTAACTCCAATATTACAGTAGCTAGCGAAACGCGGTTTTCAATTTAAGATTAGGAATAATATTTGAAACAAAATTTGTAATAACATCAAAATCAGTCAAAGTCGAAGTTTTTGAGATAATTGAAACTAAAAGAACTGCCTAACAACTTTTTATTAACATATTTTAGTAGGTGGATATACGTGCCTCCCGGCGCCAATTTTTTCAAATGGAGCGAGGGTGGCTCTTTAGCATATTTGGAAAAAGCATTTTTTTATGAATAATCGAATGTATGTTGCAATTTCAAATAAACCATATTCGAAAATGTCAAAAGTTGAGATATGATGTCATTCTATTCAGAGTGTCATTTTCTATCGACTAAAGTAACACGATACCGAGGATGCCATTTAAAAGTTGTAGTCATTTCCGGTTAAACAGGAAGTGACCGAAAACAATTGAATACTTCAATCAATCCTGATTTATGTCATATACTAAAGTACCAAATCTCGAAAAAAAAATAAAAAAGTTATAAGGATGCGCCACTTTTAACACACACCCGGTATAATTATATCACAATGCTCTAGATTGGTGGTGCGACAACTAGCGTGGACAGAACAGAATTTGTTCACGAATTGGATGCTGCAATGTCAAAACAGCACTTGCAAATAGCACAATTGTTGGAAAATTTAGTTCAGTTACAGAAGGCAAAAGACAGAGAAATGCAGGTACATATATTTGATAACGTTTATATAAACAGTTCTAGAATTAAATGAAACTTTTTTAGGAGAACATCTTATCTGCAGTGAATCAAATGCTGACGAAATCGATTTCTGATAAGCTGCAGCATACTTTGCAACATGAAATTAAACATTCAGTATTGCCAACTGTGCATCAGTTAGTTGAATCATATAGACATCAAATTGATACACAATACAACAATAAGTTTACAAATATCGATACAATGGTTCGAGAAAATTTTGCCAAAGTTATTAGCAGTAAGGTAAAATACAAATACTATAAATATTAATCTATACTAATATATAAAATCCTTAAGTGACTGACTTACTGATTAATCACGATTCTGTTCAAACCACTCAACGTAAGAAGCTCAATTTTGGCATACAGGTTGATTCGAGGGTGTAGAGGTTCGATAAGAAGGGATTTTTCGAAATTCCAGTTCCAAGGGGGTGAAACCACCCCTCAAATACAATATTTCTTATTTAAAAAACGGTGAAGTTTCCGAAAAAACGCTTAAATACGTATATTTTATTTTGTTTTTTTACATATTTTAAGATTTTTTACAAATGTATACCGGGTGTTTCGAAAAATCTGGCGTCATTCATTAATCACGATCCTGCTTAAAGCGCCTGACGTAAAAAGCTGATTTTTGGATAACTTTAGGGTGTAGAGGTTCGATAAGAAGGGATTTTTCGAAATTCCAGTTCCAAGGGGGTGAAACCACCCCTCAAATACAATATTTCTTATTTAAAAAACGGTAAAGTTTCCGAAAAAACGCTTAAATACGTATATTTTATTTTGTTTTTTTACATATTTTAAGATTTTTTACAAATGTATACCGGGTGTTTCGAAAAATCTGGTCATTCATTAATCACGATCCTGCTTAAAGCGTCTGACGTAAAAAGCTGATTTTTGGATAACTTTAGGGTGTAGAGGTTCGATAAGAAGGGATTTTTCGAAACTCGAATTCTAAGGGAGTGAAACCATCCCTCAAATATTAGAATATTTTTTTATTTAAAAACCGGTGAGTTTTTCGGAAAAACTCTAAAACACGTATATTTTATTTTGTTGTTTTACATATTTTAAGATTTTTTAAAAAATTATACAGGATTGTTTCATAAAATATGACCATTGAAGTGTATAAACCTCCATAGAAGGAACAAAACACCATTGTATTGTACCTCTTCCTTAGTCTGTATATCCAATGAAAAGTGTACCAACCAAGTTTTTTGTCGTTTTTAACTACTTTGATTTTGCAATTATGATATCGGTATCATCGTTTTACGCGTTAAAATCCCGGCCAAAAAAATAAATTTTGAAGAGATAATAAAACATTCTTAGGCGATTATTATGTTAAGCATGTATTGATTTTTTTTAGTCTTTAACCGAATCGATAAGCGTCTCTGTGGTAAGCCTTATCGCACCGACTTTGGACAAATGCTACCGCGACATTATAGCCCAATCTCTGCTGCCATCCTGGGAACGAGTGTGTGGTCAAATGTTTCAACAGATCAATGAAACATTCACCAAAGGTACCAAGGAATGTGAGTACGATTTTTAAATGTCGAAAACCATATATCATGTTATAATTTTTAAATCTATCAGAACAAGTGTACATGTATATTTTAGCCAATAGGTATCTCCCTAAATACTAGTTTCAGAAAAAATATTAGGGACAGGCCACACTGTCACTGTTATAGAAAAATTAGAAAATGTTGAGTACATGTATCATGGTGTTTAAATAATAATTAAATTTGATTTTTAAATAAAGTATACTATTATTTTTGTTTCCATTAGATACCGCATCTGTAGAAACTTATATGGAAAGGCAGAGAAAAGTTCAAGAGAAGGGTAAAGATCTCATCACACAGATGCAAAGTGTATCTGATAATATGAAAGGAAATGCCGATAAACTGTCAGAAATAGTGAGCTCAGAAATTCAGAAGCAGTTTGGTTTAGTTTTTAAAAAGTAAGTGATGCATGTGATATACATGGTAGACACTAAAGTAACCAGATGCCCTTCATTATGACCTTTGAATAAGAAGACTAAGGAAGGAGCATATCAAAAATCTTAGGTCCACCGCGATGGACCTCAAATATGGCCGACTTAAATTCCGGTTTATCAGTGCCGTTCTAATTTTATTTAAAAAATGTAAAACTGTGATGTAGTGTAGACGTGGGGTAGACTCAATAATAGAGAACAACGGCATACGGTCGAATCGGCCGCTGCTGGCACGTATACGTAGACGTAGAGAATCTTTTACGTGCATAAAAAATAAAAAATATAAGAAATGCGCATGCGTACGTAAACGTTTACGTGTTTGTAGGCCGACTCGACCGTATGCCGTTGTTCTCTAATATGTTGTTTTATTTGACGTTATGAATAAATGTTGGTAGTTATTAAAATTGTTACAAAAATATATAATTCTAATAAAAATAGATAAGTTATAATAATTATTTATTAACACAAACATCCGATACGCTACTGAAGCAGGTAAATCTGGTAAATCAAATTGACGTATCTAAATTCTTTGACATCTAATCTTGGACAAGTAGTAAATAAAAGCAAAAATGCAAGAAAAAATATATAATTAGTTAATTTAAGTGAATTTCATAAATGATCGGTTTACTACACGTATGTATATTATATAGTCACTTACTAGCGAAAAGTTGTTCCATTATTTCACTCGATTTTTGCCGAGATCTACCGCACGCTACACCACCAACTATTTTAGAGTCTTTTTCGATAAATCGCGATAGTGTCACTGTTAATTTAAGTTCTGCCACAATTTCCATCTAGATTTACTACTTTTATACAACTATCAGTAGTAGAATAAATAATAAATAACATAAAATAAGCTCCGTAAAGACTGACAAATCCATAAAATTTCAAATTCAAATGTGTCAAATGAATCGTCAAACAGAACTGTCAATGATCCCCACCCCAGAGTGCTTTTTCCGCCCACCATGCTTGAATACATGGATAGCATTATGCCCCTTCCTTAGTCTTCTTATTCAAAGATTATGACGGACAGTCCATTATTCAGACGCGATGTCCGTCCTCAAGAGTTGTCCGTCAAAAGGAAATTTAAAATTATGTTGCATTAGGAATCTATGTTTATTAACTATGGTTACTATGTTGCGTAATCATTTTGTTGTTGTATATGCCAGTTGTACAATGGTATAGTTTGTCTAACGATTCAGGGAATATTCCGGCAGATAATATCCAAAAAATGGCAGAAAATACAATTTACCTGTGATTTAAAATAATAGACACGAGTGGATATAACTATAGTTCAAGTTTAGATTATTCTTCTCTTCTAAATTGTTTTTATTTGCCTTTAAAACAATACGTCAGCGATGATGGTATTCCTACTTGGCCTTTGAAATTATTCTGATATAAAAGTCCTTATTTATCCTTTTTGTTCATGTCAAGCACTGCATATTTTGAAACCATAATCTGTTCCGTAATTTGGCGAGTTTTTTTTTCAGAATCAAGATATTCTAATATTTTAGATTTTTCGGCGAGTGTAAGAATCTTATGTGCTCGTTTGATTGGAACTATTACGCGTATGATTTTTTTTTGCGCCCGAATTTCAGGGGCAAATGTTTTAAAATGGCCGAATAATAGCCGTGTCCTGATTACTGGAGTGCTTGTTCTAGAGAGTGTCCGGACTATTGAAGTTATACTGTAGATGTTTTCTGAAGCTCATTCAGACTTTTTTATGTAAAAATTATATAATGCGTCAATTGGTACTACTCTTGAAAAATGTTTGCAATTTTTTTGCAGCTCGCCTGCCTCCGACATTGGTTGACTCAGTATCTGGTCACTTTAGTAGACACAATAAAAAGTTTGCAACAAACAGCAATATTATGTATTATTGAGTTGTATATAATATCATTTTTAATTAATAATTTCAGCGTCCAAGACAAACTAACGAACACCTTAAAAGAAACTGTCACGTTAGAAATTAAACAGGGTTTCAAAAGCCAGGCGGCAGCTTTGGAAGAAGGAGTTATCAATGCCGTAAGATCTAGAGCAGTAACGCCAGCTCCGCATGCCGATTCTCATGTATGTTTTAGTTATAGTAATAGTTAGGTTTAGTAGATAGTGAACGCATTAATGTGCTTTTTCTCTTTTATTTACTAGCGTTTGCTGATTTTTTTTAATTATCGCGCATTACTATAGCTCCGTCTACACATGACGTTTTAAGCGAAGGTCGTCTACAGAAATTTCGTCAGTGGTGACAGGTAAAATGTTATGTATAGACGGGGCTTAAGCTTAAGATAAAAAAACACTGTGAATGGCTCAGTATTGGCTCAATAGTTTCTTCCTAGTTTCTATATTTTTCTTTCAGTTTTTTATATACAAGGTCTAAATAAATAAGTGCGAAAATATTTGGGAGGTGATTTCTTTAAAAAAGGTGGTTTTAATTTTAACCAAATTTAAGCCTAAGGAGATTCTAAAGAATAATGCTTTTTATAGCTATAATAAATATCTTGATACAAATGTGTAATTGATGTAGTTGTACATGTTATTTTATTTTTTTGTCTGTATTTTACTTTTATTTTTTTTTTAAGTATACCGTGCTGGCAACTTTTACTTTTGGGTCGGTATTTACATGTGTGGAAGTAAATCGCGTAGGGATCTTATTAAGTCGGAGTGAGAGAAATACGACGGTGTGCTGTTGCGGCGTTGCCGGTATGCCTTTCCCTATCAGCTAAAGTAAAATCACGATCACAAACCGCTTATTTTTAAAATACTTTTTTTTTCGAAACGATAACTAGATAAAATCATTAGATATGTTTCTCAGCATCTGAAATTGAATTATAAGGATATCGTTAGGGTGTTCATTTTTTATAACGAGAAAACGTCAGTAATCGCGATAATTTAAAAACTCAAATTTTTAACACACGCCATAACTTAAGATCTTTTACAATATGATTAAATAAGAAAAATTCGACAAGGTTGCTCTTTTCCATTCAAAAATGTTAAATAACCCATCCATTTACTTTTAGTGCATAACAATTTTCAGCAATTGTGTAACTTTTTTATTTATAAAGATTTTTTTTAAGAAAGTTTTTGAAAAATACTACAATCAATTATTTCTAATACTTAGATATCGAGATATTGATTTTTGAATTCAGAGTTCTAATAGCGCAATCACTGTCGAACACTAACTCAATTCCACTTATTTTTACCAAAAATGCAAGTGTTTCTAACTTGCACTTAACAATTTTTAAGCTATAGGGAAAATTAAAACGACTCGTTAATAAATAAACAAATAAAATATCACGAGACGTAGTTAAGTCGTGACGCTGAACCCATGATGTACACCTTTCCCTAGAACTTTAAGTACTGACAGAAGTACTGATTGGGTCGACCGGTCAACTGCGACAAATCTGCTTATCCCCTTCCACGTCTGTTAGCAATGTGTACAGTTTCTCGGTTTATTTCATATGTTTGGCAACGTGTTTACTGTTCTCTCTGTGTTCAGTACATTATAAACAGATTGTACTCTTCTTACATACGGAAATCTCGACCCAAGACTAACCTTTGCCAGCCCTTCGTATAGGAATGTTTAGTAATATCGATGTTCATTATACTTATATGTTTATTTTCATATTTATAATATTGACCTGTGTAAATACCAGGGTTGGAAAAAATCATGATTTTTTTAAAAAAATCAAAAAAATCAGATTTATTTGATTTAAATCAGATTTTTTTGATTTTAATTCTAAACAATATTTAAATCGAATTTCCAAATGACTAGGACTTATTTCCAATTAAAGTCCTATCCTAAATGGCTAAATCTTTATAACTCTGCCCGATATCGATAACATTAACAATTCTACTGTGCGTTTTGTCATTTTTCCACATCGGTCACCAATATATTTCGCAAAAAAGTCGCTCGCTTCAGATCAAAAGGATTTTTTCAAACTTCTCAAAACTATTAATTTTTGTCATTTTAATGCCTAGGCATAAAAGTAAAGCACTGTTACGCCTAAGCACAAAAGTACAAAAATATATTATTAAACTGATATGAAGTGTCAAATTTAACTAGTGTACAAATTGTTGCTCGATTACTGTTTATATTATTTGCAATGTTTGAAATTGATTAAAAAATTATTTGTAATGTTTTAAAAAAAATAGTATGTTCTATTCGGAGTAAAAATATATAATTTTTACTACTCATAGAACAATACACTATTGTTCGGAAATAGTCTTAAGTCGAGAATGAAATTAGTATTATTTGGTATTATCTAATGTCAAAGTGTAAAATACTTACTGCAGATCAAAATGTCGGTAAGAAATTGGAAAAATACAACAGTTTCAAAAAAAATATAAAACAACATATTTTCTGACAACGATTATAGATTCTCGAGAATGAAGATATAAGCTTTTTTCGTTTTCTTGTTATTACCGATTCTGAACCGTCCTAGAACTGTGATGCGTATGCGCAGAAGGAAATATGAAGACGTTATTTCATTTGCGCATGCGCTGCAGAGTTCTAGGACTGTTCAGAATCGGCAATAACAAGAAAACGAAAAAAGCTATAGTCTCTATATCAGAAGAACCTAGTTCTGGCACTAGACTGCGAATGATATGTATTCGAACAGCGAATTTTTGTCACTTATACCTAAACTTTAAAATAAATCCCTGCGTTTAGCGGTCTAATGGATTCACACGAAATTACTTTAAAAATCGGTCCAACATTTAAATTGATGAATAGATATTTTTATATAGTTTTATAATGTTAACAATTATTCTTCGATTTATTATCTGACGACCACGACCGACAATCTTTTATAGAAATTTTTTTTATAGTTTTCTAGGACACATTTTTATAACTTTTACAGTTATTTTTTGATTTATAATAAAGTTTCAATATTTTTTTTTTATTTAAATCGCATGATTAAAATTTAAAAAATCACTTGATTTAAATCACGATTTAAATCATGATTTAAATCATGCCAACCCTTGTAAATACTATAATGTAGAGGGTATTTACGTAAGTAAATTTAGAAGAAAATTTAGACATAAATTTGGATTCTAAAAGTTTTACCTATAATTAATCTTACTTACCTTAATTCTATAATTTTTGAAACAGACTATAGTTTTCAAAAATAAAAAAATCAGAGCTCTCAAAGTTTAACATAGCTTACAATTAAAAAACAATACGCAGAAAGTTGTTTATTAAAATATACTGTATATTGAGTTGAATTTATTTTTATCTCATCTTTAATATGATGTTAAACTATACAATGAGTTTAAATTTGTAAATATATTTTCAGCTGTTAACTATGACTCACATCCAACAAGCTCTAACAAAAAGAAACTATGATGAAGCTTTCCAACTGGCACTATCAGCTGAAAATTTGAACTATGTGATTTTCGTTTGTGAACGAGTAGATGTCAATCAAGTATTCAACGAAAGATGTTTACTGTCACAGAGCGTTCTTTTAGCACTGATACAACAACTTAGCATGGAAATACACAAAAATACGGAAACTAAATTATGGTACGTATAAAATGGTGAATTAATTTAAAATTTAATTCAAATTTAGGTGCCCAGTGGCGTAGAGGTACAGCTCTCGTCTACCAATCTAAGGTTGTGGGTTCGAATCCTACAGCCGGCATTTCATCAGCCAACTATTTTTATTAAAATAAAAATAGTTTAGGTACCTAGGTCGACTCAGCCTTAAATGAGTACTTCGGATTCACAATCCTGAGGTAATACTAGGCTAAGCGTAGTGCTAGCCACATTACCTTCCTTGTATACGGAACGGCTCTAGCATGGCAAGCTGTACGTTGCTACTCCCAAGGCGTTAAACGCTATATACGGGAGCTATTATTATTATTATTATTATAATTCAAATTTATTTCGATTTCAGTTTCATCAGGGCAGCCTTCTTAGCTCTGTCTCCCGATTTTGCTCAGACCAAGCATTTTGTCCCGAATGTTCTAAAGGATTTATTGAAGCAACTGACCGCATTTATGCAGACTAACCCGCCTTTGAAGCAAATGACGGAAACCAGATTGTTGAAGATGGCTGTGGAGAACATGCTGAGCAAATAAATAACAATTAAGAAGTTTGGAAGAGGCAGAAGCTATGAAAGATTTGTGGGTAAGTTTGTACAATATACCTAGATTGAAGTATACAATACATTCAGTATTTTGAATCCATGAAAACTTCTAATATTTAGTTATCTTACTTTTTTAAGTTGACTTTGATGAGCCATTTATTTTTCAAAAAGTTGTGAAATTTGCATACATAAAAATAAAGAAACTGATAGTTTGAATATGTTTGGTGTATACAGGATGGTCTAATTATAGAGGACTTTAGAGAAAATATTTATAAAACTGACGTCAAATGTGTCTTTTATAGATAAGTGTCCCAGAGATAAGTGCAAGTATTTTAAGAGGACAAACTTATTTTCTCTTTACCATTTTTAAAATAAATTGATATTAACCGAGTTATTTAACTTTGAAATTTAAAAAAAAATAATGGCAACATTTTGGGAGCCGCCGGCAGCAATCGATAATTACCCGAATCTTGGCTTGTTCGACGCCCAGTGTTGACACATTGACTAGAAAAATTTAAAACCGACTTGGAAAATTCAAATTAAAAGTGAAAAAGTTACAAAACATTAGAAAACGGGACTTTATAACAGATCGATGTAATTAGGTTAGAGCGTCGTTTTAGCACTTTACCTAAAACCGCAACCCTACACTTGTCAACACTTTATTTCACTGCGATTCTTGACAGCACTATACTTGAATACCCACGTGTATTTGGCACAAAATACATTCATATGTCATGAATTGTTTAGGGTTATTTTGGAGATTTTAAACTCGTCCGTATTTCTATCTCACACGCTTGTTTTTGTGAATGAACACCAAAATAATTGATATTTCTATTTTAATAATAAAAGTATTTTTACAGGCTTACCTTACATTTGCCTATTTTTTTAATTTTGTCAGAGGTTTACTGTTTTGAGTAATATCTCAAATGAAGTGGATATCTTAACATTCATCAGCTAAACAGATCAGCTGATTTACATTTACATCAGCTGGTCTGTTTAAATGCAGGTCCAACGTTAATTATTTACATATCTAATAGAGGGCGCTGATTCAAGAAATTCGAAAAAAAGATGAAAAAATATTTGATTTATTCAGTATCATTGGACGCATCAGAAGCAGAAGACTATGTGTCTTGCTGGAATGTCGATCTCGGTATGTTTAGATCTTCAGTTAATACGACTACGCGCCGCCGACGGCGCCGGTAGGAAGTTTTTAATGTATTTATGTAGAATTGTTTGATATGTCAAAAATTGATGTGTGTAATTGTTCGTTTAATTTAACTTTCATTATTTCAGTTTACTAAACTGTAAAAAAGGCATTTAAAATAGTAGACGTTACAAAACATGTTTAAAAAATCTACAGTAATAAAATTAATTTTAAGTATTTTTTTGTAGAAATTTAAAAATGTGATCTTTTGCCGGACGAATTTACGTTTACCCAATTTGCGTTCGTATTCGAGATTCACTGCCGGCTAGTCGGTTAGTTAGGCAGTATGAAGTTGCAGTTGTGCTTGGACGGGTCGGTCGTGACAGAGAAGGAATACGACGCGAGGAGTGCCGAGTATTTATTATTTTCATTTTAAGTGTTTACCTTCACCTAAGGTAACATTTAAAATAAAAATACTTAAATCTTTATTATTTGAGTGTATTTACAAGCCAAAACTAAAAATAAATAAATTCTCTAAACCCGAAAAAAAAAACTAAAATATTACTCTAAATAAAAAAAAAGTTATAACAAGTGTTGAAAAAGACCACCTTCTTGTGCTAGACAGAAGCCTAGGCGGTCGTAAAATCCCCGTCTGACATTGGCTAACATATTAGGGCTAATAGTTTGGAAAGCCTCTCGTATTTTTACTTGAAGCTCATCCAGATTATTAGCCCTATTATGACAATACACTTTGGGTTTTACATAACCCCACAAAAAGAAATCATTGGGAGAAAGATCTGGTGATCTAGCGGATCACAAAATAGTTCCATATCCTCTAATTAAACGGTTAAACACTTGCTTTAACTCCTGTTCTTCATTAATCAACACATCAACATTGTGTTTTTGTGGGGACACGCACCCATGTGTTTCAAAATTATTAATAACTCTTGATATAGTAGGTAAAGATAGAATTGGCCTGTTTACAAAAGTTTGTGGAAAAATTGTTTGTATATCCCGATAAGACCTATTTTGGAAATACCATTATACAATTTGAATTTTCTCACGAACTTCGTAAACATCCATTATTTTACTTAAAAAATAAATTTTACACGAGAACTGTCGCGAGAATCTGTGTATTCGTTTTGGCTATTAAAACACGAATAAATACAAATTATGAAACATTCTTATCACATATCTACCTATTTTTATTTTATGGCATTTTTGCGGCTGCTTTTTATCCGGCGGACGGGTATACGCTAATTCGTCCGGTTCTGCCTATGTTACTACTACGGTGGTCTGGTCTGTATATGTGGACAACGAGGAGGTGGCAACACTGCATTCTCTCAAAGCACTATGAACAAATTTCCGTAAACTGAACAAGCGGCACTCAAAAGTTTTTCAATATTTTTCGGGAAATGTCAAGAAAAACATGAAATTTTCAACATTTTCTTTTTGCAAAAAAACCTTACTGGTGTATGCTTGCACTGATTTCTGGGGTATCCTCTATAATGACAGCTGCTATCTTTAGTTCAAAGTCGTCTCAGACGTCCTCATTTTTGGATCGTATTGTAGATTGTATTATTGATTGAAAAATGTTTTAGGTGTATTTTTGAAATCCTGTTGATCTGCAGTTTAAGGATCTCTGTAGGCCGATATTGTTTAAGAAAAATATGAACAGACCTCTGTGGTACAGAGTTGGTTGGATTTTATTTGCTCAGTACTTTTTATTTTTGTACCAACTTAGCATTACATTTATTTTGTAAATAATTAAGTTTTAAACGTTACGAGATTTAGGAGTCTCTAAAAAGTTTTTGTTATTAATAGTGTTATTGTAAAATCAAATTTAGTTTCTAGAAACGCGATTTATTTGGTTATTCATGTTATAAAAAATGATTTATAACTCTTTTTTTATTTGATGTTTTATTTAATTGAACCTTCTATAATTAAGAACTTAAAACAGTAGCCAAAAGCTTAGATCCTAAAACTTCCCGGATAATAAACGAATCAATCAAATTTTTCCTTTGGCGCATTTGATTGATTACAGCGCCATTCTTTTTTAGTGAGAATTTTTGAAACTATCGTCTAAACGATTATGGCGCCACCATACGGAAAGTTGTAGAAGTAGGCAAATATAGGTTTCTGCTTTTACCATGATTGCGTGGCGCCATCATAGGTTAAATATTTAAGCTAATAATAGTAGTAAATAGATTTCTAAGCTTATAAAGGCTATACAAATATAGATGCACACCCGTCGAAGCTCATTCTCCCATTTCCATATCTCTGATACAAACTCATCTTAAGAAAAATGATGAATTAGTTCAAATGTTCATCTATCATATATAAAAAAATTGCCCATCACTATTACCTGGATCATATTCTATTTAATAGGGATATTTTTTTTCTACATTGGAAGTTGGTACAACGTACAACATAGTGACATTTTTGACTGACGTGGTCTTTAAGGTTATGTTTAGTTTGTTTTAAATTTTTGCCAACAATGTTATGATTAGCATATATTTTCGATAATTCAAAATCACATTTATGGAATTAGTACGTATACTTTATAAGATTTAATAGTTTCTCGTTATGGGTACAGCAATTAGCCGAAATATAGACTTATCGACTAACGAATACTGTATAAAGTTTGTTAGTAATAATCCCATTACATTTAATGATCCATTTTGGAATAGATTTTTAGCTTTTAATATCACGCCACCAAGTACCAGGTACTTTAAATAACATTATCTTTATATGTGTAAGTATCATGTTATTATGTTTTAGAAATGATCAAATTTTGTTAGAATCAAAAATAGAACCGTTGTGTCAAGAGTTGTTGAAAAGCAATTTAACTTCAGGAAATTTAGGAACTTTAATAAAAATATTTATAATTCGATCGTCAGAATTATTAGGAGCAGCTGATTCTAATGCGTAAGTTAATATAGCGGTGTATAAATATAATAATTGCATGACATCTTCTCCAGCAATCTTTTCAGTTGGCAAATATTTAATACGCTCTTTACAATAAGATGTTTCTTGAAATTCTTAACAGAAGTTGTTACTGATGAAGGACAGTTTGTTGAACATATTGAAGTAAATGGAGATGGAACAGTTTTGGATGCATTTATTTCCTCGCTTTTTACAGTAATCGTTGATGTACCGGTAAAAGACTCTACATATCTTATTCATTTGGAATGTGTAACTTGCCTGCTGATTATATTGTCAGTACAGTTTCATTTAGGTCAAAAGTCTGATAGAAGTTTAATTTACAATGTTGTTATGAAAGGCAAGCATGTGATCAGCACACCTATTTTTATTAAGTGTTTACTTACAAACTTTATAAATCAACAAAGTCCTGTCCCTGCTTATGGCTCGAATCAAGGACACAGTTTGGTTACAGGTATTATTTTTTATTATAAAGAAAAAAAGAAAAAAATATAGGAAACAATTTTTTTCAGGATTAGCAAGTGAAATATGGTCTCTTCTGACATTTAACAGGAAGTCAGAAGATCAGGATAATCTATCTGACCAAAGTGAATTTCAAAAAGCACCTTTGGCTGTGCAAAGTTTGTTATTGCTTTTAGTTTTGGTCCATAATTGGACAACATTAAATAACCCCTATAGATTAAGTTTATTTTCATGTTTGAATCAAGGTGAGATCTTAATTTTATACTTTATATTTGTTATTTTCTCAAGAGTTTTCAATTTAATTTAAAGAAGTTATATGCAGTAATCAAAATTGTGTTTCTGTGATTCTTTTAAAATATAATTAAATGTGATAAATCATAATATAGTTGTAAACATAATTAAAACTTTCAATACTACATAGAATATTCAAGTTGCTTGACATTCAAGTTGATTTTTTACATTATTTATCAATATTTATGTAACATTACTGTTTTTAAGTTTGTAATTCAAATTAATTTTTTTAAGTTACTCAAGAAAATAATAATTATCAATTAATTTCATAAGACAGTATAAACAAATAAATCTATTTTATTTTTTAGATAACAATCCAATTGCTCCTACCAAAGACAATACATTATTTAAAATTGATTTTAATTCACTGTATTTAACACTTTGTAAAAAGGCTAATGGAGATGCACCAACATTGTTACTTTATTTGTTATTACATAGAAATACTAGTTTTAAAAAATATCTCTTGCAAAGAATGGACTTACAAGAATTGGTTAGTATGATACAAACATGTCTTAGCATTATTATAATGGTATTATTTTGTTAGATATTTCCAATTTTAAAGACATTATACAATGCACCAAACAGTCATAGCCATCATATTTATATGTCTCTCATAATATTGCTTATTTTGAGTGAAGATGATACATTCAATAAAAGCATTCATGAAACTGTAAGTAATATTATTTATATAAATTAAATCTATGTAGGTAGTCCTAAATTCAGATCAAGCAAAAATGAAATTTTGAAATTCAATCATGCAGTGTTATTTCTTTATGCCTACAAGTTTATTATAATTTTATTTTCAGAAACTGAAAAATATTACTTGGTATACAGAGAGGCAATTAACTGAGATATCTTTGGGTGGACTTCTCATATTAGTTATTATTAGAACGATTCAGTACAATATGCTGAAAATGAGAGATAAATACCTCCATACAAATTGCCTTGCAGCGTTGGCAAACATGTCTTCACAATTTCGAGATTTGCACCCTTACGTTAGCCAGAGACTTGTGTCCTTATTCGAGACAATAGCAAAAAAATATCAAAAATTATCTAAAAGACTGGAAAATAATAAGACTAACGAAGCAAACGAGACAACTATAACTATTAATCAGGACGCAGCTGAATTAGAACAGGATATTAATGTTTTAGAAGAAGTGTTAAGAATGGTTTTAGAAATCTTAAATTCTGCATTATCAACGCAGTTGATACATAATCCTAATCTTATTTATACACTGCTGTACAATAAGCATGTGTTTGAAGCTTTTAAGGACAATGTGGTGTTCCAAGATATAATACACAATATAGAAATTGTAATAAAATATTTCTCCCAAATATTGGCTGACAAAAGTCAGCAAAATGAAGTCGATGCCCAGCAAGTTTTGCAAGTTATTCAGCAAGGGGGGAAGTACTGGCCAAAGGATAAAATAACAGTAAGTAAATTTAATAAAAGTCAAAGATAATCTGTTATTTTTTCATATTTTTTCAGAAATTTCCTGATCTAAAATTCAAATACGTAGAGGAGGAGCAGCCAGAAGAATTCTTTATTCCTTATGTGTGGGAACTTGTAAGCCAACAGTCAATATTAAATTGGAATACCAGTTCCGCGACAAGCATAGCAATTTGCTAGCCAAAGATAGAGTAGCCTTAATTTATTAACCTATATGTACATAAAAAAATATATATTTTAGTATTGGAAAAAAGAAGCTTTAAATAATTATGGAATTTATCACTATTAAATAAAATAACCTTGTTTTTCATTAGTTGTACGAGGGACGGTCATCAGTAGTATAGTCTGTCCAACGAACCAAGATGTCAACAGAAGACATCCAAAAAATGACAGGAAATACAATTTACCTGTGAATTAAAATGACAGACACACTGTCACTGTCAGGAATTCTCCCGTTGGACAGACCATAACAGTGAAGATGTAACTTTTTCATTTTTAATTAATTCTTTTATGTATGCTTATACTTTCCATATTTTCCATTTCTTTAATCATACCCACGAAAAGGCCAAAATGCGCTGTTTTTTATATCTAGAAGAAATCACAATTATTTACTCTTCAATTTAAATACTTTTTTGCTTTGGGCCTTTTGAAATATATAAATATTAAATTATGTAAAAAATATTATTATGTACAAATATTATTTAACGATTCTACTGACCAACTCTCATACTATTTGCAATTTTTTGATTCTTAAAAAAATATTTTATGTAAAGCGATTTTTTAGAAATGGACATTATTATAACTTATAATAAAATTGTAAATATCATTTTTTAAATTGTTTTTCTAAAATTCTAATTTGAACTTTAAAATAGATTAAACTGTTTTTAATTTTAAAAATTGTACTTTATCCATGCATCATATATTCTTAATTTTATATATGTATATAAAATTATAATTATGTATCTTAATTTATCCTGAGTTAGGTAAGATTTATATTTTGTTATTATATGTAGTTTTTATAAAAATAAATTGTTAAATATTAAAAACAAAAAATATGTGTGACTGTATATCTCTAAAAATGCCCATATAAAACACTAGTGAAAAACAGTTTGTAAAAAAGTATAAAGGAAAACGTTTTATATAAACATTTATTATTAAAAATTAACAAACTATCGTTTACTTCTTTTTTCTTGACTTATTTGTGCTTTACTTCTATGTCTCATAACTTCTTTCTTTTTCTGTTTGATTTTCCTGTCTTTACTTTTCTCTTGATTAGAAACTTCCTCTCTGTGTTTTTCTAACCTCTCTTTCGTTTCTTTTTTCAATCGTTCCTGCTTGTGTTGATATGAAGCCTTTATCATTTTCATCATAGACGAAATCTAAACAAAAAAGAAATAAAGAATAATCTTTATACAAACAAGAAAAGGAAAACAATATTATAATATAATAAGTACAGTCTGACAAATGGATCTAAAACTAAGGGGTGACAGCATTTTATCATTGTCAAATGTAATTTGTTGTGCTCTACACTACTAAGTTATAGTCAGGGCCATGTAAGTGAAATATTCAAAATGGTTCCAGCAAAAGTTTCCCAATTATGACGGGTGATGGCGCTGATCGTCAAGATTTTTGGACAGGGATTTTGCTTACCGACAATACGACGTGAGCTACGACCGGACCGGACCAATCAGAATGATCAGTCTTTCTTGGACATTTGCCGCGGAAGTGTGTGTTAATTTCTGTTGTGATAAGTGTGGTTGTGTTTGCAGTTTGATTTTTCGGTTTTGATATTATGTTAAAATTAATTTTGAAGTATTGTATCACCTGTTTTTATGTAATAGTACTTTTTCTAGTTCTATGATCTGATATGTTATGATTTGTTAATGTTTGTTTAACAATGTTATACCAAAGAGGTTATACTTAATATATCAATTTGCATAGCCTAACTTTTTTATCAATAAACTTTGTAGATTTTCAGATTATTTAATTCCTTTTGTTTCCGTTTGTAATTTTATTTTTAAGACATATTATGTGATTGTTTCAGATAATGTTTTAAAAATAAAATTGCAAATAGCGAATAAAAATAATTAAAATAAAAAAGTGTATTTTACAATTCCCCCCGGCCCCGCACCCCTTTGGCCAACCTGTAAATGTCAGCTTTGTCGAGAGATGGCGCTACGAAAATGGAACCGATTTATTACAAGGAACTTGGGCTTCTTTTTCGTTAGTATATTCTGTGGTTATAGTACCTAAGGTGAGTATCCCCTAAGTGCATTTTTGTTAATGTTAGAATAGGGCAAAAGCCTAAATTAATTAAAAAAAGTAGACAAAATACAATTTGACATTCACAAAATCATATTGACAACTTAAAGTATGTTGGCATTTGCATGGTTTTGCTTTGTTATCTGTTCAATTTTAATATTAAAATAGATGCAGTTTTTCTTAAATTAGTTAAAATCGGTTTGTTCAAAATTAAAATTATTCAAATTTGGCATGTGTATTCAACATATGCAGACCTTTAAAATCCCCTATTTACAACTTCGCTCTAAAATCAACAGGAGAGCCAATATTTGGACAGTTCAAAATGTGCATGCGATTTCCTATGTTTCTAAGGAGGATGCACCACCCCGTATACAGATTGTTAACTGGACGGTTACTTACTGGGGTACAGAATGGTAACAGCCTACATTGCAAATGAGTACTAAGAGACTCCATAGTACTAAGTTAAGCTGCCGAATCGTCCCGTCGCGTCGTCTCTCGACGCGACGAGCGGGCCGAGGTTGCCATATTTCAACTATAAAGCTCTTGCCGCGAGTAATAAACAAATTAACAACCTGTATAATTATGTATGGTAGGAAGAACTAAAAATATGTTAAATTTATTGGCAATTCTGCTTTTGTTTTGTTAAACTTGACAACGTCGAGTTTTTCTGCCCGCGTTCCTTTCGCTGCTTCTGATGTGTTTATCCGATAATAGAGAATTTTTTTGAAGGAATAGAGAATTTGTGGAATAAATCTCAGTTCCAGTTTTATTTTTTGTTTATAAAATTTTATGTACAATATTTTGTACCTGGAGGAGATGTTAAATAAATAAAAAACAAACCTTTTGTTCATGTGGCTCCCGTATAACAGCCACCCTCTCTATACCCTTCTTCTTTTCCATATTTTTAACATCATGTTTTGGTTTGTCTCTATATGGCAAAGCTTTTTGTAACTTGGCGGGTATAATTAATGGTTTAAACGGTTTCTCCTCTCTTACCACAGGCTAAAATCCAAAGAAAAATTAGGAAAATAGCAATAAAAATGCAATGTCTAGATTTAAAAAAAAATGAATAAAATATACCAGATAGAGATGATCTGTATTAGGAGTATTTTGAATATTCTTCTCTCTTTTAATTTCTCCAGTAGTTCTAAAGCCTTTCCATCTATTTTTCATATCGGGCGGTAATAATAAAGTCGTAACGGGATTATAAAATTCGGGTACGTCCACTTTGTACCAAGTACGACAAAAAACGACATCTAAAAATACAAAAAAGTACAATAAAACGGTAATATTATTTCACAACATTCAAAATTTATTTACAATAAAAAAATTTAAATTAAAAACTTTTTTATATACAGGGTAGACCAAGATTTCGTAAAAGTCCCCATTTAAAATTTTCACACCTATCAACGTAATAATACAGATTATAATCTTTGTTTTTTCTTTATTGTTTTTCGTGGTTCCAATTTTCGGAATCGGGCACTAGTTAGGTGACTAGTTTGCGCACATAGCACGCCCACTTATGGCCTCTAAAATTGTGCACAGCGCCTGACCGGCACAGTTATTAGAGAGATATCGGAAAACCGAATAGCGTCATCCAGTATTTACGCGTACCTTATCATGTTTACGATATGCGCGAGTCAACGCAACACCCGCTAATAACGTTACCGCCTGACGTAATTTGCGGATCAATTACACTAAGCGCTTTTTCTAAATAACCTCTGATAACGTTTAAAAATTGCTTAAATGGGCATGTGAGGGTATTTGACAACCGGAGCCGGCCGGCGAGATCTTTTATTTCAGGTTATGTTTGAATTGTTTTGAATTATTGCTTTAGTTTTATTAGGTAATTTGATATTTAAGTAGTTGGGATTAGTTTTAATTAAATAAATATGGCCCAAATTTTGGATTCCACCTCTTCCAATACTAAAGAACCTATAAAGAGTCTTAGGTTTACAGCAGATGACGACTTAGCCCTTCTAAGAGAATTTGCGTATTGAGTTGCTTGTTGTCCTAAACCCATTGGCAGACGTTGAACAATAAAGCACTGGAAATAAGCACTTAAGCCCTTTAGTTTTAAAATACCTATTAAACAAAACAATTTCAAAGTTTTAAATTCAAAGTTAGGTTAAGTTTAAATAGCGGACGCGACGCGATCAGAATTCTTTCCGATCCGATAACTATAAATGAAGAGGGTTAATACCACCTCATGTAAAGGAAATAACACCTGGCCTTATTAACGTCCATGCACGCTATTCGGTTTAGCGATATCTCTCTATTACGCTGTTTATTGTTATTTTACACGAGTTTATTTTTGCGCACAGGAAATTTGACTCGTTTGCACATCGTCATAAAAAACAATTTTCGTACCACGAATTAGGGATAAGATTTTTATCTGTATACTTATAGGATACCTAATCTGTGGTAATAGGCTTGGTGCATTGATTTCAAAAAATTCCGACCGCAGCGCTGTATACGGCAGAAATCAGAAATTTTCGCTATGTATTTCACGCCGCGCCGCCGCCGTCCCGGTTGCGTAAAGCCATTCCCCCGTGCAGTACAACACAACATCGCGCTGTAATGCACTTGAAAATATCTTGAGATACGCATTTTTAAATAGGACATTCCCAAGTGCAATTCAACACGCGCCGCGCAAAATTATATTCTAATGTTACATCAAATATGCTTAAACTTAATATGGTGTGTATTAAATCTGTATGCATTATCGGAGTAAACGACAACGTCGCAACGCACTCATTACTCTACTGTAATTTTTCTCGTTTTGACAGTTTGATAGTTTTAAGTATTTTTATTTACTACCTAGTTGTTGATTAGAGTGTACGAATATACCAAACTGAGCATCTTTTGGTAAGCGGATTCTTATCGTGCTTCTCAGGCAAACATTAGAGAATTTATGAAATAAAAACTTCTTTCGGTATGTCATAATATGGATTATTATTAATTGCGTTACATGCTCGATGATCTAATCTCTCAATCTGGCGAGTATCTAGAAGACGTGAATATACGTTTTTATAAAAATTATCAGTCTATCTTAAAACAGAAGACAACGCCAAAATTCATTAACTCTCTTCATCAGTCTTCACGTGAGTTACAGAAAACATTTTTTTTTCAAAAAATATTAACAACATGCTTTTCATTTCAGGCCTTTACGATCGAGTAGAGGGCTATTTTATACAAGATACCTACATTTATATTATACTAGTATTTGATATTACATTTTGATCAAAAATATTATGTTTTAATACAAAATCAAACACGCCCCTCTGAATAACTTTAATGTTCGGATCTCAAAAAATAAGGTCTAAAGTTACAAACCATTTGATAAGCGAGTAGCAAATAAAAAATATTAGCAATTTTCCTCGAAAAAAGTAAAATATTTTTAAAACTTTATCCTAGACAAAACACAACCCCAATTTTTTTCTTTAATGTAAAATATAACGACCGCGTTGTACTGTACTCGGTTTTGTCTCAGCCTAGAGCATTTTTAATATGTTTTTCTCCATACCGGCACAACACCAGTCACTAGAACCAGGCGTTGTACTGCACGGGGGAATGGCTTTACGCGTCCCGGTTACAGTTCATGTTGAACGCATTAAATAATATTGCATAAGCATCTCTTCTTCTTAGCTTAATAAAACAAATTAAAATATATAGTATAAAATAGTGATCTCTTTAAATTTTTAATAATTCTTACCACTTAATTGAATCTTATCTTCAAACGTTGCTCTAAAACAACCCTCGGGTTTATTGATTGCCTTCTTAATTTGCCCTCTAATACCAGACACTGTTTTTATCCTGGCCCCTTCAAATTTGGCTACTTCTAAAGCACTGTTAAACATTCCCTTAATAAAAGCAGTTTTCTTATAGATCTTCAGTGGATAGCCTATAAGTTTTAGTTTTTTCATTATTTGCGTCGACTTATCCAGCTCTTGAACCGATCCTGTGGCGGCTATTCTGAAACCTTGCTTTTTCAAATCCTAAAAATATGTTTATTTTGCTTTATAACAAATTAGCGCGTTTTTTTTATTTTATCATATTTTCTTTGTTTTTTTCAAAAATGACAGCTCATGATTAAATGATTGGAGGATGGGTTGGTAACGGAATAACCCATGACGGATACATATAAACCCACACTTAGATGTAACAATATATTAGTTATTATCCAATTAATAAGTAAGTTTGTTCCATGGAGTTTTAAACAAATTTTATAGAGAATTTACTTACCTGAGGATTTGAATCAACACTTTGTAGCGCCAAGAAACCTGTAGCTTGTGGTGTTATAGGGCCCCAAAAATGAGCATTACAAGCTAAGTGCTCAGGAGTATATTTCAAGTATCTGTATTTTAAGTCATCTTCGAGTTTAGAGTAAACTGGAACTGTCTAAAAACACCAAATAAAGTTGGGAATGAGGTTGACTCCTTAAAATTTTCATAGATTCAATATACAGTAATACCCCGGACTTACGCGATAGGTGGGACTGAGCGCTATCCGCGTAAGTCGAATTCGCGTAAGTCGGGGTACAATTTTGCATATAAAGACATACAAAGTATGTTTAATTGGGACTGGAGACTAAATAAAACAATAATTTAGGAAATAATTAGTATCTAATTCTAAATAATATGACAATACAATATACAAACTATATTAATAGAGTGTATAAACACAATCCGAAGTTATTTTGATGTAGAAGGTTTCATAAATTGTAACAAAGTCGTCTGACGAGTCAATGATTTTTTCTTCTCCCGTAATATCTCCTCGTAGCATCCTAGTAATTTTTTTATTCCATGTTTTGTAACAAAACTGCGCTCTTCATTGGAGTCTATGCTTTCCAAAATTGTTAACCCTTTTTCAATCGAACTGAGGGCTTCTGTCAAGTTTCCAACTGTCATTTGATCTTCTAATTGAACTGGATCCAAAGAATCATGATTATCAATTTCTTCCTCTTGTTCACGCATTGTTATGAGCTCATCAATTGTAAGCTCCTCATTGTGTGAATCCAACAGCTCTTGAACATCATCACTATCCACTTCTAAATTTATTTGTCTACCAAGTTCGACAACGTCTTTGATCACATTGCAAATTTCATCAGGCCCTGACACTAATTCCGCCTGAGTCATAGTGGAGAAAAAAAATGGACAGAGTTTTTTCCAGACGCCATTTAAAGTTTTTTGTGAAATTTCATTCCAAGATTCTCCAATGATTCTCACTGCTTCTAAAACGTTGAATTGTTTCCAAAATTCTTTAACAGAGAGCTCGTTGTTTTGTCTCATAGCTTCATGCAGATGTGCAAACGATCGTCTCGTGTAATAAGCTTTGAATGTTTTGATAACGCCCTGGTCCATCGGTTGAAGCAAGCTGGTTGTATTTGGTGGCAAAAATTCAACTTTCACACGTGGGTCGAAACTAGTTAAAGTAGCAGGAGGATGACCTGGCGCGTTGTCGATTAATAGCATCACTTTAAACGGGATTTGTTTAGACTGGCAATAACGTTCGACTTCAGGTATGAAGTGATGACCAAACCAGTCTTCAAAAAGGGAGGCCGTCACCCAAGCTTTACGATTCGACTTCCAAATCACGGGCAAACCAGCTTTAGATTTGTTTTTCAATGCTCTTGGATTTTCCGAGCGATAAACTAAGAGAGGTTTTAATTTAAAGTCACCAGCTGCATTCGCGCCAAGCATCACTGTCAATCGATCTTTGGCGGCCTTAAAACCTGGAAAAGTTTTCTCTTCACGCGCAATAAAAGTTCTTTTAGGCATCTTCTTCCAAAATAGGCCAGTTTCATCTACGTTGAATATGGTTTGGCTGGTATAGCCACCTTCATTTATCATAGCTTTGAGTTTCTCTGGATAGAGAGATGCTGCCTCTTTATCTGCACTTGCCGCCTCTCCACTTTCTGCAATGCTATGCCAGTTACAGCGACTTTTGAACCGGCTGAACCAACCGTTACTGGCTTTAAACGTTTCATCTTTAGCCATCTCCCCAGCTTCTTCTTTTAATTTCTCAAAAATTTGTTTAGCTTGAAAGCACACCGTGTTCTGATCAATAGGACAATTTTTCACACTTACTTGATTATCACACCATAATTTTAACAATGTTTCCATTTCAGCGATAATACCATGCCGTTTACGAATGATGCTTGAATTCAAAGACTGAGCATTTTTCACAGCTTCGAGAATTTTTTCTTTACTTTTCGTAATTGATCTGACTGTCGATTCCGGAAGTTCATACTTCTTCGCTAAATCACAAATTTTTATTTTTGCATCGTAGTCTTTAATAATGTTAAGTTTACACTCCAAAGATAATGTTTTTCTCTTCTTGTTTAAAGCAAAAGAGTCGGTTCTACTTCGTTTGGATGCCATAGTACTTAGTAAATATCTCAGGTCGTCGCACAACGCACAAAAAAACACAAAATCGTAACTTATGTACCTACGCGCCGATTCGCACTACACGTATGTGCTTGTTGTAAACTGAACGAATAATAATGCGGGCGGGGGGAGTCAGAAACAAACGCCGCCGCTTGACCTTGACTGCACGGCGTTCAAACAAAAAACGAATAGACGAGAAAATTAAATCGCGTAACTCCGAATTCGCGTAAGTCGAGGTAGCGTAAGTCGGGGTATTACTGTATTTCATTCCAGTGGGCAGATTTTGACAATTTTTGTAAGGAATTTGCAGCTAAATTGTGTCTTTTACGAGAAAAAAGAAAATGTTATTCCGGTAAGAGTTTGAAACACCCTGTAGAATGGTTTAATAGACTAGGTAATTTTAAAACTACCTTATCATGAAGTTGCATCTTTTCTCGATAGTTTGTTTTTTGATTCATCACGATAGCTTTATTTTTGTTGGAGATATTCGCTTTTGAAGAAGATAGTAACAATCTACAGCACTTTTAGCATTAAAGGCATACCTTTGATTTTGGTCCTCATCAACACACATATAAAATAGTGTTTATTGGTTTTTTAATGTCACTGTTATTGAAAAGTCATATTATTATTGTTCGGTAGCAATTAGTTTTTATTATTTAGAGATAGTTTTAAGTTCAGAAGTTGATCTCTACCATGTTCAATTAAAGCAGCAATAGCTGATACAACTTCTGAACTTGAAACTATCTTTGCTAGAATAACTGCCAATAAAGAATAATATTATGACTTCAATGATAGTAGCATTAAAGAAACAATAAACACTATTTGATATGTGTTGATGAGGACCAAAATCAAAGATTGATCTAAAAATCTTGCACTTGTGGGTTGGTTGTTTTTGTTTTCTTTTTGGTTTGCTCTTAAAGCTTACAGTCCTAAAAGTGCTGTAAAACGTTACTATCTTCTTCAAAAGTTAATATCTCTAACAAAAAAAAACTAACGAGGTAAGTCAAAAAATATCAACTATAGAGAAAAGAGAGATACACCGTTTTTATTCGATCATACGGTATATTGAATTTTAAAATAGGTACATGAAAATTTTAAGGTGTCCATTTTTCGTGCCGATGAGTGTTACCAACTACATACAACCAAATAAAAATTTTACCTGCGATAAATATATTGTAAAATTAATTTCTTAATTTCTAAAATATTTACCTGAAATCTTCTCCAACCTAATGACAGAATTAAAGGATCGTTCGACTTTAAAATTCTGTTATACCATCTGTGTTTCTTTATTTTAACATTCACAAAACCAATGTTTTCTTCGCCCATATTTAAAGATCCCAATACTAGAGGATAAGTTGGATCAAAATTAGTAATGAATTCGGAAGGGACATTTGCAAATTCGATTCTAACATACATCCCAGGTCTAATAAAAAGAAAAAAAAAATAATGATTAAGTAAAACATTAAAGTAATGTTAGAAAAAACTACCTGAAACCTTCCATTTGAACTCTGATCTCGTTAGGCAGATTTTCAAATACAGTTTTGTTTAACTGAGCTTGTTTCTCTGCTGTGAGCTTTAACTCATCATAAAAAGTATTCTTTTCTGTATTGTCATACTCTGAATTAAATTTCTCCTTCAACTTTCGCTTCTTTTCTGCCAGTGCCTCTCTACTTGCCTCTTCATCGATTTCAGAATCCCTCTTACGTTTATTTCCTTCAAAATAAAATTAGAACATACATTTTATAGTATACAGGGTGTCCCAATATTCCGTAGACAAAGAACTACTACGTATGTTTGGAATCAAAATAAGTTCTTTGGACACAATTTACCTCTATACAAAAGAGCTTCGTTTGTCCGCTAGAGGGAATCAAACTTTAAAAAAATAAACACATTTTTTCAGATATTTTAAGAGACGTTATTCCGATTTGATTGAGGTTTTAGGTGTCTATGTTTTGCTAAGTGCTGTAACATTTGATTTGACAAAAATCCTTTGAATAAAGCCCCGTTCTCAGAACTGCGACTGTCGCCAGCGACACGACAAAAGAACCAATCAGATTTGTACAAAATTCAAACAGCTGTCAATTTTAAATTTAGTACAGCTCCCATTGGTCGTTTGAAGTGTCAATCAGTGTCGCTGTCGACACGACGCAGTTCTGAGAACGGGGCTTTAATCTTCTTAAGCCCCGTTCTCAGAACTGCGTCGTGTCGACAGCGACACTGATTGACACTTCAAACGACACACATTTTTTTGTCTCTTGTAAAAGAAACGCCACATCGCATAGTTTTTGTGAAAAAATGTTTTCCAGAATTTTTTTTCCAAAGCAGACCTATAAAATATACAAGTACATAGTTCCAATATTCCGTGGACATAGAACAACTATGTATTTGTTGGATCAAAATATGTTAATTGCATATAATTTACCTTTATACAAAAGTGCCTCGTTTGACCGTTAGGCTGGCAAAGGTTAGTCTTGGGTCGAGATTTCCGTATGTAAGAAGAGTGCAATGCGTTTATAATGTACTGAACAAAGAGAGAAGAGTAAACACGTTGCCAAACGTATGAAATGAATCGAGAAACTGTGCACATTGCTAAGAGACGTGGAAGGGGATATAGCAGATTTGTCGCAGTTGACCGGTCGACCCAATCAGTACGTCTGTCAGTAGTTAAAGTTCTAGAGGAAGGTGTACATCATGCGTTCAGCTTCACGATTTAATTACGTCTCGTGATACTTTATCTGTTTATGTATTAACGAGTCGTTGTAATTTTTCCTATAGCTTGAAATTTTTTAAGTGCAAGCTAGAAACACATTTTTGGTAAAAATAAGTGGAATAGAGTTGGTTTTCGACAGCGGTCGGGCTATTAGAAAATCGATATCTCGAAATCTATTAGAAATAATTGATTGTAGTTTTTTCAAAAACTTTCTTAATATTTCTGCTGTATTTTCGTCGTAGACAGTAAGTGAAAATCTTTACGACGATAATTACACGACTGTTGAAAATTGCTATGCTCTAAAAGGAAATAGATGGGTTGTTTACAATTTTTGAATGGAAAAAAACCACCTTATCGAATTTTTCTAATGTAAACATATTGTAAAAGATCCTATCTTCAAAATAAAAAAAAGTTTCTATATCTAAAGTGTTTCTTGAGTTATGGCGTGTTATGTGTTAAAAAGTTGAGTTTTGAAATTATCGCGATTACTATCGTTTTCTCGTTATAAAAAAATGACACCTTAAAGATATCCTTATAATTCCAATTCAGATGCTCAGAAACATTTCTAATGATTTTATCTAGTTATCTTTTCGAAAAAAAGTCCTATTTTTAAAGGACTTTTTTTGCATATCAAAAATCTTAGGTACACTGCGATGGGCCTCAAATATGGCCGACTTAAATTCCGGTTTATCAGTGCCGTTCTAATTTTATTTAAAAAATGTAAGTAGTAGGGTGGACGTGGGGTAGACTCAATAATTTGTTATTTTATTTTACGTTGTGAATAAATGTTGGTAGTTATTAAAATTGTTATAAAAATATATAATTCTAATAAAAATAGATAAGTTATAATAAGTATTTATTAACACAAACATCCGATACGCTACTGAAGCAGGTAAGTCAAATTAACGTATCAAAATTCTTTGACATCTGATCTTTGACAAGTAGTAAATAAAGTTTTTAAAATGCAAGAAAATATATAATTTAGTTAATTTAAGTGAATTTTATAAATGATCGGTTTACTACACGTATGTATATTATATAGTCACTTACTAGCGAAAAGTTGTTCCATTATTTCACTCGATTTTTGCCGAGATCTACCGCACACTACACAACCAACTATTTTCGAGTCTTTTTCGATAAATCGCGATAGTGTCACTGTTAATTTAAGTTCTGCCACAATTTCCATCTAGATTTACTACCTTTATACAACTATCAGTAGTAGAATAAATAATAAATAACATAAAATAAGCTCCGTAAAGACTGACAAATCCACAAAATTTCAAATCAAATTCAAATGTGTCAAATGAATCGTCAAACAGAACTGTCAAGGATCCCCACCCTAGAGTGCTTTTTCCGCCCACCATGCATGAATACATGGATAGCATTATGCTCCTTCCTTAGTCTTCTTATTCAAAGACAAAAATCAAGGAAAAGTACTGGGAGAGTGAAAACTACCCCTACCCCTACATAAATTTTGGTATAAATATTTTCTAACTCCACCGACGGCCGATTTTCTTTTTTGTAAAATAGCCCCTCTAGTATTTCTACTATTTTTTGCCTCTTGTAAAAAAAACACCACCATGCATATTTTTTGAGAAAAAAAAAATTTTTCCAAAGCAGAAAAATGTTTTTTGTCACATCAAGCTATGGAGGCACATAAAATCTGTTGTGCTCTAATAATCTAGTTGCGAAAATATGGAATTTTATGTTAGTATCACGAATTATATTTGACCAATAACCTTCATATACCGTGCTGGCAACTGTTACTCTTAGGTCGGTATTTACATGTGTGGAAGTAAATCGAATAGGGATCTTATTAAGTCGGAGTGAGAGAAATGCGACGGAGTGCTGTTGCGGCGTTGCCGGTACGCATTTCCCTATCAAGTAAAGTAAAATCACGATCGCAAACCGCTTATTTTTAAAGGACTTTTTTTCGAAAAGATAACTACATAAAATCATTAGAAATGTTTCTGAGCATCTGAATTGGAATTATAAGGATATCTTTAAGGTGTCATTTTTTTATAACGAGAAAACGATAGTAATCGCGATAATTTCAAAACTCAACTTTTTAACATATAACACGCCATAACTCAAGAAACACTTTAGATATAGAAACTTTTTTTTATTTTGAAGATAGGATCTTTTACAATATGTTTACATTAGAAAAATTCGATAAGGTGGTTTTTTTCCATTCAAAAATTGTAAACAACCCATCTATTTCCTTTTAGAGCATAGCAATTTTCAACAGTCGTGTAATTATCGTCGTAAAGATTTTCACTTACTGTCTACGACGAAATATAATAGATTTCGAGATATCGATTTTCTAATAGCCCGACCGCTGTCGAAAACCAACTCTATTCCACTTATTTTTACCAAAAATGTGTTTCTAGCTTGCACTTAAAAAATTTCAAGCTATAGGAAAAATTACAACGACTCGTTAATACATAAACAGATAAAGTATCACGAGACGTAATTAAATCGTGAAGCTGAACGCATGATGTACACCTTCCCCTAGAACTTTAACTACTGACAGACATACTGATTGGGTCGACCGGTCAACTGCGACAAATCTGCTATATCCCCTTCCACGTCTCTTAGCAATGTGCACAGTTTCTCGATTCAGTTCATACGTTTGGCAACGTGTTTACTCTTCTCTCTTTGTTCAGTACATTATAAACGCATTGTACTCTTCTTACATACGGAAATCTCGACCCAAGACTAACCTTTGCCAGCCTAACGGTCAAACGAGGCACTTTTGTATAAAGGTAAATTATATGCAATTAACATATTTTGATCCAACAAATACATAGTTGTTCTATGTCCACGGAATATTGGAACTATGTACTTGTATATTTTATAGGTCTGCTTTGGAAAAAAAGTTCTGGAAAACATTTTTTCACAAAAACTATACGATGTGGCGTTTCTTTTACAAGAGACAAAAAAATGTAGTAAATAAATGCTAGAGGGAGCATTTTACGAAAATAAAATCTGTCGTCGGTATAGTTCGAAAATACTTATACTAAAATTTATGTAAGGGTGGGGGTAGTTTTCGCCTTTCCCGTACTTTATTTGGTTTTTGTGAAAGCAAAATGTTAAAGTACTTGCAAGACAATATATAGCAAAAGCAGAAACACCCAAAATCTAATTCAAATCGGAATAACGGTTCTTAAAATATTTGAAAAAATGTGTTTATTTTTTTAAAGTTTCATGCCCTCTAGCGCAGAGACAAAGCACTTTTGTATAGAGGTAACTTGTGTCCAATGAACTAATTTTGATTCCAAAAATACATAGTAGTTCTATGTCCATAGAATATTGTGACACCCTGTATACATAATAATATAAAAATCAAAACATGTTAAAAACAGACAAAAACTGGATTGATCCATTTTTATAGGTGCCAGAAAAAATTCAAGAAATGTCAAGAAATTCTTCAAAAATTATATAAAACAATATGAAATTAAAAGGTCTTACCTGACTGATTCTGTGTGTCAGAATTAGGATCCGGTGTTGCTGTATGTTTTTCACCAGTTTCCAGATCTTCAAAATCCCCATACATATCTCCATCTGAACCTTCCAAATCCTCTGCCTCGTCCAGTTTTAAAAGTTCACTTGCATCTTCAGAATCTTTCCATTTTCCAGTTACAAAGCAATTTATTATTAATTCTTTATTCTGTAACAAATAATAGATGTAACTAATCTACCACATAACTACAGTATAAGTCTCATTTTTATATTTTTTAATATAATTCTATAAAAACTGTTCACCTCTTCTGTTGTCCAGTCTTTTGTTGCAGTATTCCATGGGAATATCAAAGCAGATTCTGTTAAATCCATTGTATCTTTCTCCAATCTTATTTTTTCCTGTTCCTTGGTAACATTTCTTGTTATCAAGTCTTCGACGCTATCATTGTCTGAATTCTCTTCAATTACTTCTTTCTCTTTATGTTTCAAATCAAATACGCCTAGAATTAACTTATTATTATATTTCTTACTATTTTTTAAAATGTACTTTTACCATAAACTAGTTTCATTAAATTTTGAGATCCTGCAATTCTATCTAGAAAAGCGTCTTGAGCTTTCTTCAACAAATTATCTTTCCATTTAACTGCCATGTCCTCATCAGGTTCATCATCATCTGAATCACTGTTAGAACTATATTCTTCATCTTCATTATCATTCAAAATATCTTCATTATCTTCTAAATCTTCTGTGTTTTCTTTATTTTTCTTCTTATCCTCCAACTCATTCAGAACATTTTTAATCTTTAAATGAATGCCACTATTCTTATTTACTGATTCTGGTAAGGTATCCTCCTCAATATCACTAGCATCCTCTTCAGAATCCTCAGAAGTTTCAGAAAACGATTCATTATTTTGAAAAATAACCTTACGCCTTATTCTTCCATCACTCTCGATTTTTTCTTCTGAATAGTTGCTTGTTCTAAGTTGTTCTAGCTCATCATTTAATATTTGATCATCACCTGTATTAGTTTTCAAAATACTATTTACAGGCTTACTAATTTCAGCAACAGTGCTATCTTTATCATGTTCTTCTTCAAAATCTTTAGCAGTAAGTTTCTCTCCACCAGTAAACAACTGCATTTCCGAATATTCCATCTTTACATCCAATGTTTCCTTAGTGTCAATTAAGTTAGATACTATATTTTCTTCTTCGTCCTCATCATTTTTCTTGTTATGACTATGAGAACCGGCTAACTCAACATATACAGCATCTTTATCATAAACAATACCTCCTACTCCAGAGAAAGGTGCATATACCAATTTTTCCTTCTCTACTAATGAGCGTTTTTTTAATTCTTCAGGAAGTGGACAAGGATCGGGTAGATAAGATATATCTTGAATTTTTAAATCACCAAAACCTAAAATTTAGATTTAGAAGTTAAAACAAAAACATAACAATAAAATAACATTACCAGCAATGTGAACACTATTTTCCTTCTTTAAAGGTACTCCACGGATATAACCATACAATGAAATATTTCTATCACATGTAGGATCTTTTCTTATTAATTCCTGATTGGTTAAATCTTCATATCTATCTCCTAAAAGATAACTGTGACTCTGTCTCCATATTAAGGGTCTAAATTTCATTACGGATATAAAGCGCCCCAAATTTTTAATTTCATTATGCAAATATTCCCCATGAATAATACCAGAGAGGTAAAACAATTTAGCACCAGAATATACTTCAGTCCAAAATCTATGTTTAAGAGTTTTCTTTGTATTCTTTAAAGCTTTACTATTCTTTATCATATCCAGATGAGTTAAAATTCCCATAATTCTTGGCATTCCATGAACTTGACAAATATTTAAAAACTCAAATATTTCCATTTCAAATCCAAAACTAGCATCACATAACAATAAGGCTAAATCACACACTTTTGCCAAATCTATCATTGAATTGATATCATTATTACATTCAATTAAAGTTATTCTTCTTTTCTTTCCAGTAACAATCGTAACTGGACCTTTAATATCTTTTAAAGGAGATCTTGTAAATAATCTGATTAGATTATTTATTACTGTCGTTTTTCCTACTTTAGGAGGTCCAACAACAGCAATTAAAATTGGTGGGGGTTCAATAGGTGTTCGATCTACTAAAGGAATATGTTGCTTTTTAGTTTCGATATCTTGTTTACGTCGAAATCTACGTTCAGCTCTAATCGCAGAATTAAAAGCAAACGCCTTAGGATTCCTTTGTTTATCACTTAATTCCTCATTTTTGTTACGGTCATTTTTGTTTTTCTTTTTGTCAGCTTTTCGGCCTAAAATAATTAACTTAAGACTAAGGAAATTATTATACTTTTTAATACTAACCAGAATTTCTCTCTCTATGTGACTTTTTGCTCTCTACGGGTTCCTCTTGTCCCATTTTCCTCTTATGTTAAATATTTAATATCTATTAAATTAAAAAGATTTAAAAACCACATTAAGCACTCAAAACTCCACAAAAGTTTGATTTGAGGTTATGATTTGAACATAAAGGTTAGAGTTACATTTCTTCCTTTAATGTTTTTAATGGCCCCGCGTCATTCACCTTTTTTTAAGTTACCGTTTCAACCAAGGATGGGCATGAGATGGAATGGTCAGGGATGGGCATGGAAAAAAGTGGTTTTTGATATTTAAAAACTGTATGTTAGGTGATTTATTATTTTCTGCAGAAATGTAAAATTAGGCGAAAACAATCAAAAATGCACTTTAGAAATTATTTTACTTTATCTAGAAACAATATCTTAGGGATGTTCCATTTTTCTTATCGATATACAAAGTGATGTTTTTCATATATAAATAATATATTGATATGATGTTATTATGGTTACTTAATCTATGGTATTGATGACAAACAAGTTTTTGACATTTTCTGTTGCTAACTAACCTCTTATTCCATTACAAGCGGAATTTTTGTTTGTAAAAAAAGTGTTTCTCCATTTCCTAGTAAACATTTTTATTTAGAAACTACTTAACATGGAAGGCCCAAATGACTGGATGGATGCACCACACAGTACGGGGGTAAGTTTTTATAATTTCATAAAATTTCAAGAGAAGTTATCCATAAATATCTTGTTTGTTTCTAAAGACCTCTATTATGGCAGCAGAATTTGATAATGGTGTTATAATTGGAGCAGATTCCAGAAGTACCACCGGGTAAAATTGGCTTATCTGAATTTGTATAAGTTAACTATTAACATAATTATGTTTCAGAGCTTATATAGCAAATCGTGTTGCTGATAAACTGACTAGAATTACTGATCGAATTTATTGTTGTCGATCTGGTTCAGCAGCTGATACACAAGCGATAGCTGATATTGTCTCTTACCATTTAGAGTTTCATGGGTGAGTACAATTTGCAGTTTCTATAAGGGCTTGTCTTTTAACATATAAATCATTTAGAAATATAGCTAAGCTCTGGTTATATATATACTAGTCAAAATACACTTGTATATTAATTAAGTACAATTATTTCCTGAAAAGTCTTACCTGCCTGCAACTAAGATATATTCGGATGTTCATCAGTAGTATTAACTAATAATTGTTTAATATTTAACTTTTCAGAATGGAGTTAGGTGGAGACCCTCTTGTAGAAATTGGAGCTAATGTCTTTAAAGAATTATGCTACAACTATCGTGACTCTTTAATGGCTGGAATTTTAGTAGCTGGATGGGATAAGAAAAAAGGTTTGAAACTTTATATTTGTTGGTTTTCTAAAGACTTACTTTTAGTACATTTTATATATGATGACAAAAATTAATTTTCTATATAATTTTTTAACCATAGGTGGTCAGATTTACTCAATACCAATAGGTGGAATGTGTGTTAGACAACCAGTGTCCATAGGTGGATCTGGTTCAAGTTATGTATATGGTTATGTGGATGCCAATTTTAAACCAAATATGACACAAGAAGAATGTGTCAAATTTGTTACTAACAGTAAGTAAAATTATTATTCAACATTAGAAATAGATAATAAATAAAGAAAATGCTTTTAACAAATTTATTTTTAGCACTGGCTTTGGCAATGTCACGCGACGGATCTTCAGGAGGAGTGGTTCGATTGGGCATTATTACTGAGAAAGGAATCGAGCGCCGAGTGGTTTTGGGAAACGAACTGCCCAAATTTTACGAAAATTAAGTTTTATATTATTTGTAATCTAAGTTCTTAAATAAAGATCATTTTGGTATGCTTGATTTACGTATGCTAAACAAATTCAACTATTGTTTATTATTCTACACTATGTCCTTTGCAATTTACTATTCTAGAAAGGAGAAATGTGTGTAAACTGTGAAAAACTGTTGAGAATAAATCCAAATATCTTTTTATCTGCGATCAGAATCACTTCAAATCTACAAAACTTTCGTTGCAAAACAATTTGTGAGAGATATATAAAAAATATGGCGATTTTCTGAAATATTAAAAGCAAGCCCCTATACCTACTTTACTTATTAGGATAATAGGTAAAAAGACAATAAATACCTAATTAAAAAGAATTTATTTGAATATCTAGAAGGAAAAGAAAAACATTCACTAAGGATAAGCTTTACACTGCCTTATCTTGAATTATATACACGTCAATTCACATAAAAATTACAAAAGAAAAGACTCACTTATTCTAAAAAAACTAAAATATTAGGAACATTATAAAAATAGATAAATACTCTAAAAACAGATCTCCTTACTAATATATATGTAACTAATAAAGAAATAACAAAACTACATTCTATATGGTGGCCAAAAAAACCGTAAATTATGTCGTTTTTTTATCATGTGGTATATACATAATATACAGGGTGATTCCTGTAAGTTGGTCATACTTTCAGGGAATGATGGGGGACGTCGAAATATTAATTTTGATATAGCACACTATGGGTCGGAAATGCCTCTTACCCAAGATACAGGGTGTTAAGTTTTTTAAAAATTAAAGATATTCTTTAATAGTTTTTTAACAGTTTAAGCTATCGCTATAAAATGTTATTATAGGAGTCTACCTAACAGAGACACTTTAAATGTAAAAATAAAAGGTTATAGTTTCAACCAGTGGCGTAGATGTGATACGCATACGGGTATTTTTTTCAAAAAAAAAATAGTACGCCACTGCTAAAAATAAAAATTTCGGAGTTTTTTTTTATTTACTTGGTTTATTTCCAAGAAAATAATGTCTCTTGCAATCTTTTCCTATCTAACACCATTTTGTCACAATTTAAAAATAAATAATTTTTTTAATGAGAACCTTAAATATGCGAATTATTATAACTATAACTACCTTAAAACTAAGAATTTTATTATTAACAATAAAAAAATTTCTAGTTTAAATTTATAATTTTTTAAAAATTTATTTAAGGAGCAAAAATATATTTATTTTTAAATTGTAACAAAATGATGTTAGATAGAAGAAAGTTGCAAGAGACATTTTTGCTTGAATAAACCGAGTAAATAAAAAAACTCTAAATATTCTATTTTCATTAGTGGCGTACTATTTTTTTGCAAATATTACCTGATGCTTTTTACATCTACGCCACTGGTTGAAACTAAAACCTCTTCTTTTTACATTTAAAGTGTCTCTGTTAGGTGAACTCTTATAATTAATTTTTTTATAACGATACCTTCAACCAGTAAAAAACTATTAAAGAATTTTTCAAAAACTTTAAACCCTGTATCTTGCGTAAGAGGCATTATTTCCGACCCATAGTGTGCTATATCAAACTTAATATTTCGACGTCCTCTGTCGTTCCCCGAAAGCATGACCGACTTACAGGAATCACCCTGTATACTGATCTACAGGGATACACATACTGCAAAATAATGTTATTAAGTCGTTTCTACATTTTAAAATTTGACATTACAAAAACTATTTTATTTCAATACATTAGTTCTAGTAGCTTATTAGATATTTATTTATGAAAAAAAAAACATTTTAGACCAGTGGCGTCGCGGATTTCGGATATGTGGGGAAGGGATTTTCATTAAATTGTGAGATTTATAAAATAAATAAATTTTAAGGTGTATTTGAAATAGTAGGTACCTATACTTCTTTATTATTATACAGAGTGTAGAAGAATAAGCTTGAAAAAAAAATCGGCTGATTACTTATTAAAAAAACTCATCAAACTATTTTTGATAAAGGTCGATTTAAAAAATTACTTGATTTTTTTGTCTTTATTTATTTACACTCTGTATATTTAGTATTAAGATTAAACATATTGTAAAAGTCAACTTATGGTAGATTTCAACATACCAAGAATATCTGTATCAAAGTTGAAATGAACGCTATAGATTTTGAGTCCATATATGGTTAAGAATAAGAGTTTATGATTGAATGGAATAAAAATAATATTAAGTAGGTTAAGTAAGAGTAAAAAGTTGCCTTTATTCTGACTGTTAAGCTTATTGTCTACTTATAAATACTAAAGCCATATGTATGTATATTAATGACATTTCTAAAAAAATATCAATTTGCCATATTATTATTGGCTCGAGACTTGAAAAATAACTGACATTACAAATAATATTAAAAATAAAACTAATTCGTCAATACAATATTGTAAAGTTTAAATAGTGTTTCTATAACTAAAATAAATGTACTTAAAAACAATAAGAAAAGTAATAGACTGGTCCTATTTAGAAAAAAATACTGTAGTAGTGTGGTAGCTACTCGGGCTCGTTGAAAATATGTTTTAGATCGTGTTCATACAGGGCAATAACCGCCATAATACCCACACCGACAAGAAGTCCGCTTAAATGCAAGAAGCACTGTAAGAGATTATCGTCTTCGTCGTGAGCTGAACTCAGTTCAGGGATCATGTCGACCAGAGCGATATAGATGAACGTACCGGCAGCTGCAGCGAACAACCAGGAGTTTGCTGTCTCGGTATTTCCTAAAAATAGTTCCGGAAAGAATTTAGAGAAAGCGTCAAATTAAAAGGCAAATAAAAAAATATAATGGTAATGCTTAAACATCAAATTTTATAATGCAATTATTAAGATATACAGGGTGCGTCTCAAAAGTGGCTCACCCCTATAACTTTACGAATAATTTGGTAACACCCACTTGATATTTCGAGTTAAATTGTCGTTATGAACCGCATGTTACAATTTCAAATAAACCATATGCGAAAATGTCAAAAGTTGACATATGATATGTAATTATATTCAGAATGTCATTTTCTATTGAATTAAGCAGAAATATCCCGAGGGTTCCATTTAAAAATCCAAAGTTGTAGTCATTTTCGGTGAAACAGGAAGTGACAGAAAGCAATTGAGCGCCCGGATTGCAGAACGACCTTAGCGCGTGGCCGCGGGCAGCCCAGTAGAACAGAATATCTAGCTACGCAACAGAAAAATACTCGGAATGAAAGAGCTAAAATTGCACAAATAGAATACTAGATGGCGCGACAATATCATAATCAGAATATAATTGGAAATTTTGAACTTTCGGTTTTGGATCGACGGCTCGTCGACGGCCTTGAAGCTCGGCTATATATGCACAGTTGCCAGATTCAAAAAGGCTTTAATTGGCATCCAATTCTCTTTTGTATAATAGTTTCTTTCTATTCTTCTTTTCTTGTCAGATACACTTATATTAATTATTCGTTTGGCTTTAAAAATCGTTTTAAGTATATTATTACAAAAATATACATTTTTAATATACACTACTGTATTATGTTAACTAAGAAAATACCTTTATAAAATTAATAATACACAGGGCGATTGATAGTGATATTTATTAATGCTGGAACGTTAGTAATGAAATATAAGTTTAATAATAATGGAAATAATTTATTAAAATGCAGTACAAAAAATGTTAATTGACTAAAAAATACTATATAAAACAAATTTCTTCTGTTTTCCACGTTATTTATATAGACCTAGATAGATTTTAAAAAGCGACACAGGTATAATTAATAATATATTAGTTCGGCATAAAAGTTGCTGTCACGACATCGAACAATAAATTAAAATTCGTAAAATAAATTAAAATTATTAATTAAACAAATCTTTATAAAGAAACGCAAGTATACCAAATTTGGGCCCAATCGAACTCCAGGAAATGATATCATAATAGTGGACTATATTATGGTACCACTCGATATGCTTTAAGGTACCATAATATTGCAATGTCACCGAAAATCGGTAGTATACCAAATTTAAGCACAATCGAACGCTAGGAAATGGTATCGTAATATGGTACTATATTAAGGTACCACTTTATATACATCATAGTACCATCATATTAAAATGTATCCGAGGATATGTAGTATACCAAGTTTAAGCCCAATCAAACGCCAGGAAATGGTATCGTAATATGGTACTATATTAAGGTACCACTTTATATGCATCATAGTACCATCATATTACAATGTAACCGAAGATACGTAGTATACCAAGTTTAAGCAGCCCAATCGAACGCCAGAAAATGGTATCGTAACATGGTACTACATTACGGTACCTCTTGATATGCTCCATGGTACCATAATATTACAATGTCACCGAAGATACGTAGTATTCCAAGTTTAAGCCCAATCGAACGCCATGTATGGTACTATATTATGGTACCAGTTGATATGCTTCATGGTACCATAATAATGCAATGTCACCAAAAATACGCTAATATATATCAAATATGAGCTCAATCGTTCGATTGAGTTGGAAATGGTATTCTAATATGGTACTATATTAAGGTACCACTTTATATGCATCATAGTACCATTATATTACAATGTCACCGAAGATACGTATAAAGTTTAAGCCCAATCGAACGCCATGAAAAATACGCAAGTATATTATATCAAATACCGTATGATACCGAAAAAAACGGCGTCCAGTTGGCTGGAAAAAGACGATCGATGACATTTCCCATATAAATTTACATATAAAATGACAGCGATCTTCATTTCATAGCCATCGCTAACGCCGTTTTTTTCCCATTATACGGTATAAACACAATCGAACGTCAGGAAGTGGTATCATAATAGTAAGAACGGGTAATACTTATTATATTGTTGCCGAATTACAATCAAACGTCAGGAAGTGATTGTAACTCAGCTCGTAAGATTTAATTCCAACTAACATGACAAATTAAATACTTAGACGTTTGAAAAAAGAGTTCTGATCTATTTTAATATGTTTAACTGATGTAGCAAATTTGAAGGTAGGCTTTATAAGGAGATATTACAATATGAATTACACAATGGCAACACTGCACAAAATTCTTTTAAATTTTGTTTGCAGAAAACTATTTTATTTTAAATTTATTGCCCTCTATTATGTAGTAGCTAAACTACCGCATCAAAATATCTGATTTGGAGACAGGCTTTAAAAGCTTCTGTCGCGTAGCTAGATATTCTGTGCCAGTAGGCAAGCGAGACATCGACGCTTTACTGCGCGCCGATTTAACAAAATAAATAATTTTAAACCTGCTGTCATTTCGTTAATAATTATCGTATCGTGTTGATTTTTGCATAGAAATACTCATGACTCTTTAGCTAAGCCTAAATAACTGGATTATTTTTTATATTTTCGATTTGTTTACATTGCCCGAGCATATTATAACTTTGAGATAAAAATCTCTGTTATAAATTTTAAAACTGACAAATATGAATACTATCATTTAATTAGTTATACATTTAGTTACAACATATTCAAAATTTGGGTCCATCCGTTTATGCTAGCAGTAATAACGAGTATAAATAAAAAAAATGGTCAGTACATGGTAACGTTCGCCGTTTTTAGCGCATGTTCAGCTTTGGGTTTAGTTTTAGCGCTATTTTTACAGAAAATAAATTCTGAACTTTGATCAAACGACAAGAACATTATCATTGCCAATATCTCCTGGTTATAATGCAGTTCTTTTTGCAAAATATTGCATTGTTTTAGCTTAAAAAACTTGAATTATGCGGCTTTTTTGCGAGAGCTACCGGAGCTGCGTTAATAAAGATATGGCCATGTACGTCAATCATAGCCACAATATACTGTAATTTTACCTCGTCACGAGATTTTTTAGAAATATTGCACTTCCATTTATCCGGATTTCTACTAACTTTTGACTTTTCTTTTCGGTCGCATTTCCCTCTATTTAATAATAAATAATTTTAAAAAAACGCACAAATACTACTGGTAGTAAACAAGCTGTGGCAAAAATTTTCTATACTCCGTGTAAACAAAAGTCTATCGTAAATACTGTCTTTCGATTGACGTACATAGCCATCTCTTTATTAACGCAGCGCCGGTAGCTCTCGCAAAAAAGCCGCATAATTCTAGTTTTTTTTAAAGCTAAAACAATGCAATATTTTGAAAAAAGAACTACATTATCCAAGAGATATCGGCAATGATAATGTTCTTGTCATTTGATCAAAGTTCAGAATTTATTTTCTGTAAAAATAGCTCTAAAACTAAAACCAAAGCTGAACGTGCGCTAAAAACGGCGAGCGTTGTACTGACCATTTTTTTATTTATACTCGTTATTACTGCTAGCATAAACCGATAGACCTAAATTTTGAATGTGTTGTAACTAAATGTATAACTAATTAAATGATAGTATTCATATCTGTCAGTTTTAAAATTTATAACAGAGATTTTTATCTCAAAGTTATAATATGCTCGGGCAATGTAAACAAATCGAAAATATAAAAAAATAATCCAGTTATTTAGGCTTGTCGGAAGCGCTAAAGACTCATGAGTATTTCTATGCAAAAATCAACACGATACGATAATTATTAACGAAATTACAGCAGGTTTAAAATTATTTATTTTGTTACATCGGCGCGCAAAAACGCGTCGCTGTCCCGCTTGTCTACTGGGCTGTCCGCGGCCACGCGCTAAGGTCGTTGTGCAATCCGGACGCTCAATTGAATACGACAATCAATCCTAATTTATGTCATATACTAACATACCAAATCTCGATTTTTTATCATAAAAAATAAAAAAGTTATAGGGGTGAGCCACTTTTGAGACGCACCTGGTATAAATAAACCATAGAAATAAACTAGGGAAGGAATCGAAACAGCGAAGGAATCTAAATGACACGAAAAACGTAACCCTCAAATTTTCGAAGATTTTATAGCGTTATAAATATAATATAATTGGCCTTACTAAACAAACTTACAATTTTTATAATGAAAACAATCACTCACCTAAAAACAAGCCCACTAAGTTTCCTAGGACGCACAATCCACTGCATAACAAATTGTAAAACAGTGCTTGCTTGATACTCATGCCAGCTTTCAAGAGCATCGCAAAATCTCCTAACTCGTGAGGTAACTCGTGACAGAAGACAGCCAAAGTTGTTGAAAATCCCCCTGCTAGACCGCTGGCAAAAGCAGCGCCAATTGCCATTCCATCGGTAAAATTATGAAGGCCATCTCCCATTATTACCATCCACGCCACTGAAGAGTAATTCTGAAAAAAATTTAATTGAGCTATGTATATGGGCACACATCTGTGGAGAACCCTGTATATTATTACATTTTTAGATTCTACGATTGAAATAAAGGTAAATTTAATTAAGGTTTATGACACAATTTTTAGGGTTACGCAAAAATTTTAAGGCTTCATTTCTCCAAGGGTATCAAAGTTTTTAATACTAAATATTTACTGAAGTTTATTTATTGATCAGATATTGTGTTGCAATAATAAAGAAAATACTACCTTATACAGAGTGTCTAAAAATTTATATTAAATAATTACTACATTTAAACGGCAATAACTTGTTTAATTTAAATGAAACATCCTGTATATTTTACGAGAATCAGATGCACAATTTAATTGTCTATAAAATTTTATTATACCATTTTCTACCTATCCCTCAAGTTTTCGTAGAAAATGCATTTTCTTATAATTTAGACCTCATTTATATCATTATACCCATGGAATATTGACATTTTAGATTATTTTTAAAGATGTAACAAATTTTCAAAGAGTACAGATACTAATATTATCGATATAGTTCATTTATTTCATTAAAAAATAAAACTCTGCTTAAATATTTTTTTTTGTTAAATAGCACCAATTAATATGATCCCAGTATTCAAACTACATTAATTGACTGTTTACTTTGATTAATAATAATTGCTCCAAATACTAAAAAATGAATTTTGTATGTGTACATATTAGACAGTGTGGTAAAAGTAACACCTTATACATTTTATTTAATTTTTTGACAAATGCTTATTTATAACAACAGCGACGTTCATTTTCATAACTTATTATTATATTGATTACTGAAATCCACATTTATTTAGAATAATTTATCAATTCAAACAACTAAGTATGTAATTAACTAATTTTTGGACGGAAATAATGGTGGTATATTTAATTGGTATACTCTTTTACAAAGATTTAAATAGTTTTCTTTTTGTAATCAAATGGGCTTGCAATATTATTATTTTTATCAACTGTATATTTTGTACATATGTTGCCTTAAAAAAATCTAAAATGTTAATATTACATGGGTAGTGATAAATGAGATCTAAATTATAAAGATGCATTTTCTACGAAAACTTGAAAGATAGGGAAAAAAAGGTATAATACAATTTGATAGACAATTAAATTGTGCATCTGATTCACGTAAAATATACAAGGTGTTCGGTTTAAATTAAACAAGTTATTGGCCGTTTAAGGCTAGTAATTATTTAATATAAGTTTTTGGACACTCTAGATAAGGTAGTATAATTTTTATGATTGTAATACAGTAGTACAATTCAGTAAATATTTAGTATTAAAAACTTTGATACCCTTGGAGAAATACAGCCTTAAATTTTTTACTGCAATTTCACAAAATTGAAAATATTTCAAAAACGGAAAGGTTTAATTGTGATAAACCTTAATCAAATTTATCTTTATTTCAATCGTAGAATCTAAAAATAGAATATACAGGGTGTTCCATTTACAAAAAAATACAACTATAATATTTTTTATTTATTTGGGACACTCTGTACCTTGTTAAATTATTTTTAAATTGTAGCTCTAATAGTCCTGCAACGAACCCAAAACTTACAATTTGTAAAAATCTAGTCGTTTAGCTACAATACACCGTGTCGTATCTGGCGAACAACCCTGTATATAAAAAAAAATCGTATTCTGTCAATATACCTTTGGTGCAGAATGAACGTGTCCGTGCTTGTGTGAATGGCCGTGATGATCGTTGCCGTGTTCACGGACAATGACGGTATAGTCTTCGTGATCGCGCGGCAGCATTCGAGACTCTATGCAGGGAGTGGACACCGAGTCGGCATCCGGGACGTTTTGGTTAGCCTCTATTTTTTCTGCGTTAGCTTCTTTGGAATTTTTCATTTGGAGATCGGGTTTAGAACCTAATAATTCCAGTGCGCTATTATCGGGTTCTAAGAAAGTAGTGTCTATAGAAAAATAAGACTTAAGTATGACATTCCCTATAAAAATTATCGAGTGTTGTTAAATTTAAACTGTACAATTTAGAATTACTATTGAAAACTTGAATTGTCTTAGCCCAATTACTTAAGATTTTTTCAATATAAAAATTACGAGTGTCGGAACATCTGACACTCAGTGGCTAAAATCTGTAAGTTTGGTTAAATATTAGCCTTTGAGGTTAAAAATGACGCCCTAAAAGGCATATTTTACATTATTTTTGATTTGGGCTCCCCTAAAATAAATTCCTGTATCCGCCCCTGCTGACACTGCTAGTTTCTATTTGCCATGTAGATGATAAAATCAGTCTTGTCTATACCGGGTGCGTCTCAAAAGTGACTCACCCCTATAACTTTTTTAATTTTTTCAGATAAAAAAAGCGAGATTTGGTATGTTAGTATATCACATAAATTAGGATTGATTGAAGTATTCAATTATTTTCGGTCACTTCCTGTTTCACCGGAAATGACTACAACTTTTGATTTTTAAATAGCACCCTCGGTATATTGCTACTTTATTCGATAGAAAATGACCCTCACAGTAGAATGACATATTAAATGTCAAGTTTTGACATTTTCGCATATGGTTTATTTCAAAATATAACATGCGGTTCCTAACGAAAATTTGTTTCAAATACCAAGTGTGTGGTATCAAATTATTCGTAAAAAAATGCTTTATAAAAATATGCTAATGAGCCACCCTCGTTCCATCTGAAAAAATTGAGATATGATTAAAAATAGGATTTGGGCATCTTTTAACCGGTCAGGACAAGACACTAAAAACATTAGACAATCAAATCTATTTTTCCAAGGCTCCTTGATAAAACATGAGTGTTTTTAACATAGCCATGGCACACTAGATGGAGATTTTACGATTTTTATAACAAACAAAGTACAAAAATACCGAGGGTGCCATTTAAAAATCAAAAGTTGTAGTAATTTCTGGTAAAACAGGAAGTGACCACAACAATTGAATACGTCAATCAGTCCTAATGTATGTCATATACCTACTAACATACCAAATCTCGTTTTTTTATTTGAAGAAATAAAAAAGTTATAGGGCTAAGTTTGGGCAACACTTTTGAGACGCACCCGGTATATCGTATGATTGAAAAAAAAACGGCGTGAAAGACAGCTGGGAATGACAATCGATGACAATTTTGGCAAGGCCAATCTCTAGACGTCATTTGCTAAAAATTGACATAAAACTTCAAAATTCAACCACTAATTATAGAAAAATTAAAAAAGGATTTCCACAAACAAATATATTTCCCAAAAAATATCTTTTCTCGAATTTTAAACTACACCATGTAAAAATCGTTTTTACTCAATAAAAAAAAATAAAAACCTTCTTAAGCCTAACTGGCAGCAAACCCCATTAAAAAATAAAAGAGTACGGGCCAAGTAATGACGTCTAGGGCTTGATCTCGTCAAAATTGTCATATCCCGGCCTTCTTTGACGCCGTTTTTTTTTTGATTTTATGGAACTGTTTTATTTCTAGTCTATCCAACGAGAGGATCGATGACAGTGACAGATGTATATGTCACTTTAATTTAGAAGTAAATTATATTTTCTGTCATTTTCTGAATGTCATCTGTCGAAATCTGCCCTAGCAAGTTGGGCAGACTATAGTAAGCATTCCTTCTAATCTTAATTGTAAATATAAAAAAATAACAGAAAAATAAAATTAAAAAGAAGTTACATTAAAATTATCAAAGTAAAAATAATAATTTAATAACGATTTTACTTACGCGTATCGTTCATGATATCTTTATAACAATAAGGAGATGTGTTGTACTTATCCATACATTGTGTAGAATTTCTTCTTTCGCCATTATCATTGTAAATTTTAACATGAGCATGCTAAAAAAATATTTTAGGTAAAATACGGCTAAAATATATAAACTAGGTTCACTGACTTTTTGCATTGAATTTTATAATTGTAAAAGTATAATTTATAATAGCCAAATACTTTACTAAAAAACATAAACATAATCTTCTGTAGGTTCATTGTTGCTTTCGACAACATTTAGTTAGTATAAAATATAAAATATTACCAATCAACTTTCATTTAAATTCAATGTGTATAGTTTTTAAAGTAATAAATGAATACATACTGCAACAGTCTTATCTTTTTGCCTATTTTTCCTCCATTTACTAATAAGTAGAATCAGTCTTTCCATTATAAAGAAAAATATCAGACCAAGCATTGCCACCAATCCTTTCCATGTATTTTGGAGGTGAGCATCGTGACCACCGCTCTCCTCTTCGTGGTTATGGTGGCCGTGTTCGTGACTACCACCCATCGCGTGAGGAAGAAGATGAAGTAAAGCATCTCCAGCAAGGGTACCTTTATCAAAAAACAACGATTTAAGCTAAATGTAACTGTAATACTGTGTAAATATAAAATATACTAGAGATGATCTATACTAGAGAATTGTATCGTATTAAGGCGGGGCTTAGGCGAAATCTTCGGTCGCCTATATCAATGTTTTTCACCAACACCAACATAAATTAATGAATAAATTGCAGGTATTAGTAATACCCTTGTATATGAATTTTTAAAGTAGCTCAACCTAAGACGTTTATGGATGTAAAGCACCAGATGGCGGGGCGTATTTCACAGTCTTTTACTACAGAAAAATATTTTTTGTTACTCTGAATTTTGAAGCGACCAATAAAAACAGAGAAAATAAAAATCGATAATTTTCGGACCGTGCCAATTGATTACTAATCGACCAGATACTTTTTGTCTATTAGATATGCTATAAAAGCTGGTAATTATACAATTCGACCATTGTAAATACCAGACAAATTCCGCAAGGCCGACGAGGCAGATGCTTTTCACTGATAAGAAAAAAAAATGTTTGTTTAGATAATTTTCGAGATATTTTTTCTTTCTGAATGCACATTTTTAAAGTATTTTATATTCTTTGTCCGCTTGATCTATTTATACTGGTCGCTCGTATCGAAGTTCTGTTTCTTCTAGTTTTAAAAAATGTTCTTATTTCTTTATAGTTGTAGTGGTTGTAGTATAAAATTAGATTAATTTTATTAAGTTTAATTATAATGTTTAGTGTAGAATACCAGAAATAGTTTAGGAGTGTTTTTATAGTTTATTTATTTTGTAGTTAAGTAGTAGGTGAAGGGATAATTTGGTTATTTTTTCTTTTTGTTTGATTAATTAGTAAGTTTATATTTTTTCAGTGTAAAATACAAGTAGTTGTGTAGTGTTTTTATAAAAGATTATATTCGTTTATTTTGTAGATGTGTAGTAGGTGAAGGTATTTGGGTATTTTTTCTTTTTGTTTTTCTTCTAATTGTAGTAATTCGATTAAGTATTGTGATAGATACGTTACATATTCCTTAAACTTCGTTGAAAAGTGCGTTATCATATAATTTTGGTTTTCTGGTAGTAGAATATACGAAAAAAAAATCTGATCAAATTTATTTTAAATTAAATTAATCGAGTCTTATTAATCAAATTAATCTAGTCAAATAAAAATAATAGTTAGTTTCTAAATACTATACAGGATGAGTTTCCTACGATGTTCTCTATGGGTATCTCGGAAACTACTGGAGATAGAGAGTCCGTTAAATGGGGAAAGAATTGCAGTTTTGTGGGGTCATAAATATGCGCCTTTCGGATTTTTCGGAGAAGTTCAAGGCTTACTAGATATTTCGAAAAACACAAATTTTGGCTATTTTAAAACTTGTCTCTAATTCCATTATAATCTACCGTATGATCGACTAAAAACGGCGTCAACGATGGCTATGAAATGAAGATCGTTGTCATTTTATATGTAAAATTATATGGGAAATATCATCGATCGTCATTTCATAGCCATCGCTGACGCCGTTTTTATTCGATCATATGGTATTTTAGACAAAAAGTTTTCAGATAAAAGTTGTAGATAATCACATACCTAATGAGTTTGTGTTTTCTGTTTTTTTTTCTAAAGCCTGTCATTTTTGACATATAACACAAACATTATGTTTTTTTTTAAATGGAAATCCTAGTTGGCCATGACTTAATAAAAAGCGCCATTCTTTAAGCTTTTCAGCGACATAGGTATAATATGTTTTTTTTTCGAAAAATTACAAGTTATAGCCAATTCTTTTCTTTCTTGGCTAATTCCCATACCAATAATACCATGCCAATTAGTTGGCATCAAAAATGTAAAAAGTTTTATGTTTTCAAAAAAAATATCGTAAAATTCGTAAAGCACTCAATTTAGAATAAAATAATCTAAGAATGAAATGATTCTTTTATAAACCTGCATTAAATCAAATTAAAATAGGTGTGTAACTTTTTTTTTAATTTATTAATTAACAGCAATTAGCATTATCATAAATTATAAATAATGTACCAACATATCGAAATAATAATTTCTTTGTTAATACGGTTTAGAATTTTTAAATAACAGGCAAAAATAATCCACAATTTACAATAAAATAAAAGTTTCGTTTAAATTTCTTAATCAGCTGATCATTATTAAAGTTCGCAGAAACCCGGGGCTATATTATTACATTACTCTGAGGAAAATAACGAAAATAATCGATATTTTTGACTCCGCCCCGAAAGGTTCACGGTTTGTCCTCCAGTTGGCAGCACATTTTGTCTAGTCGGTTGAACAACTTTAAGAATATATAAACAAGGGTAATACCCTTGTAATACGTATAATAATTGCGATTATAAAATAATTTATGGAGAATAGTCTTGGAAATAAATTTCCAGAAGCTTTCAAATTATTTGTTTTAATTGTTACTACACCATTTAGATACAAGTACTTTGGGTTGAGCATTGTGGGAAGGAATTTTTCTGTGGGGGGGTCAAATAGACGAAACTAAAATTTTGTCGCCTACCCAGTCCCGAGGGTCACGAGCCGCCACTGATAGCGTGAATTCAATCAAAATATGGAATGGAAACTGAAGGTATAGTGAGAATCAACCTTATGGGTTCCGTTCTTTAGCCGACCATACCAATAGGTATGGTAGGCTATTAAGATCGGCAAAAAAAAGTTTTTTTAATTTCACTCAAAATTAGTTATTTGGGTCATAAATGACCTAAATACAAAATATTTTCATGGTGTCTGTGTGTCTGTCGGTTTGTCCGTCTGTCTGTCTGTCGGTCTGTAACACGATAATTCAAAAACCGCTGAACCGATTTTAACCACACCCGAGAATCTGGTCATTAGCTTTTGGTGGGGGTGTGGGATTGGTAAGGGGGTATGGGAGAGGGTTAAAAATTTTAAAAAATCGTAACTCCAAAATTACAGTAGCTAGCGAAACGCGGTTTTCATCTTAAGATTAGGAATAATATTTGCAAAAAATTTGTAATAACATCAAAATCAGTCAAAGTCGCAGTTTTTGAGATATTAACATATTTTAGTATGGGCGGCTATACGTGCCGCCCGGCGCCAATTTTTTTCTTTTAAGATACGGAACCCTAAAAATCAATGTAAATTACGATTTTCAAAAAATTAATAACTATAGTGTTTTTTTTTTCAAGGAGATATGTTCAAAATATTTACTTACCTACTGCTAAAGCTACCAAAAATTGCATCAGAGGTTTATAAAACCTTTTCTGCATCACCGGGATAATTATCAAGGCACCCACGCCGCAAATGCTAATTACAAAAACTGCCAGTATCGAATATACCCAGGTCATTCCATTATTTCCATAATAAATATTATCGAAAACTTGTTCTTCTTCATTATGGGAACAACTCTCGCCCAGTATGCTGTATATCAATATGGGACATATCTCTGAGAACGAGGAGTGGTTCCAATTTTCCTGTTCCGTCGATTGTTTCAGTACTCGAATAGTACTGTGATCCAGACACTGAAAAATTAGAATTCATTTTTACATTTAAAAAATAAAAAATTTAAAAAATCTTTCAATATTGATATACAGGGTGGTCCGAACTGTATTCCGGAAACTTCAGCAGCATATTCTGCAGATAAAAATAAGTAAAAAAGTTCTTATAGATGTATGAAGAAGTATCATTTTTATTTCGATTTTTTCCAAATAATTTCTGAAATAACATCAATATTTGGATGAAATTTGGTATCTGGGGGTTTTTTGATATGAGAAATTCGATTTTGATGTCAATATGGCTCCTACTTGTAGAGGGCGCCACCTACATATTTTTAACTGGTTTGAAGAGTAATAACTTTTCGTCCGTCCCTGTATAAAACTACTAAGTAAAAAAATATACATTTACGATGTTTTTAACGTAAAGAAGATCTCTGAATAAAAATCGCTACGAGTAATAGTTCTCGAGATATTTGAAATCGAAATTATCAATACTTGTCATCACTGACATAAATTAAACATGTTATAACTAAATAGTTAATAGACGGAAATCATAAATTTGAAATGTTTTGGTGCCAAATCATCACCAATCATCATTTTTTCGCAGAAAATTTTATGATTAATTTAAAAAACTAAAAATTTTCCAAATTTATCGTTTTAGTCCAATAACTATCTACTCTATGTTTATTTTTTGTCAATAATGACATGTATTGTCTATTCCCATTCTAAATATCTCGAGAAGGGTTGCTCGTAACGATTTTTACCAAGAGACATTTGTTACGTAAAAAATACGAAAATGTATATTTTTTCACTCAGCAGTTCTATACAGGTACGGACAAAAAGTTATTACTCTTCAAAACAGTTAAAACACGTGTAGGTGGCGCCCTCTACAAATAGGAGCCATAATGACATCAAAATCAAATTTCTCATGTCAAAAAACTATCAGACACCAATTTTCATCCAAATATTGACGTTACTACAGAAATTATTTGAAAAAAATCGAAATAAAAATTAAACTTCTACACCCTGTATCTCTTAAACTATGCATTTTAGGACATACATTTATATGAGGTTTTTTACTTCTTTTTATCTGCAGATGATGCTCCCGAAGTTTCCGGAATACAATTCGGACCACCCTGTATGTATACCGGGTGTGTCTCAAAAGTGGCACACCCCCTATAACTCTTTTATTTTTTCAGATAAAAAAACGAGATTTGGTATGTTAGTATATGACATAAATTAGGATTGATTAACGTATTCAATTGTTTTCTGTCACTTCTTGTTTCGCCGAAAATGACTCCAACTTTTGATTTTTAAATGGTACCCTAGGTTTTTTGTTGCTTTATTCGATAGAAAATGATACTCTGACTCTGAATAGAATGACATATCATATGTAACTTTGACATTTTCGAATATGGTTTATTTGAAATTGCAACATGCGATTCATAACGACAATTTGACTCGAAATACCAAGTGTGTGGTACCAAATTATTCGTAAAAAGATGCTTTTTCCAAATATGCTAATGAGCCACCCTCGTTCCATTTGAAAAAATTGGGATATGATTAAAAATACGATTTGGGCATCTTTTAACCAGCTAGGACAAGACACGAATAACATTAGACAATCAAATCTATTTTTCCAAGGCTCCTTGACTAAAATTTAGTGTTTTTAACACAGTCATAGAACTCTAGATTGAAATTTAATATTCAATTTTGCTTTAAGCAAAAATGTCAAAAGTTGACATATGATATGTTATTCTATTCAGAATGTCATGTTCTATCGAATAAAGTAAAAAATACCGAGGGTGCCATTTAAAAATGAAAAGTTGTGGTCATTTCCGGCGAAACAGGAAGTGACAGAAAACAACTGAATGCGTCAATCAATCCTAATTTATGTCATATACTAACATACCAAATCTCGTTTTTTTATCTGAAAAAATAAAAATTATAGGGGTGAACCAATTTTGAGACGCACCCGGCATATGATATCAATTAAACTTTTAGTTACGTAATCAAGGGCGCGATTTTTAAATTCATTGTTGCCAACCATGGACATATTCGACGTCGCACAGTGTAGCGCTCTATGGACAAAAACCAGATAAAACCTGTTTCGCATTTATACAAATATTATTATTTATCGCCTTAGAAAGGCCTATAATCACGAAAAACATATATGAAAAAAATTGATACATGAGCAGTAATTTGAATATCAGTATTTTTATTATAGTGGAAGTGTTTTTAAGTGACCGCATTTTTCAATTAAATTGGGGTGAATATTGTGTAGACGAAAAGAATATTTCCTAGCTGCACAAAATGGAGAAAAACACTTATCGTCAGTGAAACGTGATAACCTGCTAACTCCATTTTTTACATTAATAAGTTTTTTCATACCATTAGAAAGAGAAAAAAATACTCTATAAGTAGGGAAAGCAAACATATTTTTTCCCATTAAAGAAAATTTTTTATTTTAACTCAATAATATCTGCTAACTCCTAGTGATCTGAAATAGCCACCGAAATGCTGCTATCTCCGTAATTTTCGTTACGATCACGCTAAAGCAAACACACAGATTCTTAGTCGTATGTTTTTTTTAGTACAGTACGTCGATCCAGGGTCGCACTAGGCCAAAGGGGTCCGGGAGGCAATGTAAGGAGGGGCTAGTGTGTTTTTTTTGGCGTATTTTTTCGCCTTACGTTTTGGTCAATTTTTCCCTATTATATGCAGGCGGAGTCTTAAATAAGTGCAAATATTTTTAGGGTAGTATATTTAGACCCAAGAAACACGATTATGAGTTTTTTTGAGCGAATTTTTTTTTTGGAAAATTTAAAAAAAAAATTGGGATTTTTTTTTAATTTTTAGTTTAAAAACATACTTTGTAATATGGTAACATAGGTAATAGATTAAATTTACAAGAAAGAAAATCCAATGATTCTCAAAATGATAGCAAAAAATTGGAAATTTTAAAAGTGAAATAACTCGGTTGTTTTGGATTTATTTGAAAAAACGGTAAAGAGAAAATATTATGTTTCTTTTATCGAGATTTACCAGCCCTGCACATATTTGCACTTATTTAAGACTCACCCTGTATAGAAATCAGGGAACTACCCGAATGCAAGGTAAACCAATGCAATGCAAATTCCATAATGCAATGCAAAAGCAAATATTGTTAAGAATAATAATTATTCTTAATTCTCATTAATTATTAATGAAATATAAAGGGCCCCCCCCTAATAGTTATCTATATAATATGGCCAGTTCGACCCTGCGTCGATCCGTTCTGTAAATACGGGGTATCCGTAAAGGGTAAGGGGGAAAACGAAATTCTCTATATACGAGCAATTCATCGGCGTGCTATAAATAGTTTAAATAATATTACTTACTTGTTCAAGAATTTCCATAATACCTAATCAGTTTTATTTTTTTCAACGTATTTTCACGTAAATGATACATAATTTTTATAAAAATTAAAAAAATAAGGAGAAAAGTAATAAAAATTTGATAAAATCACGCACTGTCTTCCAAGCTCGGTCTACTACCGTTGTATAAAAATTAGGAGATAAGCATGGAAGGATTCTACCATATCTTCTAAGAATTATAAGTTTAATTTTTAAATTATTTTCATATTCATTAAGTCCAAAATTCTGCTACTTCAGTTCATTAAAAATGCAAAAATTTTTAAAATTTTCATTAAAAATTTATTCGTTTTTGGACTTGTATGTTTTGCTCCTAGACCGACGATATTATAAATATATGGTTATGAATATCATATTTTTTAAATTTAATTGATTATAAATCTGTTTGGGTAATATTCATTTCCACTTTCAAAATTTCAAACAATAAAGGTTGCTATCTCCAGAAGTATATGTTTATTTCTTATTTCTGCAAGACGAATATCTGCTATCTCCCTATTCTGTCGGAAAAAAATGACGTAACACGAAATATTGAGTTTTATTGTTGCCCAGCCAATAAAATTCTTATCTCTTTATAATATTAACGCATCAAAATACTTCCCACATGTGTACATATTTTTTTGTACCGTTTTTTGCTCTCCTGTAAAATTAGGCATAATGGAGTTAGCAGTTTATCACGTTTCACCGACGTTATAGTAAGTACATTCTTTTTCCATATTAGTTGTTAAATTCGATCATTGCTTTTTTATATACATGGTCATTACAAAAAGTCAAATCGAGTCTCAATGAAAACTAGTAGTGTAATTTTATTTAAGGCTTTAAAAAAATGGTATAAAATGGTAGATGAGATTTTTCGTGTAATGTTGTCCCCAGTATTGTACTTTAAACCCATTATTTCAGTTTCTGCCGAAAACTGCGATATTTTAAGTTTTCGATTTTTTTTAGGAGAATGTCTAGTACTTAAAATAAAAGATATTTTTGAACAATGGTACAATAATGCCAAAAGTGAAAGAGTGGCAAAGATTTGTGAAAAAATTAAGTTATGTTTACAATTATAAGATTGTTCTGAAGAAGTTGATTCGTTTTTACAAGAAGAAAGTCGTTTCCAGGTGAGAAAGTTCTTGTAGTTTTTTCGTTTTTTGTTGAACTTAAATTATTGCCCTTTATGATTTTAGTTTAATTGTTTTAATTTTCAAACTGAGCTTGCCATAATGTTATCTATGATTGAATAATTGTGATAGAAATAACTTTTTAACCTTTTTTGAAATTTTTTTTAACCTTTTAATTTGTTTTGTGATTGTATTTTATATTTTTTGACCTCTGTATGACTATTGGAATTTGTTTATTATTCTGATTGTAATTATTTTAGCTTTCTTGGGCCTGAAGATGGGAATTGTTAAGTCCCGAAACATGTCGCCCCCCTTCTTTTTTTGAAGCAAAATAAATTTAAATAAACATCTTAAAAGATTGTGAGTTTTTTGTCCCCTACCCCTCGTCAGAGGTTTTTACTTTGATATGTACTCAGACTGGATTGGAGAACGTTTTGTTTTTAATTTGTTATTTACTAATAATAAGAAATAATTACCCTTTGAGCTGCAGGAGATTTTTTCCATATTTATAAAAATTATAATTAATTTTTTTTTGTCCAAAATATTTTTAGTTTATTTTTATATCATAAAAATTAGTTTAAAATATAAAATATTATGTTATCTTTTATTAGTAATGTAAGAAAATACATTTTCTGGCGGTGAAAATCCAGTCCATTTTTGTCCACTTTCCCCTATACTTCAAAACTATTTTTAAAATAGATTTAAGATATTTAAATTTCACCCTGGGGATTCAGGTGATAGCTCTGCTGTAAAGAATGCCAAGTTGCCACATTTATGTATTTATTTTTTGACATTATCATTCGTTTTGACACTTTAGTTCTGTATTACGAGTTTTTGGTTTAATAAAATAGTGTTGTGATACTTTAAGCTTGAAAATGTTTATGTACTAGCAGACCTTGCAGCCGAACATTGTTCTTTTTAGAACCCCTTTTACTGCAAAGTGTACAAGATAGCTTAATAGCCGTAAAAAACTAATCGCAACTTTATTAGGATATTTTGAACGGGAAAGCGGTAGAAATGGCCCTTTATGTCCCTTAAGTGCTGTTAAGAAGGTGAGTTTTGTTGATGTAAGTATTGTTAAGAAGGTGAGTTTTGTTGAAGGTAAGTGTTTATACATTTATAATTAATTTATTTGTTTATCAAAATATTTTGATTAAAAGAAAATATGTAAAAGTGGGCAACGCTGTGCCGCCCGTCAAGCTTAATCACGTGATTAAAAATTTATTTGGTATGATGTATATTTATTTTGGTAATTCAATACAAGTCAACAAAATAATACTTTTTACATATACATTAGTGGCGTGATTGCCATAGATAATTTCGAAATAAAATAAACTTGTGAATGCTACCGTCTATAGAAAAGAAATATCTAGGTGAAGTTTAGGTAAATAAAAATCTAAGTATACCAAGATCCGGTATCTGTCGTTAAAATATTTAAATAGGCTTTAAAGATTTATCACAACAATAAGACAGCCTGTACAGTAGATAACATAATAATAAATATAAAACTATTTTACTACTATGCTAATATCTGATAACATTGTAAATGTATTTTATATTTCTTTAAGAAATGTAACAAGATATGTTTGAGCAAACATTTAGCATCAAAGATAATTATTTTAATTATCACATCTACGATAGATACACAACGACAAACAGTTTAAATGATAGATATCAGTGTGACCTCAATAGAAATTATAGTACTTATGTTTAATATTACCTATTTTTTTAACGTTAATAAAATATACTGTGTTACGTTAAATAAATAGGAGACAATTTACAGGTAAATTGTATTTTCTGTCATTTTTGGACGTGGTCTGTCGAAATCTTCCATGACACGTTGGACCAACTTTATACAGAAATGATATTTATTGCTCAAATTTATACTGTCAATTTTGTCTACTTATAAATTAGAACTTAAAGGTTATGAATCTCTATAAGACATTGACTTTTCGACCTAAAAGAATAATGCAATAATAATTTGTTCTAATATACAGAGTGGTTCGAATTGTATTCGGGAAACTTCGGCAGCATATTCTGCAGATAAAAACATGGAAAAAAGTTCGTATAAATGAATATCCTAAAATGCTTCGTTTCGGAGATACAGGGTGTAGAAGTTCATTTTTATTTCGATTTTTTTCCAAAATGTTCTATCCTTTTTAAATATTTGTTTAATTAGTTTTAATTTTTTAACAAGTTTTATGTCAATTTTTAGTAAATGACCTCTAGAGATTGACCTCGCCAAAATTATCATCGATTGTCGTTCCCCAGCTGTCTCCGACGCCGTTTTTTTTTCGATCATGCAGTATTTAAATGAACTGACCATTCTTTTAGACTCTTACCGTAATATTACGTTCTGGTACTTCTATCACTTCTTTATTGCCGTTCATCCCTACATTTTCATCTAACTTCTTAGATAAAACTTGTAACAAATCGAGACGATCCAACATATTCTTAAACCCATCTATGGTTATGATGTCACCATCCCCGTACTTATTAAATAGTTTTCTTAAAAATTCAGTCTCCATGTCTTTATTAGTGCTACCATTAAACTTGTCCAGACTGCGCTTCGGTTTGTGATCAGAATCGTGATTAGTGAGACTTGCGATGGGGTCGTCATGGGAATTGATGCCGGACGAAATGCTCCGTTTGATCTTTTCCCTGAAAAAAAGAACAAATGCAATTTTTATTATTATGTAGTCATGTAGCTATACCCGGTGTTATTGAAAAGTGGCTCATCCCCGATAAAAACGAGATTTTGTATATTAGTCAGTGGCGGCTGAACCATAAGGTCAAATGGTCAATGCCCCAAAAAAAAACAGAACAAAGAAAGAAAAAACCTATTTAATTTATTTTTGTAAATCACTTGTTTTCATCCTAAGATATTCAAAACTATTCCCAAAAATCTTCAATTTGTCCAATGTTCGCTTGAAAACGTTTTATTTTACCCATTTTCTCTACTGCCTTTGTTCCCGTTACTACTTTGTTCCCGCTACGTTTTGCACGTATTAAACTTAGCCGAGGTAGAATTTAGAATTTAGAATGAGTGGGAGGGGGGTTAATCACTGCGACCTTACAGATCTATTGTGTCCCCCTTTCTTGAGTTATAACTCATCATACAGTCCCAGGGCTTTGACAAAAGCCAGTATCTGGGACGGTTTTATAGAGGGTAGTTCTCCATCTCCAACATCAGTCGTACCAAAGTTCATGGTACGAATGGTTGTCGTCTCGGCGCACTCAGTGATGAGGTGTACTGGTGTTTCCCCATTTTCCCCACAGAATCTGCATTTGCCGTTTCTTCTTAGTTTCAATCTACTGAGGTGTTCATTGAGGAGACAGTGTCCTGTTAAAAACCCCGTGACAATACGAAGATTGTTCTAACTTAAACCCAGGAAGATCTGTGATTTTTCTTGATCACAAGCCCTCAGAAACTTCTTCGAGAGTCTTAGACCGTTGCAAGATTCCCATTCCAGGTTGCGGACGGAATCTTCCAAGTTCTTGAGTTCCGCCTTGAGTTGGTTACCACTTGGAAAGCAGAACGGTTCTGGTCCAGTTAGTGGAGTGTTCGCTCCTTTTCTAGCTAGATCATTTGCTTTCTCATTGCCTTCTATCCCTTGGTGAGCAGGCACCCAGAGTAGGAGGACTTTGTTTTCTTTGCCTAATTTATTCAGCTTCTCTATGCATTCTTTGACCAACTTCGAATTGATTGATACTGAGCCGAGGTAAGGTATACTACGTACAGAAAATATAATGGGTTAAGGTGCGATAGATATAGTTTATATTGGCCATTGAGACCGCATCATTCATAAAAGGATTTCAGTCATATCCTCGTCATATCGCTAGAAAAATTTCGCCGTTTGGCCAGTTTAGGCACAGGTTTAGGTAATTATAAAAACTCAAATTATAAAACAACATGGTTTTTGTATCGTTTATCGTGTATAATGTTTGGTTTAGTCAATATAAAGCAATATTTAAATTTTTAATATCGAAAGAAATCCCATATAGTTTTAGTTGTAGCCGAGTGTTTTAGGTGTAGCGCAAAATTTGTGTAGGTAATAATTCATAATTTTCTGGTTATAGATATATGATGAACTGTGGTTGACTGATTCTGGAATAGATATTTTAAAATAGACAACATGGTGTTTAGTTTAGTATCGAAACAATTGTTTAAATTTCGAAAAACGTTTTGAGAAAGAACGCCGCATTGACTTAAAATATAAGAAAATGTGAAATAAAACTTTGAGAATTGTGTATGTGTATAATAATAATAGCTCCCGTATATAGCGTTTATCGCCTTGGGAGTAGCAAGGTACAGCTTGCCATGCTAGAGCCGTTCGGTATACAAGGAAGGTAATGTGGCTAGCACTACGCTTCAACCGCCTATTATTATTATTATTACCTCAGGATTGTGAATCCCAAGAAGGTTGTAGCACTACCACAGCAGATTATAAACTTTGTTTTTTCTTTATAGTTTTTTGTGGTTCTAATTTTCGGAATCGGGCACTAGTTAGGTTACTAGTTTGCGCACATAGCACGGCCACCTATGGCCTCTAAAATTGTGCACAGCGCCTGACCGGCACAGTTATTAGAGAGATATCGGAAAACCGAATAGCGTCATGCAGTATTTACGCGTACCTTATCATGGTTACGATATGCGCGAGTCAATTTTTAACGCAACACCCGCTAATAACGTTACCGCCTGACGTAATTTGCGGATCAATTACACCAAGGGCTATTTCTAAATAAAGTTTAAAAATTGCTTAAATGGGCATGTGCGGGTATTTGACAACCGGGGCCGGCCGGCGAGATCTTTTATTTTAGGTTATGATTGAATTGTTTTGAATTATTACTTTAGTTTTATTAGGTAATTTGATATTTAAGTAGCTGAGATTAGTTTTAATTAAATAAATATGGCCAAAAATATGGATTCCACCTCTTCCAATATTAAAGAACCTATAAAGAGGCTTAGGTTTACAGCAGATGACGACTTAGCCCTTCTAAGAGAATTTGTTGCTTGTTGCCCTAAACCCACTGGCAGACGTTGAACAATAAAGCACTGGAAACAAGCACTCTAGCCCTTTAGTTTTAAAATACCTAGTAAACAAAACAATTTCAAAGTTAGGTTAAGTTTAAATAGCGGATGCGGGACGCGGCGACGCGAACAGAATTCTTTCCGATCCGATAACTATAAATGAAGAGAGCTAATTGTGGTTAATACCACCTCACGTAAAGGAAATAACACCTGGCCTTATTAACGTCCATGCACGCTATTCGGTTTAGCGATATCTCTCTATGATGCTGTTTATTGTTATTTACGCGAGTTTATTTTTGCGCACAGGAAATTTCACTCGTTTGCACATCGTCATAAAAAACAATTTTCGTACCACGAATTTAGGGATAAGATTTTTATCTGTATACATATAGTATACCTAATCTGTGCTACTAGGCTAAAAATCTTACCTCGTGTTGTGTTGCAGGTCGTTTTCTACTTTCGGTATATTTGGATCTTTATACACGTCATGGCGATATAATTCGATGTGGCCGAGGACCGCGTGAGACGCACAAGGCGAATGCGTAGCACAAATAAAACAAAATATCGACACTGATATTATATGGTGAGCCATAATAACCTGAAACAGAAGGAAATTAGAGGTCAATTCGGATGGCCAATTTAATAAGCAGCAGTCTAATAACTATACAGGGTGAGACATTTTTCCAAATTAGTCAGGCAACGACGGAGCTATTAACCGGTGTTTTTCAAAAGTGGCGCATCCCTATAACTTTTTTTTATTTACTCAGATAAAAAAAACGAAATTTGGTATGTTCAATTGTTTTTCGTAACTTCCTGTTTTATTGGAAATGACTACAACTTTTGATTTTTAAATGGTACCCTCGGTATTTTTTTACTTTATTCGAAAGAAAATGGCACTCTCAATAGAATGACATATCACATGTCAACTTTTGACATTTTCGCTTAAAAAAATCGTATTTTAAATTTAAATCTAGAGTGCCATGGCTGTGTTAAAACCGCTAATTTTTAATCAAGGAGTCTTGGAAAAATAGATTTGATCGTCTAATGTTTTTCGTGTCTTATCCCCTGGCCGGTTAAAAGTTGCCCATATCGTAAGTGTCATTTTCTATCGAATAAAGTAAAAAAATACTGAGGGTGTCATTTAAAAATCAAAAGTTGTAGTCATTTCCGATGAAAAAGGAAATGACTGAAAGCATTGAATACGTCAATCACTCACCATATACTAACGTACAAAATAAAAAAAAAAGTTATGTATAAGGTGAACCACTTTTGAGAAACACCCGGTATAAAGAATGAGTCAAATTTAGAGATTATTAGATCATAATACAATATAGCTTTAATCCTACTTTATGTTTTATTAAAAAATACACCCTATATTCTAATCTTTTTATTCAAAACTATATCCAAAATCATTTTGATTCTTTTTGTTTCTGTCTAATCAATAATCATGATTTATTACTGATTAGACAAAGATAATGCCTATCGACAGTCATGTACCTTTATCTTTCTCTTACTCATTCAAATACAGACCACCGACCACCCGGTATATTACATAAAGCACAAAAGCTAATATTAAGAAAATCGACTAAAAATCGAGTTTAAAAAAAACACTATAGCCTATCATAAAAAGATAAAAATAATTATTATAGTAAGTGAAAAACTTATAGATGTATAGTATTTTTATAGAAAAGATAACACTGAAAATTGAAAATTATACTTATCAAAAAAAAACCATATCGCAATTAGCGAAAAAAGTTCATAAACTTAGTAGATAATCTGTGGTAGAACATACACCTCAATTTTACAGATATTGCGGATAAATTCAGTAAAATAAATGAATCAGTTTTGGCGTGGTCCTATATTTTATATCAGGTTTTTAATATGGGTGTGAATCTCTGTTGTTTGATTATATACTTAATATATAGTTTTAAAATAAATTACATGTACAAAAGAACAATTTATAATAAGATAATAATTTAACACACATTCGACAAGGTTTATGGTAAGTCCACTTAAATAGTTTTACTAAATTAATTATTTTTATAATAATTATTATGTGCCTTGGAAAACGAACTAAAAATATGTATACCGGGTGCGTCTCAACAGTGGCTCACCCCTATCACTTTTTTACTTTTTCAGATAAAAAAACGAACTTTGGTATGTTATTATATGACAAAAATTAGGATTGATTGACGTATTCAGTTGTTTTTGGTCACTTCTTGTTTCACCGGAAATGGCTACAACTTTTGATTTTTAAATGGCATCCTCGGTATTTTTTACTTTATTCGATAGAAAATAACATTTTGAATAGAATGACATATCATATGTCAACTTTTGACATTCTCACTTAATAAAAAATTGTATTTTAAATTTCAATCTAGAGTGCCATGCCATGGCTATGTTAAAAACACTAATTCTAAAAAAAAATAATTTGATCGTCTAATGTTTTTAGTGTCTTGTCCTGGCCGGTTAGAAAATAGCCAAATCGTATTTTTAATGATATCTCAATTTTTTCAAATGGAACGAGGATGGCTCATTAGCATATTTGGAAAAAGCATTTTTTTACGAATAATTTGATATCACACACTGGGTCTTTCGAGTCAAATTTTCGTTACAAACCGCATGTTATAATTTCAAATAAACCATATGCCAAAATGTCAAAAGTTGACATATGATATGTCATTCGATTTAGAGTGTCATTTTCTATCGAATAAAGTAAAAAAATACCGAGGGTGCCATTTAAAAATCAAAAGTTGTAGGTCTTTCCGATGAAACCGGAAGTGACCGAAAACAATTGAATACGTCAATCAATCCCAATTTCTGTCATATACTAACATACCAAATCTCGTTGTTTTATCTGAAAAAATAAAAAAGTTATAGGGGGTGTGCCACTTTTGAGACGGACCCGGTATTGAATTATTATTTATATTAGTTAATGAAATAACAAGACATACATATCGGGCATTCTATTACAGTCCATTTCTGAAAATTAACATTTCTAGATTTTTACAATTAATTACAAAAAAGTAAAGTATCTATTGTAGAAAACGTAGTGATCTTGTATTATTCAACCCACAGACTATTCATTACACAGCCAGTCGACTTAACGCCATCTTAGCATAATATAAGAACCGTTTTTTTAAGTTAATTTTAAGTTATCAACCGTTCTTAATTACTCAATGACAGAACATTGTTATATACCGGGTGCGTCTCAAAAGTGGCTCACCACTATAACTTTTTTATTTTTTTAGATAAAAAAGATCTAGTATGTTAGTATATGACATAAATTAGGATTGATTGACCTAATCAATTGTTTTTGGTCACTTCCTGTTTCATCGGAAATGACTACGACTTTTGATTTTTAAATGACACCCTCAGTATTTTTTTACTTTATTCGACAGAAAATGACGCTCTGAATAGAATGACAAATGATGGAACTCGCGTACCTCCCTAGAAATTCCTTTATATTATGTTATACAGGCTGGTCCAAATTGTATTCGGAAAACTTCGGCAGCATATTCATTATAGGATTTTTTTACTTATTTTTACCTGCAGAATATGGTGCCGAAGTGTCATTTTTTTCAGACCACCCTGTATAACAAGTCGGATTATAAGCTCCACTAAAGTTCCGTTTGTAAAAACTATCGAGACTGGTGCTCTCACTGCGTGTATACCAGAACTGGAGCGGCAGATGTGATGCGCGGATACTGAAAAACTAGCGAAGACGACTGGCTGTGTATTGAATAGGCTGTGGTAAAATGAGCCAACCCTTTTTTAGCAAAAAGCAAATTAATTTCTAGATTTTCGTTTACTTTTTCATTACGAACGCGTTGGTGCTTGTGCTTACCAAGGCTAGTAAATAGTAATATTAAGTACCTATTTAGGAACTTAATATTACTATTTACTATTATTTTTTTATTCTTTAGATAAATAACTGATTTTAGTTTATATTAGTAATTCCCAGAAGCCGGAGATTTCCAATAAAGAATGGCCAATAATTGGTGTTCAAAATTATTCCCAGATTTTCTACGATATTTAGGCTTGCGCGCGTGTTCAACTTGACGATGGTAAAGACCATTTTTTTAATAGTAAACGTACCCTATGATTATCGTATGATCTAAAAAAAATCGACATCAAGTTGGCTTGGAAATGACGATCGATGACATTCCCCATATGATTTTACATATAAAATGACAGCGATCTTCATTTCACAGCCATCGCTGACGCCTTTTTTTTCGAACTGTATAAGGTTTTTTCAGCTAAGGGCAGTATCTCTGGATAAATAAAATTATATACAATAACTATGTATATTAGATACATAAATTACTGGTTTCAAAAGATGTTACAGTGGGAAATTATTGTATCCCAAGACTTTTTTTATAATAATAATTAAAGAAAGACATATTATTAAAAGAAAATAATATGCCAATTGAAACAAAATCTAAAAGGGTAAGTATAACACCTTTTTTATGAATTACGTTAAAGAGATAACATAGCAATACATATATAAATGTAATAATATAAACTGTATATTGTCAATTATACAAAAATATAACACGAAACAATAAAAGATTAAAAAAGTAATAAACAAAAAATATATTACTTTATAAAAGTACTTATAAAACCAATATATCGCTTTGCAAAATCAGAGTAATGTGTATACGATTACGCGACATGTTACTCACGGCATTTAACATTAAATTTGGCTATGACACTGAAATACAAATTACGTGGGAAAGTAATTTCCATGTCTCGCATAGTGAGTAGGCGCATTATCATTCATTTTTACTGTTTCTTACTTACATTATTTTTACCTACTTAAAATATTGGTATTAATTAGGGGTAAGAAATATATTAATTAAGCAAGACAAATTAATAGGAAAACTAATTAAATATTAAAATTTAAAGAAAGTAAATAATGGTGAGAACATATACACTGCTCACCGCCAGCAAGTTCGTAAAAATTTTTTTTTCGAGTATATATTTCCGAAAATTTCTATGAGTAATCAATTCAGCATACTCAATAAAAAATATGTAATTTAGACGTATTATTTATTGAAGATTTATTAACTCTTTCATAAAATTTTTTAATCGTCAATAATACAGTGTGTCCCAATGACTAAAAAATAAAGGACATATAACACCTGAGACCAAATTGTTACTATGGCTCCAAACAGTGCCGTGGCCATATATTTTTCTTAACTTAGCTGCTTAAAGGGATATTATTTATATTTTTAATAAATGTTTTGACTATGGTATCGTACTAATTATTTACTATTAAAAAACGTATTAAAATATTAACAAAAGGTTCAAAACTAGTATCGACGATTAGCACATATCAAGTACATATAGTATCAGAAAAATAATTACCAAATTCAATAAGAAAACGCTAAAAAGGTGGAGTGGAGTGTTTATTTACTTATGAAATGCAACTCCTGGCTCTTTCTTATCATTGTGGCTTTTACACTTGAAAGCTGAACACATCACCATTGTAATAAAGTTTATACAAAATTCACTACACACAACAAATTATTAAAAATCGCTAAAATTGTCGCTGTTGACGAGGTGGTGACTCATCCGTAGGCTCCAATATGATGGCGTCTAACGGAATAAATTCTGTTGCAGCCCGTATATGGGCGTTACATGTCCTTGCATTTTTGGGATTTATGATGGATTTATGTGACAAACATGTCACATCAAGCGTTAAAATTAGGTCAGGGACGGTCAGCGGCTGAGTGGCTGAGTAAGCGGTTTCCCTAAACGGTCTCTTTTTACAGGCAAAAGCAGTCAGCCGCTGAGCAAAATACTCAGCGGTCGGTCAGCTGCTGTGTTCCCTGAACGCGCACAACAATTTAGTTTGCAAAATTGTGTAGCATTAAGTCAGTGTCATAAATGATTTTTGAGAATTAAGGTTCATAAATTTTAAATTAATTAACATTTAGTAGGTATAAGCAAGCAATTTCCAAAATAGTTCTAGGCTTCGTCCAACGTTATGATCTTTACATTTCTATATCGTTTTATGCTCGTCGGTCGTGATGTTGAGAAAGCAAATGCAATGTTGCCAAAAGATATATATTCCTCAATATAAAGCATTTTTGAAACATAGTAACTTTTTGTATAAAATAATTCATTTTTACTCGCCAAAAAATTATCGTATAATCTAACCAACATGAGAATGTATGACGGTGGTTTAATGTATTACAATTGATACTTCTAATATTTTACCGTTTCTTTATTTGATTTATTTTCAGTTCTGTTAATTTTAAACGAATTGATTCATGTAATTTAAAATTAATTTATTGGACCGTGACACATAGATTCGCTAGATGGCTTGAATTTTTACCTATTAATCCGCTTGACCCCTACTACTGATCCCCTTTTTTTGTTATGGAATAATTTGAATTTATATTATTATAAAAAGTAATAATTACACAATATTTATTAACCACTAAACCACGATCAATGCCGATCAATATTTCACGACTTCACACTTAACTATATATAAACTGACCGGGTTGGCCGCTTTATATACCCAGAATTACGCTTCGAGAACTATCTTGGCTTCTAAAATGTTATCCAATAGACGTATCTATTGTATTATGCTCGAATTCTAGGAATCTCGGGTGTCCGTGGAACAGGATTCACGCCCGCCGCTCGCTGCTCAAAGCGGTGTTGCCAGGAGAGGTGAATATCCTCCAATTTTAGAGAATCTCATAAAAATATTATTTTTTAAGTTGCTAAAACACGGTTTTATCCCTATGAGTAAAAGCAAAATATTATTAATAACTAAAAATATCAGGTTTATTTGACGGGTACTTTAGCTATCAGGAGCACTATAGTTTAAAAAATCAAAAGAAACAGTATTCAACTATTATAGAAAAAAAAAATTAAATGTATAATTATATAGACATAGACAGGTATAATATATAAACACGTAAATATAACACTCAAGATACTAACGTAGATAAATATACTCAATTCTATTTACAAATATATGGGGTACCTAAGTATCAATTTAGAAAAAAATACCAAATGGACTTTCAAATGGAAGATAGATAATATTTTCTGATTTCTTAAATTACATGAGCTCATTTCTGTATGTTATCATAATTATTATGATGGAAATATATAGTTCATGGACATAATTTTAAAGCAAAATTCTTTAAAAGAACAAAACAGAGAACATATTATTACTTTAATGATAGCAGTTCAGCAAAATCCATAGCAGAATCTATGTTAATGAATACACAAGTACATATCATTAATAAATAAATTAGCTAACAGACAAGCAGAAATCTTGAAACCTACGCAAATACTAAAACAAATAACTCTCTGAATAAGCAAATTTAATTGGTAAAACAGCATTTGATATCAAATTTAACATGCAATATATACCTACTTAGAAGTTTTAAAATTTTGCCCATAAAAACCAAGATAAACAATCACAATGAAAACTAAAATTGAGAATTACCAAAAGCTTATTATATGTGATATAAAAATAAACTCTACTTACTCATAAAGCTTTTGGTAACTTTATCCTAGAACTTTATTATGAAAACTGTAAACTCTAACGCATGTATGACAAACTGTGTATTCTATAACTTAATAATATAATGCATTAATTATTTTATCGATTATCAACAGAGATATATTAAATTTCAAATCGACAAATTCGAGAAATTAAAGTTAAATGACCCGGACCCGAAAAGCAAAATAATTAAAAAGATTAAAAAATTACACCACAGAATCAGACACTTACCAATTTAGGTTATTTAGAACTTCTATCCCTGCTTCTACCATAGACCAATGACAAAAGATTCGATATTTCACAATTTCACCAGTGCCTTCTATTAAAAGATCAGCCTAAGGGCGGACTTTTGTTTACTTCATCAGCTGTACATACTTAGATATTGGGTTAGATTCCGTTTCATATTTTGTCGGTTGATTTTTGGTTTTAACTCTTTGATTTTTGGTATTATTTATTATTGTAGTGCAAAAAACTAATTATTTTGGTGTTGAAGTGACATAAACTACTACCAGATATATGGTCACTCTCGGTTTCGCATAAAAAATAGAAATTTTAAAAATTACACGTTGTGCAAGTGATTTAACCTAAAAGTGCCCATACATTTTTTACTTATCGTGATTTTTGTGTGTGTTTTTTAAGACTCTAACATTTCATCAATAAAGCTTAAGTGGAGTGTGTTATTGGTGCTATGCCTCATCTTTGTTGTGTTCCTGGTGGAAAGGATAGTTATTATACTAGGCAGCCTAAAGTGTACGGAAGAGCAAGAAAAGTGGGTACGAGTTATAAATCAAGAGAATTTTATTGAAAATATCTTTAATAAATTTAAAAATAATATTCTCCCATGATGGTATTAATGAAAACTGGACAATTATGTTTATTTTATTCATATTGTGGAGTCTCCACTCCAAGTGTTGCTGGTTCAGCTTCGATAGATTCAAACACGTAAGTAGGTATTATGAACTAGGGAAAAATAAAGAATATGTGTATTAGAGATCATGAAAAAGATTATTATTTTGAGTTCAAATTTTAAAAAAGATTTTTGTAAAGACAAGACTGATACAGTTTAAAAGAAGAATGTTTTTTTGTTTGATAATATATAATGTATGTTAAGCATAACATATATTTGTTCAGTAATTTTTAATGAATAGTATTGATTATTTATAATACCAAATTAATATCAAATATTTAAGTGATGGCTGAATACAATATGAATAAAATAACAATAAAATTGGTATATTTGCATAATACAAAATTAAGTTTTAAGAATAAAGGTATTACTAAAAATACTAAGAAATTCATATTTCTTTGTTTTAATTGGTCTAATGTTATTTACATTTTACGTAAGAATTATACCGTATCATCGAAAAAATCGGCGTCTAGTTGGCTTGGAAATGAACATCGATGACATTCCCTAAATAACTGTACACATAAAATAATTAACTAGAATTTTACAATCTTGGAAAATTTGATATTCTTGAACCTTGATTCTAAATATTCTAAATTTTTTGATTTTCTTGGAATTTAGGTTCGGGAAAAACGCTGATTGATTTTTCATTTGGTTTTTCATTATTTTTATTTGGTAAAAAAAAAAACGGTTCGGCTAACATTATAGCCTCCATCAGTGTTGTGTCATATGAAAAAAATAGTGTCGAATATAATCCAAAAAATTGCATATAAAATATTCACACCACGCACATAATGTTTACTGCGTACTCCATAGTCAATGTAGATAATTTTAGTGTTAAGAATAATAATTTTAAAAAATATGTGGTCATCTTTTGATAAGTTTATATTAGTTTATTAATTGCAGTAAACATTATGAGGTGTGAATTATATTGTATATGTAATTTTTGGATTATATTCGACACTATTTTTCTCATATGACACAACACTGTGAAGGCTATAGTTAGCCGAAACGTTTTTTTTAAACCAAATAAAAATAATGAAAACCCAAATGAAAACTTAATCAGTTTTTCCCGAACTTAAAATCCCAAGAAAATCAAAAATTTTAGAATAATTTAACATATAAAATGCCAGCGATCTTCATTTCATAGCCATCGCTGACGCCTTTTTAGATAATATTGTATTATTTGTAAATATAATTTTTCGAACATTGATACTTGCAAAATATACATATAAATTTTGTGAATGCAAATAATAATACATCACTATTAGTAGATATTAAATGTTTTTTGTTAAATTAGATCGATTTTCAAACCCCAAAATTTAAAATATATTTACATTTTACCCATTATCTTATGTACCTATACATTATTTGTACATTGTAAAACATTTGCTGCATTTGTATGGTTCATAGTTTATTTGCCAAAGTATTTATTACTATAAATAGGTATATATGTTGTAGTTATTAACTGTATATTATGTATATTTCATTTAAACTATATCATTTTTAAAATACAAACCAAAAATCTGAGGAATAATTATGTTTTCCATGTATTCTACAACATATTTATTAATCCGTTATATCTAACTAGCGTGACGTCATAAATCTCGCCCGCAGGCTGATCTTTTAATAGAAGGCACTGATTTCACTTCTATAAAGTGTCAAAACAATTTTTTACTTTTTTCTTTTTTCTAAAGGATGTATATTCTACAAGCTAACCATAGCTAATAGTTGGAGAGAACTAAGAAGTGTATAAAACATACCATAAAAAATAATAAATATATGATCTCATGGTCTGTCATGATCTGCCCAAGGACAAGAACGGTAAACTAATAATTACGTTAGCTATTCTTGGCCCAAGTTTTGATTAATTTAGTTTAAAAAGCACTCCTCTATTTATTAACAAAAGGGAACGAAATCGATATCGATATTTTAATACATTTTTGACACAGATACAGCCGTACATCATATATAAATTATTGGTATAAGTGACCACAGAACAAATTTAGGAAGAAAGTACCAACATGGTACCATCAAGTTTATTTTTTCAGGCCAATCATGTGCTTTTGGAAAAAGATCAAAAAGTAAATAAAATAGATTTTCCTGTTCTTGTCTGGCAGGGGATAGAGGTTAGTGATCACAGAAATGTTCTCTAAAATTAAATATTGTATATTAATTTATCAATAATAGAGGGATATCTGTTAATTTATCATCTTTGTAGTAGTAGTAATCAACATATTTATACAACTTAATATATTTTATAGTTATAAATATGTCTGGCGGTGTCGGTAGAGGAAGAGGTTGGTTAAATTTAAACACACCAAACAAATACACACCCGGAATAGACGAAATGCCGAGCCCTTCAGCGTCAAAACATTTAAATACTAATGAAATTGATGATGAAAACAAGTACTATACAGATGTACCACAAGATTTCTCTGATCTGATTAATGCTGTTAAAGTAATAAGTCTAGAAGATGATGGTATTAAGTTTAATCAGAAGATGAAATATATCACAGAAATATGGGTCGAAAAATGTCGAAACTCTGACGACGTTGAGTGAGTATTTTACAGTGTGAGCAATGTTTATAATTACATTTACTAGTTAAACTGCAGTGGGATTCTGTAAGCTCCGTCGCAAGAAATTTCCTTTCTAGCCTAGGCTGTTTGTATACAATTGATAAGTCACTAGACAGGAAATATGTTTACAGAATCGGGTCTTTGTTATTTCGTAAAATATCGAATATTGATATTTAATTTACATAATTTAATTTTTTATGTAATTGTGTATTTATATTTATTAATTCACTTTATATAAAAATTGTAAAAAATTTATTGTATTAAATTAAAAAACTTAACTGTTTTTACAAAATAGTTATTGTTTTATTATATTATTTCCATTCTATAAATAATACATTATGTGACCTTATTTTTTTTAGGAAAAGCTATGATTTAATACATGAATTATGTCTAACAGATGAGGATTTTTCAAGCAAAGTAGTGCACCTATTTGCTGCTCAATCATTTTCAAGTCAGGAAGTTCATAAAAATAATCTCAGATCATTGTTGATTACGAAATTACAAGAAAATTTTGAAGGTAAGTTTTTTTTATTTCATATTAAACAGAAAGATAAAAGCATAGTAGAAGGACAAAGTGTAGTGGGACACTTGCCGGAGATGAATTTAGGAAAATATGAGTACACAATAAAAAAAAATTGGTTTGATCATTGTATAATATAATAATCAATATTTTTACCTATCATGTAAGCAATAGTACAATTCGATTAAAAAAACGGCGCCAGAGTTGGATTGGAAATTAAAAAAATTAACAAACAAAATTAGTTGGGGACTCATTGACAGTCATTTCCAATCCAATATTTTCTCGATAATTATTTACTGAAATTATTTACTATTTTCAAATATACAGATTTTGGAATACTATATAACATATTAATTCTAACTTATTACCAAATTTGTTAGACATTAAATTGTTTTCAACATTATACAGGGTGTCCCAGAAATAAGTGCAAGTGTGTTAACTGGTAATGTAATTTGACCTCAGAAACACGTCCATGAGGTTTTTTTTGCAAAAAAATGTTAAAATTTTATATTAACTCTTGACATTTTCCGGAAAATATTGAAAACCTTTTTCAGTTTCCGGAAGTTTGTTTATAGTGCTTTAAGAGAATGCAGTGTTCCCTTCTACGTTATCCTCATTCTGTATGTTTATAAGTTCACATTATTAAATTTCTATAAAAAAAACAATACTAGATTTTTTAATCATTGTAGATTACTATTAAGTATAGTGCAATGTCGTCTATATTTTAAATACCCTTTTTACAGTTTAGTAAATTGAAACAATGAAACTAAATAATGAACAATTATAGCAGCTTTTAAGCAGTTCAGAATTAGCGCTTTCTATTAGATATGTGAATAGTCAACGTTTGACCTACATTTAAACAGATCAGCTGATGGCATTTTTAGGTTATCCAATTCATTTGAGCTTTTACTCAGAACAGTAAACCTCTGACAAAATTTAAAAAAATAGGCAAATGTAAGGTAAACCTGTAAAAATACTTTTATAATTCAAATAGAAATATCATTTTGGTGTTTATTCACAAAAAGAGAGATAGAAAAACAGAGGAGTTTAAATTCTCAAAAAATAATCCTAAATAATTTAGATGGTATATGAATGTATTTTGTGCCAAATACACGTAAGTGTAGTACTGTCAAGAATCGCAGTGAAATGAAGCGTTGTTAAGTTGGTTAGCTAAAGTGATAAAATGATGCTCTAAACTAAATACATCGATCTGCTATCTATCGGAGTTCTAATTTCTAATGTTAGGTAATAGTGATGGGTTGTTATTTAACTATCTGTTATTTTATAACAATTATTTAGAAATAACATAACGCAACCGTTACTACTTCTAAAAAATAACAGATATAAAATAACGACACGTAGAGATCGACCGTTCGTGAAACGAAGTCGGCGCTCTGCACCGCCGCGCCACGAAAGTCGATGCTGCTCGAAGTAATTCCAAAAAACAACTAGTATGGATGGAAACAGTGGCGTAGTAAGGCGGGGGCGAAGGTGGCGGGCCACCCCGGGCGGCGACCTTCCAGGTACCTACAGGGCGACAAAAAATTGTTATAAAGGCGGCGGACGAATTCTGTAGGGGCGGCAAACCTCTCTCATAGAGGCTCTCCGCCCCGGGCGCGAGTGGACTACGCTACGCCACTGGATGGAAAACATTAGTGATGGGATAACTCGAGCGAACATTCGCTCGATTATGAACGAGCTGTTAAATAACTCGGTTATGATCAATTTATTTTAAAAATGGTAAAGAGAAAATATGTTTCTTTTGGTCAGATCTACCACCTCTTAAAATACTTGCACTTATTTCTGAGACACTCTGTATAATCTATACAATCGCATTCATTTTCGTTAATCCTACTCTGTTCTGGGACGGAACGCTCGATTCTCGCAGCTCAACTGAGAAATCTCAACTGAAGCGCTCTGCTTGCTGCCAACAATCTACCGAATTTTGTTGAATTTTGCCAAACCAAACCAAACCAAACAAAATATTTGGGAGAGTGGAACTACATTTTTTCTTCTACTATGTTAAAAGTATGTTTCTAGCTTTACTCATATATTAAAATATTTTCCAGACCGTGAGCAAATGATGTCTTCCAATATAATTGCATTTAGAAATAGTATTCAGCTGATGGGAAATGTTTATAACAAATTAAGATCTTTAGGAGGAGAACCTTTTAGATTTTTGATACTTCCATTATTTACTTATTTTGAAATGTTATTGGAATTAAAACATATAGAAGATTTAAAGCTTTTTGCGATGCAGGTATTATTCTGTTTGTTCATGTCAGCGATAGAGAGGTAGGAGAAAAGTTCTAATCATGTTTCCGCTTAGGTCTACAGGGGGAGGTCAGAAAGTAATAGTGACTATCAGTTTCTTATGTATTATCTTGATTGATCATATGAAGATGCGCAACCTTATGGCACAAAACATGTCCGAGATGTAGCTGGCGTTTCCGTCAGCCTGTCCGAGATTTTTACGTTAATAAGTTTTTTATACCATTAGAAAGAGAAAAGAAATACTCTATAAGTTGGGAAAGCAAATACATTTTTCCCATTAAAGAAAATTTGCTATTTTAACACAATAATATCTGCTAACTCCAAGTGATCTGAAATAGCCACCGAAATGCTGCTATCTCCGTAATTTCTGTTACGCTCACCCTAAAGCAAACACGGATTCTTACTCGTATGTTTCTTTAGTACAGTACGTCGATCCAGGGTCGCACTAGGCCAAAGGGGCCCGTGTGGCAATGTAAGGAGGGGCCCATGTGGATTTTTTTGCGTATGTTTTTGCCTTACGTTTTGGTCAGTTTTTCCCTTTTATATACAGGGTGAGTCTTAAATAAGTGCAAATATTTTTAGGGTAGTATATTTGGACCCAAGAAACACGACTATGAGGTTTTTTGCGTGAAATATATTTTTTGAAAATTTGTAATTTTTTTAAAAAAATATTTAGAAATTTTTTTAATTTAAAAACATACTTTGTTTGTAATATGGCAACATAGGTAGTATATTAAATTTACAAGAAAGAAAATCCAATGATTCTCAAAATTATAGCAAAAAATTGGAAATTTTAAAAGTGAAATAACTCGGTTGTTTTGGATTTATTTGAAAAAAACGGTAAAGAGAAAATATTATATGTTTCTTTTTCGAGATTTACAGCCCTGAAAATATTTGCACTTATTTAAGACTCACCCTGTATAGAAATGAGGGAACTACCCTAATGCAAGGTAAACCAATTCAATGCAAATGCCATAATACAATGCAAAAGCAAATATTGTTAAGAATAAATAATGAATTATAAAGGGGGCCCGCGAAGACTGGGGCCCCCCTAATAGTAAAATATATAATATGGCCAGTCCGACCCTGCGTCGATCCATTCTGTAAATACGGGGTATCCGTAAAGGGTAAGGGGAAAAACGAAATTCTCTATATACAAGCAATTCATCGGCGTGCTATAAACAGTTTAAATAACCCATTACTTGTACAAGAATTTTCATAATACCTAATCAGTTTTATTTTTTTCAACGTTTTTTCACGTAAATGATACATAATTTTCATAAAAATTAAAAAAATAAGGAGAAAAGTAATAAAAATTTAATAAAATCACGCACTGTTTTCCAAGCTCGGTCTACTACCGTTCGCGTTGTATAAAAATTAGGATAAGCATGGAACGATTCTACCGTACCTTCTAAGAATTATAAGTTTAATTTTTAAATTATTTTCATATTCATTAAGTCTAAAATGCTGCTACTTCAGTTCTTTAAAAATGCATTAAAAATTTACTCGTTTTTGGACTTGTATGTTTTAGTTCTAGACCGACGATATTATAAACCTGTATATGGTTAGGAATATCATATTTTTTAAATTTAATTGATTATTTCTAAATTTTGTTTGGGTAATATTCAACTCGGACCACAATAGATCTGAGAAGGTCGCAGTGGATCAGGCCGAAAGCCACCTCTAAGAATCTAATATTCAACTCCATTTTCAAAATTTCAAACAATAAAAGTTGCTATCTCCAGAAGTATATTTTTATTTCTTATTTCTGCAAGACGAATATCTGCTATCTCCCTACTGTGTCTGAAAAAAATGATGTAATACGAAATATCGAGTTTTATTGTTCCCCATCAAATAAAATTCTTATCTCTTTATCATATTAACGCATGAAAATACTTCCTACATGTGTACATATTTTTTTGTACCGTTTTTTTGCTCTCCTGTAAAATTAGGAATAATGGAGTTAGCAGTTTATCACATTTCACCGACGATATTACACATGCATAATGGCCTTTTTATCAAGACGATGAAGCAGAGACTGCTGTAAATAATATAATTACTGTAAACAATTATTAAAGTCAATTTTTATCATAATTCAGCACACTGAGCAAGTGCATATAATATATATTTCTTACGCACCCAACTGAGGGCTTTCCCACCAACGGCAAAGTCTCGCATCTCCTAGTTTAAGTTGACATAATATAAACAGTTCAAAAGAATACAAAATCCGTATATCAGTCTATAAATAAAAAAAAAATAAACTAAAAAATAATATAACATGGCAAATTAATCTCAAAAAACCTAAAAATTCGGAATAACAAACAAAAAAGTATCAGCTGTTATTATTACTTATTGATCTCTCCTGCAGACCTAAGCGATGCCTAAGCGCGAACATATCGGCTCTGATAGCGGCCACCATCACATATATAAAAATCTTTGGATGCGCACTCCCCAAAGCTCATTCTCGATACCTCTATATCTCTGGTTCATATACATTGAGCTTGTTTAATTTTAAAGTATTTTTGACATTTTTAAATTAAAATGTCCTCATTTTTAACATATTTTAGCTTAATTTAAATGGAGCTTCTATAAAGAACACAAATCCTGAAAAAATTAGTGAAATTTTGGTAAAAGTTCGAGATCTTCTTTGCTCTGAGGACAAATTATCTAGGGAAGGAAAACTGTGGTTGTTATTATCTTTGGAGGTGGCCAATACAAGATTCACTCTATTGCCAACAGATATTCATAACTTTTATGTGGAACAGCTAGGAGATCAGGCAATGGCTTATTTTCAGGTAAACTAAATACCATAGAATCAAAAATAATATGATCTAGAAATAATTTGACCAATAAAAAAATGTAATTTAATTTTCTCAAATATTTTATTTGATTGTATTTTATAGGGAAATCATGGAGCACTCACTGTTCAGACAATACAGAATAATAAAAAGCTGGATTCTTATCAAAGCGCCGTGAACGTACTTCAACTTTCTACGTCAGATCTCGGAAGCGATTCTTTCTCAAACAGCGTATCTGACGCAGGATCAATAAGAAATATATCTGATTATAGTAGTCGTAGTAGTAGTAATAGAGAAGATAGTAAAAATTTCAACTCAGCTAACAAAAAGGATAATCAGTCTAAAAAAGGTATGCTTTTTAATTACACATATTATTTTCCAAAGTAGCTTGCGAGAGATCTCTTGTTGTGGGATATTTTTGTGTAAAAAACATCTAGTTAATTGTGATTTTCTAGATACTTGTGTTTATTTTAATACTAATACTTGTGTGACATAGAAATTGCAAAACCTAGTAAATGTAAATATATTTTATTAATATTTTGGAAAGTAGTTGGGAAAAATATGAATAATAATCACTGACATTGTGAAACAAGCGACCCAAGCGAAAAAATTATTTTCCAATTCTGCTTATGCTCGTAACAGGTTAATAAACAACGCATTTAAAATAACTACTTATTTTCAATACGTTATTCTCCAATCCGTTGCGAGCCCAACAGCTGGTTAAAAAATAACTGCTTATTATATACGTTATTTTTAAGCTGTTGCAAGTCCAGCACGACCATCGACCGATACAGCAACGTTCGCCGTAGCGCATTCCCCACTCCGCTGTATCTCGCTGTCCGTTATCGATGGTTGTCGAAACAACTGAGTTTTTTCATATAGTTGTTTTTTGGAATTGCTTCGAGGCGCATAGAATTTCGTGGCGATGCAGAGCGCCGACTTCATATCACGAGCAGTCGATGTCTACGTTATTTTATATCTGTTATTTTGAACTTAAGTAGCACCGGTTACGTTATGCTATTTCTAAATAACCGTTATAAAATAACATAACAAAATAACAGGTAGTTAAATAACAACCCATCTCTAGATTCTGGTTATTTGTAAACAAACAGGGATAAAAATGTTACTACATTTTTTAACTACACTTCATGGCAATCAGCCGATAAAATAAATATAGCTAAGCATATACTACGTGTAGCAATTTCTATGTCACACAGTATATATTATATCGTCGGTAAAATATGTTAATCAAAGACACCATTATTCCTAATTTTACAGGAGAGCAAAAAAAAACGGTACAAAAAAATAAGTACACATGTAGCAAGTATATTCATATACTTCAAACTCAATATTTCGTTAAAAATTTAACGTAAAAATTATGTATTAAACGTTTTATTTGATTAACGGAGTTATCAAGTTAACACGCTTCACTAACGACATATGACTTATATTATTAAATACTTACAGGAGGAAAAACGGGTCGTCCTATTTTAGGTGTCGGTGTCAGATTGAACAAAGCCCGACCGACTGACTTTAAGAACGAGACTGGCGGTTGGACGACCAAGTCACCAAGCGACAAAAACCCCGAAAATAGTAGGAGAGACAAAGACAAAAACAGAGGAACCCAAGGCGGCCCAAAAAAGTTATTGGATAAGAAAAAACTACCCCCGAAATTAAGTAATAAAGGTTGGCAACACGATGACAGGTTTGAAACGGATTATAGTTAGAGAGAATAGGCGCTCGACTTTCGCAGGTGGATTTAAATCGGATGTACTGGGTGATTGAGTAGGAACGACAATATACTACGCGTAAAATAACGCTTCATTTTACTATATCGTGACATTAATAACTGAACTCGAATTATTTGAAGTCCTTTTTAAGCGTGAAAACTACAATATAACGTTCTACGCCTATTATAACATCTTTTTTTTTATCTTATCATCCAGTACATTTGAAATATAAATACACTGTCTGATGGTGAATGCAATTGTCTCGTAGAACAAATCACGGTTCTTTTTGTACTTATATAATGTATTATAAGGGTTCCAATACAGGGTGTGCTATAAAGATCGCAACAAATTATATTTTTTTTATTATTCAGTTGTTAAAGAAAAGTTTATACAGAACTACGTCAGCGTGTATTTCATTTGTTTTTGGGCATGCTGTATAATAGTATACAGGGTGGTCCGAATTATATTCGGGTAACTTAAAAACTCTATATATTTTTTTCAAATTGTTATGAATTTTATAGCACACCCTGTACAGTTTTATTTAATAGAATTATTTTTAGAACAGTTTGCACCTTGGCCTTTTGGCCAAAAAGTAAACAAATTTTTAAACAAAGGGCTCGATTTTTTTTATTCAAGACTCACTAAACTGTATATATGATACGGTTAAGGTCCGATGTCCGGTTAATGTCGACATTACCCGGTTAATCTCGAGAATAACACACAACAAAACAACCAAAAATATAACCTAACCCAAACATTAACATGTTAATGTCGACATTAACCGGACATCGGACTTTAACTGTAACATATAATATTTAGAAGTATAAAATCATATAGTGTCAAAGTAAAGATGTTACAGAATAGCAACTTCTCGATTAATTCATTGATTTTAGTTTTTAATAGCTTCATATTATCCAGAATCTTTATATTATTACATCTAATATACAACTTAAGACTGCAAAATAGGTCGACAAAATATAAATTACTTTTTAAAACTGAATATTATCTGATACAAGTTGTCTGTTATAATAAAGAGTAATGAATATCTCTTACTTTTCTAATGTTTTAATTATAATCGAATCTTTATAAAGTATGAAACATTTTTATCAAATAACATTATTATTTTATTTTTAATATCACGGTGGCAAATGAATTCTATATTTTCATAAGAAGTATATGAATTTGTCCATTTAACCTTTACAATTATTTATTTTTAACAAATGTGATATTTTCTAGCAAATTAATTCTATGATTTTACTTAAATCGAGCATACATTGGTTCTTCATATACATTGCTAAGAAAGCAAAATTAGGTAATATCTGTAATATGGTATGGTCGAAAAAACAGCGTCATGTTGGCTGGAAACGACAGCAATCTTCATTTCCAATTGAACTGTGACACCGTTTTCTTTTTCGATCATATGATATATTCTAGTCTTATATTTTTTTAACAGTCTTTTTTTAAATTATTTTAAATTATTTTTTTAACTTCTACTGTTGTATATGTTGCATTCGTAATCAACTTTTTATATTATCGGAATTTTTTTAGCTGTATTATAGTCAATTAGTTGTAAATAATTTTAAAAACGGCAATTTTATTGTGACGGATTTTACGTTTAGCCTTTTATGTAATAAATGTACTTTTAAATTAGATATTTTTATAAAATTATTATTTAAAATGCCTTTAAACTGCTAAAAAAGTCAGGTTATAGATAACAAAATATCAAACAACTCTTATATTATTCGTTTTTAGACTATATCTTGTCATTTGATCACACTTTTTACATATTTAAAAGGCATTTTAATAATTTGTCGCCATAACTGTCTGTTTAAAAATATACAATTTTAATTTGAAAATATGTTTGAATGGCCCTGTCCATTTATAATGATATTTTTGAAATTGCTTGGGTATTTGTTAAATTTGATTCAAGTGCGTCTCCCTGTAATGTATTTGAATATTTTTATGGAATTTTAGTTGTGTCTAATTTTATTTATATTTTAATAATAATTGAATGAATATTTATGTAAATTATTTGTAAATAGATTATTTTATTTTTACTTTTTATCCTATGCATCCAAAATTAAAATATTTTAGTATATTATTAAAAATACTATGAATATCCTATATTTAGATGATTAGTACAATATTAGGTGTCTGAATTATTTTTTTATTGAAAAATACATGTAATTATTGATAAGGTATTCGTCGATAAATTTTATATAGATTGTTTATATTTTTTAGTTTCATCAAAAAGATACACGAATTGTAAATATTAGCAATACGCACTTTAAGGTGTAAATATTAACATCCTTATATGAGGCGTAGAGGCAGTGGCGGATACAGAGGGGGGCCCATGGGGCCTGGGCCCCCCCTGAAATCTGTAAATTGGGTTAAATATTAGGCTTTTGGGTTAAAAATGGTGCCCTAAAAGGCATATTTTGCATTATATTTTATTTGGGCCCCCCCCCTAAAATAAATTTCTGTATCCGCACCTGCATAGAGGCTGTTAAATGTGGAATTGGGAAGATTAAAATTGATTTAACACAAAGTTTCAAATATCAATTCAAAATATATGGTCTGAATTTTAGTTTCTAGTCCGGATTTCAGTTCAAAATTCTTTATTTTTGGGATACTCTTTAAAATACAACCCTATATTTTACTCACTATATTATGAAAGGAATTAAAAAAAAAAACACACTCAAGATGTAGTTTATTTTCATTTCAACGAATAATTTTTTTCTTGGTCGATATTAGGGAATCAATCCCGCACCAAAATCTCAATCCCGCAAACCCGCGGGATTAAAGCAAATCCGCAAAATTGCGGGACTGTAAACAATATTCATACATTTGGTCCTAAATGGTACAAAAGGCATTGTACATTTTGCATAGGCCCACAATATATTGATATAGCGTGTATCTTAAACTAGCTGTACAGAAATTTGGACCGATGTGTACAGAGTATTCAAAAAATATATTTAATATTAAATAAACTTAAATTCGAGCTTAAATTTTATTATAATTTATCTACTTATTTTATAAATAAAAATATTATTCTGATTGTTATCTGCTTTTAGATACACTCTATTACAATAATTTTTTGGAATATGCAGAATGTACAAATCTTTTTGTACCATTTAGGACAATACGTATGACTAAAAATGCATATTTTTCGAAAAAATATCGTATTTTCCATAAAACAAAAAAAAATTAAAAAGCGATCAAATTGTTTTTTGAAATTTCAATACAGATTAGTCGTACTTCGTAAATTTGCGGTAAAAAAGATTCTTGACCGAATTTTCACACTCTTATAAAACACCCTGTATACGAGCATTCACTAAAAATATTTTCGAAAACCACATAGCATCTTAATCACAATAGATGCATCTAAAACCTAGTCCAAACCGCATCCCAAAATCTTTTGTAGTTCAAGAGATATTCAACTTTAAATTTACCCTAAAATTTTGCTTGTCCCGATAATTATGTCCGGCAGTTTATTTGACGAAATTGTCCACACGTACTAGTTAACCGCTTTTCTTCACTTACGCACATACAGGCACATACCAGAAAGAGAAAGAAATCTAACAACTAACCTGTTTGTTTCACTTTTTTTAATAGCCAAACTGTAAGGGGAATCCCTCGGGTTCCGAGCATCGACGCATCGGCCCGGAACAAAGCGGTTGTGATCCCGCACGGTAAATCCCGCAACTTTGAACCCGCGAAATCTCAGAGGGATCCCGCATTTGCGGGATTGCATTCCCTAGTCGATATTGTGTTACTTTTTTGTATTGTATTTTAACTTAACTTTCCAATTCACATTTGGCACCCTGTATATTCTTTACTTTAATTACGTTCAGGTTTGACGTTCGTAATGTGTATTCTTGTATATAGAAACTATTCTAAAATCTACTTAATAGTTTTCTTATTCATTATAAGGCCATACACCTTTAATAGATATTACTTATGTTAAGTAAGTACAATATCTGGTTTTGGTAGAATTTTATAGAATGGGTAAATGAAATGTTTGATATAACTAATGTTAGATAGATAAATACACTAGTTGTAATGATAGTAATGTAGTCAGCATTAAAATTGCATATAATGTCTGTCCAAGGAGTCGGGGAAGATTTTGACCGATGACATCCAAAAAAATGACAGAAACTACAATTTGCTTATTAATTAATATGACAGACGCAACTGTCACTATCAGGGATTCTCCCGATAGACAGACTGTACTCGAAATAAGCTATTATTGCCAATATTTGTATTTTAACTTTTTTTACATAGTCAGAGCCAGAAGAGTCAAAAATTGTAAACGATGTTTTATTCTATATTTTTTAAATGCTGGTTAGGTAAATACTATTTTTAATTGTAAGGACATATATTTAGCATTGTAACTTACTAGGTATATTAAAAATAAGCTATTACGGTGAATCCATTTGTGTTTCAAGTCCATTTTTATTTTACCTTTTTTTATATAGAATCGATACTTTCATATTATTTGTCGGGTGAATGAAGATGTGGAACAGGAAACTTGATATATTTATTGTATTTGTAGACCACCAACAAAATTTTGAGTTAAGTAGATTACTTGTTTTTTTTTTAATTCCCAAAATTTAAGCCCCCATCACGGTGGAGTATTAGCATGAAAAAGGTGATCGAAATTCGAAAAAGCAAATGTGTTTTAAGATTTCCCAAAAAAAGATAAATGATAAGTTAAATCATGTCTGTCATGAATGGCGTTGCTATGGGTATGTTTAGTTGCATTCATTTGTTTCAACGAAACGTCAAAGTTGTTACTTCTCAGAGATAAGAGGTAAATGGCTAAATTTTATGTTTAAAATTATAATTTATTGTTGTTCTTGTGCTCCTTTTACGTTTATATTATTGTTTTGATTGAAAATAGCTCAGCAAGCTGCAGGTAGGTATGTATTCTACAAAAACATATTATTTATTTTGATATTCTCTATACTAACGATTTTTTTTGCAACTAAAAGTTAGGCGTTCAGAAAATTTGATTAAATTTGTGACATTTTTATTATACTTAGAGATTTGGTTGCGCATTTCGAAGAATTCAGCATATTGTCTATATACGTTTTACTTAGTAAACATTGGGCTTTCATACAGTAAAATACTGCGACTTTGCTGATAAAATGAGAAAAACATTTTTGGTTTCCTTAATTTGTAAATCAGTGATATACTAATGAGAGGTGTAAACCGCGATGGCATTTGTTGTGTACAAAGCGATCGCATTAGTGCCATTAGCAGTATAGCACAATTTGGCATTAGTAGCGGCTTTAGTGGTATGGGAACTGGTCGTGGATCAGTCGTAGCATTAGTAGTAGAGATCTGCACGGGCCGGGTAGCCCGAAGGGGCCTCAAGCCCGGCCCGGCCCGAACCCGGGCCTCGGGCCGGGTCGGTCTCGAACTGTCAATAGGGGTCGGGCCCCGGGCTGGGCCGGTTCCGCACTTTAAAAAAACACAACTTTGCTTCTGTGCATGTTCTTGAGACACCTTGTATTATAACAGGTATTTTTAGGCTATGTTTATGTTTACGTTTTTTTATTTTGCGTATACATACGTATATTTGTAATTTTATTTTGATCATTTTATTTTAATGGTTCGGGCCGGGCCGGACTAGTTTAAAGTTTTAACTTTCCACAAACCGGGCCGGACTTACAAAACCTACTTCTTCTCGAGCCGGGCCGGGTCGGGCTACAAAGTGGCATTGATTAGTGCGGCATTAGTGGCATTGACCGTGGAAACACTGGAACAGTGATTTTTCTTTCTTTTTTTGCATGCATGCTTCCTTTATTTTGTTCATATTATTTCCTCTTTAATTGAAAATAGCAATAATTTATATAAGGTCTACATAAAAAAACTTCGATCAACTATCGGTGTTAAATACCCCACTGTGCGCCAGTTTTATTCAGCTCCCAATTAAAAAACATACATTTAGATCTGAAAAATATATACATAAATGATCGCAACGATAAAATTTATCGCTGATTCCAGATTAATTCTATTTAATAGAATTAATCTGGATGACTATACCGGCGTGTATCCCATTTAAAAAGGCAATACGTTTGGTTTACCACTGACTTCCTAGGAGGGCCCTGTATAACTGTTATATTATAGGCTATAACACGACCTATGACTGGATCATAATATGAAAGAAGAAAGTTTCTGAAATGCATAAATGTTTCCAATAATAAAAAAAGGTCCATTTGTTGCGAACGTTATGTCACACCCTGTATATCATGACACTACAAGAAATAAACACTTTAAAAATATAAAATAATTTTGGAAACTTCTTAAAACCATGAGCGGTATATCAGAAGCTGTATTTAATCACTGTTACCTACTTACTGCCATCACTCGCTGATCAGTATTTGACACGCATATTAGAAGGTGGTTACTCAAGGCGTTTTCTTTCATGAGCTTTTCTGTGACTGAAAAGCCCGATACGTAATGTTATCTCTCTTCCGCACTCTGGACATTCAAAAATCTCATTACTTTGTTGCCTCTTTACTTTTTGGTTGTCGTTGTTAACTGATTTTACAATCCTCCATTGCGTTCTATTGTGCGCTGCTTCCTCCCAGTGATTCTGCATGCGTATCCCTTTTAGGTTTTCCTGAAAAATATTCTTGTACCTTTTGAGTTGTACACCCGGTTTCCTCTTACCGTCTGCAAGCTCACTGTAAAGGAGAGATTTCGGTAGGCGGTTTTCTTGCATCCTGCATACATGATCAGCCTATCTTAAGCGGGATTTAGTAATCACGACTTCAGCGCTCTCGCAGCTAGCTTTTTCAAGGACTAATACGTTTGAGTCATGGTGGTACCATTTGATTCTTAACAATTGTATAAGATGTCTCTGTGGCAACTTGTCAAGAGAATGTGTATGTATATTCACTGTTATTACTAGAGTAAACGCCACGAATGTTTGGGAGTGATTCATCGCTTGATGAAGTTAGAATCGACACGCGCGCTATCATTTTTACATTAAAAACGTAAATTTTTACCGCAGACGTAGGTTTTTAAAGCCCGGTCTAATCATCTGCCTGCGCTCCTTCTACTTATTCTAAAATGTTAGCGCGATTGACAAAGACGATACTATATCGCGTTTCTTTGATTGATTCGTTTTTGTGCGTCAGTCCATTGGTGTACTTGCAGTGCGACCAATGGGGCATTCCATTTTATATTTATAACCAAATATATGTTTTGACAAGACTTTGACAGTTAAAACAACAAATTACAACAGATTATATATTGATTATTATATGACTTGAAACACCATGGCACTGGAATTAAGTTTTATGTGACCTTGAACAGATTAGTTCACATGGTAGCGACCGATGAATCACTCCCAAACATTCGTGGCGTTTACTATAGTGTTAATTAAATCACTGTTATTAAAACAGTGACAGTTATAAAAAGTCGTGATCACGGTTTTAAGTCACTCATTAACGGTATCACTTAACGGTGTTATTTAAAATCACTGTATCGCCCACCCCTGTGTTAATGCGTTTATTAATGAAACTTTCATGATAACAGTTTTACATATTATACAGATCTGATCATTAAAACTGCCTGGTCTGGATTTTAACGTGTAAGACAGTGATGTAAAGCTTAAATAAGAAGGCTTAAACGAAAAATCAATTGTATTAAAAAGAGATAAAAGTTAGTTTGGTACATTTTATTCTATGTGGTATTGCCGGATTTGCATCAAAATTTCAAACCGCACAAGTAGGTGTTTATGAAAAACATTGCATCTAGGATTGGAACTTTATTTCTCACAATTACTTTACTCATTTTACTACAGCTGTAATAGATTCTTAAACAACTGTCTAACAGAAATGAGCATTGTGAATAGCTTAGATTATATTATCTTAGTTTGTTATTTTGTTTCTCGTAAAACCGGCAAAATCATATAATATAGATTATATTTAGCTTAGATATATTATCTTCATTTCAGTACTGTACATTAAAATTTTTACATTAAAAATATTTCTTTTCTACACAAATTTTCCTACAAACGTAAAAACCGGCAACACTGTATGTCGCTTTTTATTTTGTCTCTCTGTCTGTCAACTGGTCATATATTTATCTCTGTCGTATACATTAAAGTACAGACCACGGAAATAAAGCGACCAGGGCTAGTATAATTTTTTAATTTGAAACAATTAGTTTTCATATGGCACGTCTTTGAAAACTAATGAGACAAACTGAAATTAATATAAGCTATTTTATAAATTTCAAATGTTTTATTAAAAAATTTGGGAATTGTTATTAAAACTTAAAAATACAAATAACTGAGTTTCTTCAAATAATTGAAATAATTGAACATTTTTGTGGTTACACGTATTAATAAATTAATTTTTTAAAACATAAATGGCTAGCGGTTTTTTTTTGTAGGCTCCACAGTAGTTTAAAATAAACAGATGTTTTAGGCATATGGTAAATTACTACAAATACAAAATAATAAAAAAATTACAATCAACCTTAAAAAAATAGTATAATTAATTATTAATTAAAAGTTTACATAAACGTAATAAACACATTATCAATAGGAAATGTACTTTTAAATGAGAAAAACAATTCCATCTGCCATCATCACCTGATTATCATCAGACATCCTCTCAATAGCAGCAGATATTTCTCCGGGAGTGTATGGTGTGCTGTTACCCTCATTAACATAATCTCTAACTTTTGATATGTTGAGCGCTTGTGTCCTATTTTCTTGAAATGCTTTGCATAAAGTCGTTTTAAAAGCAGACAACCTAAATTATAAAAATAAAAAAATAAATTGACTTTTTCTAATAAATAAATGGCAACCTAGCATTTTACTGTTTACATCTGGGCTATCTATTTATACTATTTCTCTGGGGATTTTACCTTTCTTGAGATATTTCTCTAGGCGATTCATCAACCTCCATTGTCGTATCTTGCGAGGCGTGTTGACTTGTGCCATTCATATTTGAGGTTCCACCTACGGGTTCTGAGTCGTCGATAGCTGTGCCATTCTGACCACCCCGTCTACTGCGTGTTGATCTTGTTGAGCTTTGCGTAGTTGCCAGTTCCTCTTCACTATCATATGGAGCTTCTGATCTCTAGCAAAAAGAGGCAGGTTTTTACAAAACTAATTTTATTAGGAAATAGAAGAACAGATTTTGATGTTCAATATTTTTACTCCTATATTCCGCATGCTCACAAAATTCAAAGGCAAATTAAAATAAAGTTCGCATTTTTTTGTAAAAGTTTTTTCTCTTCTATACAAATTAGTAAAAGTTTAAAAAAATTTACAAAAAGATTTGGTCACCCATACAATTATGACCGCGCATACCGTTGCTTAACTTCAATACATACTTTGAACAAAGACTATATTTTCTATGATTTAATTACAAATGTATAGTTTTCAGATCTTTCCCTATCCTTGTAGCTTGTAGTATAAAGCTTCATTTTCATGCATCCATTGTCCGACGATACGATATTAATTTTATTGGTTGAATTTAAAAGACTTCGATTGGTTAGAAAATTACGAAGTTTTAAAATTTATTGCATTTTCATGCCTCCGTTCATCGGATATACGATTTGCTTGTGATTGGTGTCATTTTAATTTAATATTAGTGGTCTAAAATAGTAACTAACCGCTCTCCTGGTCCTCTTTGGCTGTTGATCATTATCATCATCGTCATCCTCACTTTCAGACCCTTCGTCCCGTCTTCTCCGCTTCTTTTCTTTCTCCAGAACCTTTTTAAAGTAAGCGTACTGAATTAGCTCAATAGCTGCATGCGCATCCTCCGCCGTAACCAATCGAGACATCCTAGCCTTCGCGTGAGCCGTAGACAGACGAATCATCGTTTCCAATGAACGAGCTGTCACTGGTTGGGTCTGTAACATTCACAAATATAAAACTAAAATAGAAATAGAGATTCCTATTAGATATATCGCCTATGCAAGGATTAGCAAGCTAGTTTTTCACAGGAAGAAGTACCCAGGTAACATGATAGTGTCAAGGTCAAAGTGTATGTAGCGCTAAAATGTATTACTGGTTGCCTGCACAACCGCAACGTGTCAAGAAAAATGGCGCATCCGCCAGAAAGTAAAATACATTTTTAGACGCCATCTTTTAATCAAGTCGACAAGTAAGCGAATCAAACAATGGAATTGTCCAGTATGAAGTAGAACGCTCTCCGAGAATTGTAGAGGTTTCGAGAAGCAGTCAATAGAGTATATAAGCCGGCGTAACCGACAGTTGGGACCTTTGAATAAGAAGACTAAAGCCTAGTTCATGCACTTGCGAATTGCGATTTACGAATTGCGAAATGCGTCCTGTTTGCGTTCTGATTGGCTACCGTGAAGGAAGACCTTGAAAGCGACCAATTGCAAGGCAAAAAGAACGCATTTCGCAATTCGTAAATCGCATTTCGCAAGTGCATGAACTGGGCTTAAGGAAGGAGCATAATGCTATCCATGTATTCATGCATGGTGGGCGGAAAAAGCTCTCTAGGGTGGGGATCCTTGACAGTTCTGTTTGACGATTCATTTGACACATTTGAATTTGATTTGAAATTTTGTGGATTTGTCAGTCTTTACGGAGCTTATTTTATGTTATTTATTATTTATTCTACTACTGATAGTTGTATAAAGGTAGTAAATCTAGATGGAAATTGTGGCAGAACTTAAATTAACAGTGATATTATCGCGATTTATCGAAAAAGACTCTAAAATAGTTGGTTGTGTAGCGTGCGGTAGATCTCGGCAAAAATTGAGTGAAATAATGGAACAACTTTTCGCTAGTAAGTGACTATATAATATACATACGTGTAGTAAACCGATAATTTATGAAATTCACTAAAATTAACTAAATTATATATTTTCTTGCATTTTAGCTTTTATTTACTACTTGTCAAAGATCAGATGTCAAAGAATTTTGATACGTTAATTTGACTTACCTGCTTCAGTAGCGTATCGGATGTTTGTGTTAATAAATACTTATTATAACTTATCTATTTTTATTAGATTTATATATTTTTATAACAATTTTAATAACTACCAACATTTATTCACAACGTAAAATAAAATAACACATTACTGAGTCTACCCCACGTCTACCCTACATCATGATTTAACATTTTTTAAATAAAATTAGAACGGCACTGATAAACCGGAATTTAAGTCGGCCATATTTGAGGCCCATCGCGGTGTACCTAAGATTTTTGATATGCTCCTTCCTTAGTCTTCTTATTCAAAGGTTGGGACAGTTGAAGTTTTTGAAGTTTGAATATATCGCGCTTTAAATTATTACGAATCGGACAATTTGGTGAAGGTATTTTATAAATAGTTAGTTATTGTATATATAAAGTGAGATAAATTCGTTAAGTATTTTATCGTGAGTTTAAATTAGTGGACCCACGGAATCCGTAACAATAGGTATTGTACCCAGGTAACATGATAGGTAGGTATACCTACTATTATACAGGTACTGGTACTGATTTCCTACAGCCGGCATTTCATCAGCCGACTATTTTTAATAAAATAAAAATAGATTGGGTACCTAGGTCGACTCAGCCTTCAATGAGTACTTGGGATTCACAATCCTGAGGTTATAATAGGCGGTTGAAGAGTAATGCTATGCCACCTTACTTTCCTTGTATAACGAACAGCTCTAGTATGGCAAGCTATACCTTGCTACTCCCAAGGCGTTAAACGCTATATACTGGCGCTATTATTATTATAGGTAAACACGATTATGAGTTTTTTTTCACGAAAATAAAATTTTGAAAATTTAGAATTTTTTGAAAACATTTTTGGAATCTTTTTTAGTATAATTTTTTTAGTTTTTAGTTAAAAAGCATAGTTTGTTGATTTAATGCTTGTTGATTAATATGGCAACATAGGTAGTAGATTAAATTAACAAGAAAGAAGATCCAGAAAAGATCCAGTGATTCTCAAAATTTTAGCAAAAAATCATTTTTTTTAGTAAACTTTCAAAATAAAATAACTACTCTCTATCGAGATCTACCAGTCCTGAAAATATTCGCACTTATTTAAGACTAACTCTTATAGTAAATCAACAATCGTTAAATTAAAAATTGAAAGCCAAGTCATATTTATTCATAAAATAAATATATTAACATATATGTTACTCACGTAAGTTCTGTTAATTACACAGGAATTGTACTTTCTATATACCATTCTATTTACATTTTTTATAGCCCTTGTATAAAATTCTTCAAATTCGTCATTATTTACACACCGTAAATCCATATTTTTTACCTTAGTTAATTTAAAAAATATATATAATTTTATCGACAGCTTGAGTAACCTTCACGTTTGTAACGAATGTAAATAAACATTTCGAAAATATGCCAAGTTTACAAAATGGTTTCTAAACATTTATTAAGGGAATTAATTAACTATACAGGAGCTTCTCAAATTAGCGACGAAAAATGTTTGATTGGTAACTACCTCACCTAAATAATAATAATAAAATAATAAATATACAGGGTGGTCTTATGGAGTGCTTATAGAAGAAACTCAATCATATTCAAACCTAGAATGCCACTTTATCTAAAGAAGAAAACATTCGACCAATGTGTACTACCAGTGATGACCTAGGCATGCTAAACCTGGACACTTAAAACGGACATCATAAGGAAATTGCAGGTCGCATAACGCCCAATGGAACGAAATATGCTGGGGTTACTCCCAAGAGAGACCGTAAAAAAAATAGAGAGGATACGATAAAAGACCCAGGTAATAAAAGATGCCATCCACAGAGTCAAATTCCTCAAGTGGCAATGGGCAGAACACCCTGGCAAAAAGGACGGAGACCAGATGGACCACAAAAATTACAGCATGGTACCCTTGTTTATATATTCTTTAAGATGCTCAACCGGCTAGACAAAATGTGCTGCCAGCTGGAGGACAAATCGTGAACCTTTCGGGGCGGAGTCAAAAATATCGATTATTTTCGTTATTTTCCTCAGAGTAATGTATGTAATAATATAGCCCGGGTTTCTGCATCTTTAATAGTGATCAGCTGATTAAGAAATGTAAACGAAACTTTTATTTTATTGTAGATTGTGGATTATTTTTGCCTGTTATTTTAAAAATTCTAAACCGTATTAACAAAGAAATTATTATTTCGATATGTTGGTACATTTTTTATAATTTATGATAATGCTAATTACTGTTAATTATTATTTAGAAAAAGTAACATAAGTAGGTATAATTTTATTTAATGCAGGTTTATAAAAGAATCATTTCATTCTTAGATTATTTTATTCTAAATTGAGTGTTTTACGAATTTTACGATATTTTTTTTTGAAAACATAAAACTTTTTAAATTCTTCATTAAATGTTCAAAAAATTGCAACTTGCTTAAACAAAAATTGTAAATATGAATTTTTTAAATGAAGAAAAGCGTGTAGGATTATTGATTCAACCTTTCTTGGCCATACATTTTCCAGGATACGTTCAACGGTGAACGTTATTTACGTTTTTTAGAGAACGGTTTTCAAGACATGTTAGAAAAGTTAAATTTAGATAGTGGCGCATCAATAGGGTGGATTCAACATGACTTTCATTATGACACCTCCCCCCTCCCCCCCCCCCATAATGAAAGAAATGTTAAAAATTATTTATATCACAATTATCCAAAATCAGGGACCGGAAGAGGTGGACCAATTGCATGGGCCCCCTCGAAAAGGCGGTACGGGAGAACATTTTCTAAAATAACTTAAGTGTATGCGGTAGTGATATTATGAAGTTTTAGTTTGCGTAATGTAAATTGTAAAGAACCGTTTAATAATATATTCTATGTTTTTATGTTATAAATCATAACAAGAGTAAGAATACCATGCTAAGTGAAATTAGCCAAGAAAGAAAAGAATTGGCTATAACTATAACTCTGTATCTAATTGTAATTTTTCGAAAAAAAAAACGTATATACCTATATCGCAGAAAAGCTTAAAAATGGCGATTTTTATGAAGTCATGGCCAACTATGGTCAAAAATTACAGGCTTTAGAAAAAATCAGAAAACACAAACTCATTAGGTATGTGATTATCTACAACTTTTTGTCTAAAATAGATTATAATGGAATTAGGGATAAGTTTTAAAATTTGTTTTTTTTTTCGAAATATCTAGTAAGCGATAAACTTTTTCAAAAATCCGAAAGGCGTATATTTATGACCCCACAAAACTGCAATTCTTTCCCCATTAACCGACTCTCTACCTCCAGTAGTTTCCGAGATACCCATAGAGAACATCGTAGGAAACTCACCCTGTATAGTATTTTGAAACTAACTATTATTATTATTTGACTAGTTTAATTTGATTAATAAAGCTAGATTAATTTAATTTCAAATAAATTTGATCAGATTTTTTTTCGTATATTCTGCTACCAGAAAACCAAGATTATATGATAACGCACTTTTCAACGAAGTTGATGGAAGATATAGTGTATCTATCACAATACTTAATAGAACTACTACAGTTATTACAAGAAAAACAAAAAAGAAATACCCAAATACCTACTACTCAACTACAAAATAAACGAATATAATCTCTTAAAAACACTACACAACTACTTATTCTTGTATTCTTTACTGAACAAATTATCAAACTTACTAAGTTATCAAACAAAAAGAAAAAATAACAAAATTATCCCTTCACCTACTACTTAACTACAAAATAAACTATAAAAACACTACTAAACTATTTTTGGTAGACTACACTAACATGCTACACTAAACACTATAATTAAACTTGATAAATTAATCTAATTTTACACTACAACTACAAAGAAAAAAGAAATAAGAACATTTTCTAACCAGAAGAAACAGAACTTCCATACGTGCGACCAGGATAATAGGTCAAAGGGACAAAGAATATAAAATTCTTTAAAATGTGCATTCAGAAAGAAAAAATACCTCGAAAATTATCTAAACAAACATTTTTATTTCTTATCAGTGAGAAGCATCGGCCTTGTCGGCCTTGAAGAATTTGTCGGGTATTTACAATGGTCGAATTGTATAATTGTCAGCTTTTATAGCATATGTAATAGACAAAAAGTATCTGGTCGATTAGTAACCAATTGGCACAGTCCGAAAATTATCGATTTTTATTTTCTCTGTTTTTATTGGTAGCTTCAATATTCAGAGTAACAAAAAATATTTTTCTGTAGGGAAACCGGTCCTGCCATCTAGTAGTCTTAGTCCATAAACGTCTTAGGTTGATCTACTTTAAAAATATATATACAAGGATGGGGTACCCACGAGGAATTAAGAAATCTAGAAGAAGACCGAACCTCAGATGGGACCATGATATTAAAAAATTAACAAGGTTAACTTGAGCTCTTATAGCCAACAATAGACAACAATGGGCTCAACTACAAAGATAGTATCTAAATATCTGAGAGCTACATCATAATTGGAAATGGTTGAATAAGCTGAAAATGATGATGACAGGGTGGTTTGAATTGCAATCGGGAAACTTCGGTAATATATTCTGCTGATAGAAATAAATAAAAAACTCATAGATTTCGCAATCGCTGCAACATAATTAACGTCATATATTTGCAGCTAAACTTGATATAAAAAAACACCATTCTTAATAATAATGACTAATAATGATTAGAAGAAAAAATAAACATAATTAAAAAAAACAATTAATAGAGGGTAGTTCAATGTTATTTTGTTTTATTTTAGGTTAGTGTAAATATTTAAATATTCATAATCTATTTTATAACGCCTTATAAAAATAGCCTTGATTTTTCATGCAGATACCTTGACATTAAGTAAATATATTATATCTTTTAATCCTTAAATCCTTTCTGAAATATATCAATACCTAAATAAAAATATCGTTTCATTACAAACAACATAAATAATTGTCAAAGCCCAAATCAAAAATTACGAAAATAGTACTGTTTTGTAACCTTTGCAAATATCAATATCAATCTATTCAATTTTATAATCGCCCCCCGTAGCATAGTCGTCAAGTAATATCGTCGGGACTAACAAAATTAAACCTCGTATATCGCCGAGAGTTTCGAGCTATCAGGCCAGTTCACTTAAATTAGGCATCACGCGACAAAGTTTTGATGCTTTAATTTGGTTGACTGTGCGGCTAGTGCGACACCGTTGCTGATGGCCTTGAAAGAAAACTCGAAATTTGGCCCCCATATACGAACATAAACATTTCCAATGTTAAAAGTTTGTTTTACCTTATTTGTGTTATGATTCGTTTCGGAGATACAGGAAAATTTACACTTTGGACCAACCTGTATAATAGGAAAAAATCGACAAAAAATTACTTACCCTAGCCACGTCATTATCTAACATTTCTTCAGATCTCAATCTTGAATATTCTTCGGCAATAATTTCGGAAGCTTCATCGGTTAGGGCGGGCTTTAGAATTTTGACGAAATGAATATATTTCCTCATAAAGTCAACGCTCAAAATTTTATCACTTTTCTTCCGACTGGAACCATGCAAGAGCGCATCGTACTTTTCATACATGGGTACATCTTTGACTTCTTCCTCGTCGGGGTTGTTGGTACTAAAAATATCAACGGTGGAACCCATTGGAAGAACTTCACCATCTTGCTCTAAAGGATTTCTAAAAAATTAATATAATGATAAAAAAGATGATTTTTAATCAGAGATACATAGACATAGGGAGAATGATGTTCGCGCTATGATCTATAGGAGGAGCTCAGAAAGTTGTAGTGATTGTAAGTTCTCTGTATTCAATGCTTTCCATTAACTTTACTCTTTGAATAAGAAGACTAAGGAAGGAGCATAATGCTATCCATGTATTCATGCATGGTGGGCGGAAAAGGCTCTCTAGGGTGGGGATCATTGACAGTTCTTTTTGACGATTCATTTGACACATTTCAATTTGATTTGAAATTTTGTGGATTTTTCAGTCTTTACGGAGCTTATTTTATGTTATTTGTTATTTATTCTACTACTGATAGTTGTATAAAGGTAGTAAATCTAGATGGAAATTGTGGCAGAACTTAAATTAACAGTGACATTATCGCGATTTATCGAAAAAGACTCTAAAATAGTTGGTTGTGTAGCGTGCGGTAGATCTCTAAATTAACTAAATTATATATTTTCTTGCATTTTAGCTTTTATTTACTACTTGTCAAAGATTAGATGTCAAAGAATTTAGATACGTTAATTTGACTTACCTGCTTCAGTAGCGTATCGGATGTTTGTGTTAATAAATACTTATTATAACTTATCTATTTTTATTAGAATTATATATTTTTATAACAATTTTAATAACTACCAACATTTATTCGCAACGTAAAATAAAACAACAAATTATTGAGTCTACCCCACGTCTACCCTACATCATAGTTTTACATTTTTTAAGTAAAATTAGAACGACACTGATAAACCGGAATTTAAGTCGGCCATATTTGAGGCCCATCGCGGTGTACCTAAGATTTTTGATATGCTTCTTCCTTAGTCTTCTGATTCAAAGACTTTACTTAAAAAATCATCAATATTATAAGTTTCTTTACGATTATCCGTAGATAATTACAGTTAGAGGTTATAGGGGGTATTATACGAGTATATTGGTTAGGTTGTGTATACAGGGTGGTCCGAACTGTATTCCGGAAACTTCGGCAGCATATTCTGCAGATAAAAATAAGTAAAAAAATTCGTATAAATATATGTCCTAAAATGGGCTTAGTTTCGGAGATACAGAGTGTAGAAGTTTCAATCTTATTTCGATTTTTTCCAAATAATTTCTGCAGTAACGTTAATATTTGGATGAAAATTGGTGTCTGGGACTTTTTTGACATGCTAAATTTGATTTTGATGTCAATATGACTCCTACTAGTAGGGGGCGCCACCTACATATTTTTTAACTGGTTTGAAGAGTAATAACTTTTCGTCCGTACCTGTATAACACTATTGAGTAAAAAAATATACATTTACGACGTTTTTTACGTATAAAATGTCTCTTGGTAAAAATCGCTACGGGTATTGGTTTTCGAGATATCTGGAATCGAAATTATCAATACCTGTCATCATTGACATAAATTAAACATGATGACTAAATAGTTATTAGACTGAGATCATAAATTTGAAAGATTTTGTGCCAAAAGTTCAACAGAAACTGTTTTATCATCATTTTTTGAAGAAAAATTTATGACTAATTTAAAAAAATAAAAATTTCCCAAATTTATTATTTCTGTGAAATAACTATCTATTCAACGTGTCTAATTTTCGTTAATAATGACATGTATTGACTATTTCCATTCTAAATATCTTGAGAACGGTTGCTCGTAGCGATTTTTACAAAGAGATATTTTTTACGTAAAAAGTCATAGAGATGTATATTTTTCCCTCGGTAGTTTTATACAGGGTCCGGCAATAGTGCGTCGGGCATCTGTAGCTCCTAGAATAAAAAACTTGGGAATTTTGTTTAAGTGAAAACCTAAAGTATGTATGAGGATGTATTTCGGGAAAATATTTTAACTTCTATAGGGTGGCTCAAAAAAGTGTGAGTGGATCGGGATGATTTTTTTTAAATGGAACACCCTGTATATTATTGCATTTTTGGCTTTCTTTCAGATCACTTTACATAATCCTAAGATATGAGTAAATCTATTTCGATAGTTTCAGAGATATTAAAAAACAAATCAAAAATATATATTTTTCAATCCTTCTTAAAAAAATATATTAAAAATACAAGAACTGTTCTGAACTCAAAACTATATTAGATATTTATTTTAGATAGTCTGTTCTTACTTTGTTATAAATATGGTAATCGTAAATCACACAGGATGTTCAATATTTTACGCCACACTTTCAAAAATATAAAATAACTTTTCTTCGTTTTTTTAAATGGAACACCCTGTATATTATTTTTTTATTTGATGGAGAATTAAAAAATGAACATTTTTTGTATTTAAAGTATTTTAAAATTTTTAATACTTTTCCGGATACACGCAGTATTATTTCATATGGCGCTTTCAATGGTAAAATACGAGGGAAAAATCATTAGGTGGCTTTGATAAAAATTTACTGTGGAAAATGCCATATGAGATACAAAACTTGGAATATCTGCAAAACCGTTAAAAATTTTGAAATACTCTAAACGCAAAAAATGTTCATTTTTTAATTTTCCATGTATTGAAAAAATAATATACAGGGTATTCCATTTAAAAAAACAGAGAAAAATTATTTTATATTTTAGAAAGTTTGGCGTAGAATTTTAAACATCCTGTATGATTTACGATTTCCATATTTATAGCAAAGTAAGTACAGACCATCTAAAGTAAATATCTAATATAGTTTTGATTTCAGGACAGTTCTTGTATTATTAATTAATTTTTTAAGAAAGGCTGAAAAATATATAATTTTTCCTGAAAGGAAGCCAAAAATGCAATAATATACAGGGTGTTCGATTTAAAAAAAATCATCCCGATCCACTCACACTTTTTTGAGCCACTCTATAGAAGTCAAAATATTTATTCATTTTTTTTTTATTATACGAAATACATCCTAGTATATACTTTAGGTTTGCACTTAAACAAAATTCCCAAGTTTTTTATTTTATGAGCTACAGATGCCCGACGCACTATTGCCGGACCCTGTACAGGTACGGACAAAAAGTCATTACGCTTCAAAACAAATTCGAACTTTTTTACTTATTTTTATCTGCAGAATAAGTTTCCGGAATACAGTTCGGACCACCCTGTATATGCACTCGGTTGATACTGACCAATCGTGACAAAATTAGCCAAGCGAGTCAAAACCAATTGAGGGTAACAATTAATTACCGAGACTAGAGCAATAGGAACAGAGAATTGGAAGGAATTAATCGGACCATTATCTCTGTTTACGTTATCTTTGTGTTTATTTATTTTAACGCTCTCATATGCATCTAAATGCCTGTTACAGAAGATATTAGCTGCTTTTATTACTTATTGATATCCTCTGTAGATCTAAGCGCGAACATGGCGGCTACCATGATTTTGTCGAAGCTCATTCTCCCTATCCCTCTCTCTCTGTATTTACCACTGTCAGTAAACCAACCTGTACATATGCATTCTAACAACATGATCAGAGATCTGCAAATCTGTTTTTTCATCGACCGTATCCAGCATAACAAACAGTAAATCAAAACGGGAAAGGAGTGAATCTTGTAAACCTATATTTTCCATGGGAGTCTTGTATTGATCGTACTATGAAGTAAATGAAATAGTATATTTTTGTTAAAGAACATCAAAAAAGCTGTTTTTATTTTCCTTACCTTTCCATAGACAGGATTTGCAGCAGCCAAAACGGAACACCTCGCGTTCAGACTTGCATGAACACCTGCTTTTGCAATGGTAACTCTTCCCTGTTCCATTACCTCGTGAATAGCTGTTCTATCAATGTCACTCATTTTATCAAACTCATCAATGCAAACCACACCTCTGAAATATAAAATAAAAAGTTATTTTCCAAAAAAAATCAATGTCAGCTCTTTTTTACAAAAATGCGGGCAATTATAAAGCACACTTTAAAAATATTTATGCAGATATAGAGTGTGATTTAAATATATCTTAAACTAAAATGTAATTTCTGCTGTATTTTGGTTTGGATTGGTTGGGTTTGTAGATATGAAAAAAATATTTACCAATAAATAATGAGACATAAGCTATGTTCACTTTTGTCATAATATAGGGAATGTTCCACTTTAACTAATAAAAAAAGATATATCTATAACGGGTATTACTCAAAAGCGGCTCATCCTTATATAGCTTTTATATTTTTTCAGAAAAAAAAACGAGAGTTGATATGTTAGTATATGATATAAATTAGGATTCTCATTGACGTAATCAATTGTTTTTGGTCACTTCCTGTTTCACCGGAAATGACTACAACTTTTGATTTTTTTATGTAAGTTTTGGCATTTAAATTTCAATCTAGAGTGCTGTGTTAAAAATACTAATTTTTAGTCAAGGAGCCTTGGAAAAATAGAATTTGTCCAATATTTTTCGTGTCTTGTCCTGGCAGGTTAAAAAAAGCCTAAATTGTATTTTTAATCATATTATAATGTTTTCAAATGGAACGAGGATGGCTCATTACGATATTTGGAAACAGCATTTTTTTATGAATAATTTAGTACCACACACTTGGTATTTTTGACGCGAAATACCAAGTGTTGTCGTTATAAACCACATGCCATTGTCGTTATAAACCACATGTTACAATGTCAAACAAACTATTATCGAAAATATTAGAAGTTGACATATGATACGTCATTCTATTCGAAAATGTTAAAAGTTGACATATTAGTGCCATTTTCTATCGAATAAAGTAAAAAAGTTCCAAGGGTGTCATCAAAGAATATTTTAATGTCATTTAAAAATCAAAAATTATAGACATTTCCTGTGGAACAGGAAATTACCAAACACAATTGAATACGTCAATCAATCCCGATTTATGTCATATACTAACATACCAAGCCTGGTTTTTTATCTGAAAAAATATAAAAGTTATAGGGGTGAGCCACTCTTGAGAAACACCCGGTATAGTATGTCCAACAAAAGGATACCCTTGTAATCTTTTATTCAATAACTTTACCTGTCCGCTAAAACCATAGCTCCAGCTTCCAATCTCCTTTCCCCAGTTTCTTGATCTACAGTGACAGCTGCTGTCAAACCTACCCCAGATGATCCTCTACCGGTCGTAGGTATGGCGCGGGGAGCTGTGTGTAATACGTAACGCAACAACTGCGATTTAGCTACACTAGGATCTCCTATAAGTAAAACGTTTATATCTCCTCTGAGGCGGGTACCATTAGGCAACACTTTTTCCACACCTCCTAAAAATACTCCGGTCAATATATTATGTATTATTATGATCGAAATCAACCACAAGTGAACCCCTATTTCTCACGGAAATCAAGTGTTTATACGCTCACAAATTGCTAGCGAGCGCATCGACTACTGTTGTAATAGAGAGAACGTTCACATTCGTTACAGGGAATGTTCGCGAACATTCGCGAACGTTCAGGATAATTGTGCGGGAATGTTCCCGTATAAGGGCATCTATGTGCACAAAAATGTATGTATAAGCACACACGAGAACGTTCCCTATAAATATTTTTAATTTTTTTAAAACGATTCTATATTTTTGAGTCTAAATAGCATAAGCTTTTTACAAAAATAGTATTTTCTCTATAGTATTTATAATACACCATATTATAAAGACATTTAGAAAGCGACATAACAACACCGAGAAAATCACGGCCTGTTCTTTGTCGTCCACATTTGGAGTTCGGGGATTCCCCAGTATACTATTATGTCACTATTATACAGAGTTGTATAGACTTAGCAATTGGTTTGCTGTTTTAATTTGTAAATTGCAGCATGTACTTTTGATAGTTAGTAGATGCACTATAAAATATAGGCTTGGTGCATTTCAGTTATTTTAAAAATTGCGACTGCAGCGCACCAACGGCAGAAATTCGGATGCCGGGTATAAAGTATTTCAGGCAGTCCCGTTACCGTTTATGTCGATCGCATTGAAATAATATTAAAATCGTGGTTTTGTCATAATATTTAAGTATTTGACTTTTTACTAGTGCAGTTATTGAAATTATAAAACAGTTAGATACGAGGTTTGTGTGATGTAATGGTGGGTTCATACAGCCAAATAAAATAAAATAAGAATAAAATAAAATAAAATAAGAAAGTTGGTTATATGGGATACGGTACATGCGTTCATACAGCCAAATAAAATAACAAATAAAATAAGAAGTCTTTATCTTTTAACTTCTTATTTTATTTTATGTGAAAACGGCTTTGCGCACGCTTAATTCTAACCTACAAATATTTTCAGTTTGGATTTAATTTATTTTATAATTTCACATAAGTAAAATGTATAATATAGTAGGCAACGAATAAATAAATATACTATAAATAGTAAAATTACTATAAACAATCGTAAAAGTTAACTTTTATCCAGCCTCATCGTACTGCGCATGAGCAAATATATATTTCTTATTTTATTTTATTTGACTGTATGAACGCACACAAATAAGGATTCCTTATTTCTTATTTTATTTTATTTGGCTGTATGAACCCACCATATCGCTGTTTAGGGTAGTAAAAAATATGTGAGAAAGAATCCGAACTATGCGTCAAATATTAATAAAATTGCAGAAAAATGTTAACGCGTAAAGGAGAGCGTAATTAGGGCGTTGTTGGATGCAATAACATTCAATATCTCAACTTTCCCGTATATTCAACTCTTCCCAAAACAACATTTTATAGCTTCACAGTTTCTCACACCGATTTGATCAAAAGCAAAAATGGATTCAAGTAGTTCGACAAAACAAGTGAGTAAACAATATGCTCATTACATAATCAAAAAATTACATAAGCATATACTATGAAAGGATAAAATATAATTTGCAATATTAATGATATACTTCTTTTAATCAACTAGTGATTAAATGTTTTATGAACATCTAAAATTATTATTTACCTTTAAAAAATTTCGTTATAGCCGAAATAGTGCCAATAATGGCCCCACGAGCAAAACCGGTACATTAACCGTAGTTGAACTCATCTAAAAAGTTGTTTTAGCTGGAATAATAAATTATAATACTTACTAATTATAATAATATAAGTTAGACCTTCTTAAAATATCGAAATATTTACTTTTTTATTCTTATTTTTAGAATTTTCACAAATTATACTTCCTAACACTTTTATAATAATTAAATAATAAATTTTTCGCATAGTTGCAATTTAAACCTCTGTATTTGTATATACCAGTTGTTTACGATATTCTCCGATGGTGGCAGCACCGGCGGAGAGTACACCAAGCCTATATGTCCAGGAAAAAGAATAATGGTGGGTTCATACAGCCAAATAAAATAAAATAAGAATAAAATAAAATAAAATAAGAAAGTTGGTTATATGGGATACCGTACATGCGTTCATACAGCCAAATAAAATAACAAATAAAATAAGACGTCTTTATCTTTTAACTTCTTGTTTTATTTTATGTGAAAACGGCTTTGCGCACGCTTAATTCTAACCTACAAATATTTTCAGTTTGGATTTAATTTATTTTATAATTTCACATAAGTAAAATGTATAATATAGTAGGCAACGAATAAATAAATATACTATAAATAGTAAAATTACTATAAACAATCGTAAAAGCTAACTTTTATCCAGCCTCATCGTACTGCGCATGAGCAAATATATATTTCTTATTTTATTTTATTTGACTGTATGAACGCACACAAATAAGAATTCCTTATTTCTTATTTTATTTTATTCTTATTTTATTTTATTTGGCTGTATGAACCCACCATAACATGTTCGAAATACCTATTTGTTTGTTCTCGGGAAAAATAAATTCTATATAGATCATTTTACAACACTAGTAACGACATCTCTCGTCGGAATGAGAACACAACCAGACCTGGTGGCAAATAGATTACTTCACATTTGTGGAATAAAATATAATTTTTACATAAACTATGGATTGCGCGTTGCGCGCCAAAGACAGTTTTTAATTATTGAATAAATGGTGAAAGCACCAGAAATCAGAGAAATCATTGTATTAATTGTTAATGGTTATAATCAAACAGTTTATTGTAATTATAGCCATGTTATAAATTAGTTTTAGTATGTTATCGAATGTTTGAATCACGACGTCCACAGACTTCACAACAATACAAAAATGGGGGTCAACTTGAGGTGTGATTTTTCTCTTGTGTAATTAATTACCTAGCAACAAGCAAAGTATGGCTTTTTTTACATACTCATGTCCATGAATTGAAGGTGCTAGAGATTTTGAAAGGAGATTAAATATATTTTTGTTTGACTTGGCTAAATTTTTACACTTGGCCACATCTTCACGTGAAATTGATGGGCTAGTTTCCTTACTTAATAACTTAACGTTGTTTGCAATAACAGTTGTTCTGGAAGACAATAAATAAAGCAATTTACAATATACAGGTGTAAAAAAATCTTAAAATTATATACATACTTAAACACCCCATTAGTAAATGCCCCTTGATGGTTTGGTAAACATCTGAAGTTTCCAATTACTTGTACTCTATCCCCTGGTTTACATGCATCAACAAGATCATTATCGCAAATTATATTAACAACTCTAGGTAATTGACCGGCTGGGGCTTTTTCAGGCATTTCTTGTATAGATATTGTTTGATGGTCTTTATATCTGCAGAGACCAAACTCAGTTTCCAATGTGTTGCCATCTTCATCCTAAATTAAAATTTACACTTATTAATGTTTCCTATGTTTCAATTTTAAAACTACTGATTTCACCTTTGTTGGGTACACAGCAGAAGAAGGCACTGCCTCAAGTGATGTTAAATCAGTATATTTTCTTTCGATAAACTTTTTAGTGGCCGAACAAAAGTGGACACTTCTAACAAGTTTTGGATAAACTAATGAACCTAATAAAATAAATCATAGTTAGAGTAATAATAAATATACAGTTTTAGATGGGATTACATTTGCTAACAATACCCTCAACACAAATTAAGTTTCCAAGATATCTACAGGTTAAAGTACGTGGCGTGACATGTTTATTTCCAAAACTTCCTTCAAAAGCGATGAAAAATTCTTCAATGTCTTTTGCATATTCATAATTAATTTGATTTACGATTTCCTTTAAAGCTCTCTGAAATACTAACTGCTCTTCGAATGCGTTATTTAGTAAAGATGAGGCACGTTTGGGATTCTTTTTTCTCAGATCATTCACATTAACTACCAATCTCTTACTCTTATCCGCTATCATGTCCCTAATAAGCTGAGTATATTTTCCTTGGTCTTCCTGTGGGAAATTTAATGAGACTATTGTTTCTGCAAATATGATTAAAACTTACCTCGTCATCTAAAAAATCTTGATATTGAGTTTGTGCTTCACGTAGTTCTTGATCAGCTTCTAAGTTTGCCATTTTTTTATATTTTTATTATAATTTAAAACAATTCTAAAACCGAAAAATTAAAAACACCTCACTTAACGTAATTTTGTGTTTATAATTTTTTATAAGGTTTAGGAATATTGGCGCGAAAAATGACATATGTTTTGACAACCTCCTCTTCTTTTTTCCTTATGGCCACACATTTTTTAAATAATTTAAAGGTCTACGCTGCTAGGATTATCCAGCCTTTTAATAAGGTTACAAACCCTCGGCACTCTTCTTATGGCTTCAGTATAATCCGTCTATAATCCCCGGAGCACATCCCGGAGTATGATGATCCAATGCTTGGATCCAATGCTTTTAAGAGACGGCATTTGCTGTTCTCCATTCGCGAACTTCGAGTTCCGGGCTTTACGCCCTGGGGCTACTCGAGAACGGTTCTGAAAGGAGCGGTGCGCGATAGCCTGGTGCCTCCATATGGCGCGAGAGTATCGCGTTCTTGAACAGTTCAGAGCTGCTCAACTGCGTGAAAGGAGGACAGCAATTGGATGATCTACCACTCTACCAGACAAAAAGTCGACTTTTAAGTCAAAGACAGACAGGCCCCAGGCCGGACCACCCGGCCCACCTACGGTCATTATTACGAAATAGAAGAATGATAAAACGTAACACATAACCTGTAACTTTTCTGTTTTGTGTAGTTTTTGTGGGTTTTGTTGGTTTTCTAGTGGTTTTCTCTTGGTTTTCTACTATACTTTTTTTTTGGAAGGATTATGAAAAGTATATTTATATTTTATAATATCGGGATAATTTAGTATTTATCGGTAAATTAACACTAAAGTAATACAATAAACGAGACCGGAACAAGGTACAATAGTAGGTTATAATTGACCTGGTTTGATATTTTTTTATCATTTTCGAAGATATATGGTATACATATAGATAGATCCAGTGAACTAACTTCCTTTTGGTGGATTATATAGTATTATTTTATATATTTGTGATTAAGACTATAAGTAATATCGTTTCATTTTAGTAAATTAAAAGATGGAAGGCAAAGCCCAAAAGATGCCCAAAGTGGCGAAAGTTAAGAATAAGGCTCCCGCGGAAATCCAAATTACAGCAGAACAACTTTTAAGGGAGGCCAAAGAGAGGGATTTAGAAATATTACCACCACCTCCGAAACAAAAAATATCAGATCCAGCTGAATTAGCCGATTATCAGTTGAGAAGACGTAAACAATTTGAGGATAATATTCGCAAAAATCGGACTGTTATTTCCAATTGGATAAAGTATGCTCAGTGGGAGGAATCTCAAAAAGAAATACAAAGGGCACGTTCAGTGTGGGAAAGGGCTCTAGATGTAGACCACAGGAATATCACAATATGGCTAAAATATACAGAAATGGAAATGCGAAATCGCCAAGTCAATCACGCAAGAAATTTATGGGACAGGGCTGTAACAATTCTTCCGAGAGTTAATCAGTTTTGGTATAAATATACATACATGGAGGAAATGTTAGAGAATGTGCCTGGAGCTAGGGCTGTTTTCGAAAGATGGATGGAATGGCAACCTGATGAACAAGCTTGGCAGACATACATTAATTTTGAACTGAGATATAAAGAAATTGATAGGGCAAGATCAATTTACGAAAGATTTGTGGTAACTCATCCTGCTGTAAAAAATTGGATCAAATATGCACGTTTTGAGGAAAACCATGGCTTTATTCATACATCCAGACAGATTTTTGAGAGGGCCGTTCAGTTTTTTGGTGATGATCATATGGATGAGAGATTGTATATTGCTTTTGCAAAATTTGAAGAAGGACAAAAGGAGCACGATAGGGCAAGAGTTATTTATAAATATGCATTAGATAATATTCCAAAGGATCAAACTAAAGAGCTCTATAAAGCTTATACAATTCATGAAAAGAAATATGGTGATAGAAGTGGAATTGAAGAAGTTATTGTTTCTAAAAGAAAATTTCAATATGAACAAGAAATTACTGAGACTCCCACAAATTATGATGCTTGGTTTGATTACATAAGACTGGTTGAAGGGGAAGGAGATGTAGAAATAATTAGAGAAACATATGAAAAAGCGATAGCAAATATGCCACCTACAAGAAACAAAGACTACTGGCGAAGATACATATACTTATGGATAAATTATGCATTTTTCGAAGAATTAGAAGCACAAGATTATGAAAGAACTCGACAAGTGTATAAGGCCTGTTTGGAGCTACTCCCCCATAAAATATTTACTTTTTCTAAAATCTGGTTGTTATTCGCAAAGTTTGAAATAAGACAGAAAAATTTAACAGCAGCTCGAAAAATATTGGGCACTTCCATTGGATTGTGTCCTAGAGATAAACTGTTTCGGGGATATATTGATTTAGAAATACAACTTCGAGAATTTGATCGCAGTAGAAAACTTTATGAAAAATTTTTAGAATTTGGACCAGAGAACTGCGTGACTTGGATGAAATTCGCCGAACTTGAAACTCTTTTGGGTGATATTGACAGAGCCAGAGCGATTTACGAACTGGCAGTAAATCAACCTAGGTTAGATATGCCAGAACTTTTATGGAAAGCATTTATCGATTTTGAAATATCCCAAGATGAATCAGATAATGCCAGACAATTGTATGAAAGACTTCTAGAGAGGACCACTCATGTCAAGGTGTGGCTATCATATGCTAAATTTGAATTAAATCAACAAACGGATGATGGTTTAAATATTAGGCTTGCTCGAAGAATTTTTGAAAGAGGCAATGACAATCTGAAAAATTCAGTAGAGAAAGAAAGCAGAGCTCTTTTATTGGAAAACTGGAAAGAATTTGAGCTCAACCATGGCGATGAGTCTTCCCAAGCAACAATAAATAGTAAATTGCCTAAGAGAATTAAGCGTAGACAAAAAGTTGTCGATGAGGATGGTAATGAACAAGGTTGGGAAGAGATATTTGATTATATATTTCCTGAAGATGAATCAAGCAAACCGAATCTTAAACTTCTCGCTGCTGCAAAAAGTTGGAAAAAATCTGCTGCAGTTCAAGACGAAGCAGTTTAGTTTTTATTTTATCCAAATAATTTATGTACTGAATAATTTAATAATGTTCCAGTGGGACCTGTGTTATTGTATAGTTTTTAATTACTATTAAATATTTTTTTTACAAGGCGTTTTTTAATTTTGATAGGCACTAAATTAAAAAAATTAAATTATTTTTATTATTTAAATAGGCTAGAAAAATCTGCAAATATTGCAATTGCTGCCAAAATTATCGTGTTATCGGAAATTTATAGATCTAAAGAAATAATGACCAAACCAAATATTTATGTTTTTAATAAAAAACTAAATACCTACAGACTCAAAAAATAAAAAAAAACATTTTTTTTGTCTGACAATTTATTTGTTTAAATTTGCGGTTAAAAATGAATATTTAATTTAATAAAAAAAACATTAATTTTTTATTAGATAAAATCATAGAGAATAATACTAAAATAATAATACAATTTTTAAATTCAATAAACTACCGTATGATCGAAAAGAAACGTCGTCCAGTTGGCTGGGAAATGACGATCGATGACATTTCCCATATAAAATGACAGCGATCTTCATTTCATAGCCATCGCTGACGCCGTTTTTTTTTTCGATAATAAGGTACAATATGATTAAGAAAAAAAATGTCAGCGATGGCTATGAAATGAAGATCGCTGTCATTTTATATGCAAACTTATATGGGAAACGTTATCGATGTTCATTTCATAGCCATCGCTGACGCCGTTTTTTGCGATCATACGGTATAATAATACAATGGAAGACAATGCAATAATAATTTATATAATAGGTATGTATATAGATTAGATATAATGTGTATGATTTAATAATTTGTGCTTAAACCCACTTAATTTGCAATAGTTTAGTTTCCAATTGTATTACAAAATATTATCGCATCACTTGAAGAATTGACATTGAAAGTCATAATAACAAAATTTGTAGATATTTATTTGTACTTAGCTATAATGTCGCCATACATTTTATTAAATTTAATTTGTAATTCGCAAGTATAAACAGGAATTATTTCATTATGAATTATATAGTTCTTCTCGCGTTACGTTTTCCAATATAACGGATATAATATCAGTAACAATACAATCAGTAACTTCTCTTCTATTAAAGCCCGCCATACACCCGCGGATTTGATCTGCAGATTTAGTCGGCGTTCTTGTCACGTATCATTAACTCATAAATTTTGGACGGCTCAATCTGGCCTGCCGATTGAACTATGCCCAGTTAAATCTTCTCGTTTGGGACAAAACTCGACGTTTTATAGCAGTTTTTATATAGATAAATGTTTATAAATAATAAAAACTATCGTATTTTCGTTTACGGAAAGAGTTACAAGTCGGCCGACTTTATCCTTCGACCGTTTCTTAGACCAATCTAATCGGACAGATCAAGTCTACGGATATGGCTCGTGACAAAGGTTTGGTCCGCCACACAAATACAAAGTTTGTATCCGCGGATCGGGCCTGTGACATATCAAATCGTCAAGTTATATATGTTGGTGTATGAGTTTAGATAATATTGTTCTATTATATGTTTATTCCATATTTTATTTGTCATATTTAATTTTTAATAAAAAATATTTAAAAAATACATTTAACCATAAAATTATAGATAAGGTAAGTAGAGCAAAATAAGTCTCATTTTACCAGGTAAATTTTAAAATTTTAGACTTCCTATTCTCATATTAGATCCTAAACTAAATGTGTAAAAATATTAACCACTAAATGTGTACTTCTGGTATACTTGTGCAATCTCAACCCATATATTTAAAATAGTTAATTTAAACATAAATATATAAATAATGCAAACAGATCTCCCATTTTACAAGGTAAATTTTACAATTTAAGATTCTAAATTGAGTTAAAAATATTACCCACTAAATGTGTACTTGTGTCATCTTAATCCATATAAGGTATGATTGAAATAAAAAAAACGGCGTTAGCGATGGCTATGAAATGAAGATCGCTGTCATTTTATATGTAAAATTATATAGGGAATGTAATTGATGTTCGTTTCCAAACCAACAGAACGCCGTTTTTTTTTCGATCATACGGTATTTAAAATAGTTAAATTTTAATACATATTTGGTTTTAACTATAGTCAGTAGTCTACCGAAGAAATGTCTTATTGTTTAGTCAATGACACTGACAGTAACTATATACGTGATACCCTATTCTAATTCTAATTGATTTATTGAACATTAAAATCATGAAAAACAATTCTAAAATAATTTCACAATCAGAGTAAATCTCAATTGTATTTATTGTATCTGAATAATAACGTATATAAAGCCTGACCAACGCGTAAGGGAAGATTTCTACACACGAGTTTCAAAATATGACAGAAAATACAAATTAACCACGAATTAAAATGACACTTCCTCTCGTTAGACAGACTTGTCACCGTCCTAGTTATTCCAAATCCATGGTCTATATTTTAATGAGTAAAGTCCCGTTCCCAGAACTGAGATTTGTACTAAATTCAAACAGCTGTCAATTTTGAATTTGGTACAGCTCTCATTGGTTGTTAGAAGCGTCAAGCAGTGTCGCCAGCGACTGAACGTAATTCCAAGAACGGGACTTAAGCATGGGCTTAAGACAAAGATAAAATTTTCTTCATTTTACAACCGACTGATAGATAAAGATACAAAGACAAGTAGGGTTGCCGGTTCCAACGTGCATTAGGCATAATTTAAGATTAGGGAGATTAAAATAAAAATTGATTTAAGCGGGCAAACAATAAAATGTAAAATATTTATTAAGTGCGAACTTAGAGCGTATTAGAACTGTAGCAAATTTTCTTGAATTATCGATATTTATCAATTTAACGATCTAACCCTTGCTGCATTAAAACCCGAAATGCTTTCTTGATCTGTATTAAATATTTTAATGGAAAACCGGCAATACTGCATAGAAGAAATACATATCAGTCCACGAATTTAGGATGACCAGGTCTATATGTATAATAGTACAGTAAATTCAAAATTTCGATGCCAGGTTAAAGCGTAGATATATTTAAGGCACATGTAGTTATCATTGAGCCGAAATAGGCACTTGCGGCCAGTGGTAACGAGTCTCTATTGTAAAACCCCCTTTTAGTTACATAAAAAACCAGAGGCACATGTTGTAAATTCTCAGATCATTTGTTTATATCACTCATTTTTCTAGAGAGTTCGATTATTTATAAAAAATAGAAATAGACATGCGCAAATATTACAGGTTATCCACATGTCACTTACGTCTCAGTTTCGTTGGCGTACCATCTAAGTATTCAGTCAACACCTATGATGGCCAATCAGTCAAAAATTGTCCTCCCATTGAGATATTGTTGTAGTGATTTTGGAAAATGACAATTGAGAGAGAATTCAGAACTCTTTATAAGGAATTAATCGATAATACTAATAATAATAATAGCTCCTGTATATAGAGTTTAACACCTTGAGAGAGTAGCAAGGTATAGCTTGCCATGCTAGAGCCGTTAGGTATACAAGGAATGTAATGTCACAGATTAGGTATCCTATAAGTATACAGATAAATCTTGTCCCTAATTCGTGGTATGAAAAATGTTTTTTATGACGATGAGCAAACGAGTAAATTTTCTAGTGCGCAAAAATAAACTCCCATTTAAACAGCGTAATAACTGGGCCGGTCAGGCGCTGTGTACAATTTTAGAGGCCATAAGTGGGCGTGCTTGTGCGCAAACTAGTTACCTAACTAGTGCGCGATTCCGAAAATTGGAACCACGAAAAACAATACTTTTGACGATAAGTTTATAATCTGTGGTAATGTGGCTAGCACTACGCTTCAACCGCGTATTATTACCTCAGGATTGTGAATCCCAAATACTCATTTAAGTCTGAGTCAACCTAGGTACCTAAACTATTTTTATTTTATTAAAAATAGTCGGCTGTAGGATTCGAACCCACAAGCCTTAGATTGGTAGACGAGAAGTGTACCACTACGCTACCGGGCACCCTAGGAATTAATCGATAATGAACCAAATTCTATGAGTATTTTAGAATGCCTCAAGTTTGTTTTTTATATACTCCTTAATAATATAGAACTAGAACCCCACTTAAAACAAGATACTCATTGAAGAAGGGCTATATTTGTCAAGACAGACCGATCGATGTTTAAGGTGGACATGCCGCTATAAACTGCGTTCGATAGGGTTGTGTTAGACGAGAATGCGCCACTAGGATTAGCAGAAAGGCATGGGATTGGTGTTTTGTCCACTTACATTCGTCAAAAATATTTGAACAGACAATGAAAAGCCGACGATAAAATTGGTCACGCAGCCGGATGTATTTGAACATGTGTCTATTGGAATTAAAGGCAACACATTGATGGAACGCAATTGAGACGACGTTGACAGACATATTTGAATAGACCTCTAAATGATCCATATAGAAAACTTGTAGAAAATATAAATGTTTAAATTTAATAATCCAATTATGAATATAATAAAGGAAAAAAGGACGGGTTAACATTTTAAACTTTGTTAGTAAAATAATACCCGTTGCAAATAGAACAAATTTCCTTTTTCGGCCTGTAACCGGCTGAATGCCTGCTTCGTTCCTTTTCCTGTTCTATCTTCTGTGTGCCATCGAAAATAAGTTTCGCAAGACCCGCCGCGATGTAATCTGAAATGTTTTTCAAGACCGTATACTTAAGTAGCCTACCTTCAAAGCTAAAATTAATGGCATACTCGAAAAATATCACAGTGCGTTTTACTGTTGACGGATTGATCGTTTCGAATAAACTGTTAAAATACTGCTTGTTGCCGGTCATTTTGTACTCTTGATAATTTTTTTCTAAATCGTCAGCTTTGTCTTTAAAAAAACCAATAAGCATCTGTGCCAGTTCTACAAATAACGACTCCCTGCTTGGTAACACGTTGTCGAGTTCCTGTAGGAGTGGTCCAGACACTCTACTCAATAAATCACGTATAGTCTGCGAAACGGCTTCCACGAACAATCCTCTAGTATCTTCACTGCAGAATTTTAAAAGATCTGTCATAAATAGAACAATCTTCAATGGGGTCACATTAGATCGATCTATGTTTAAGGTGGACATTACGCTATCAACTGCGTTCAATAGGGTGGTGTTGGACGTAGATGCGCCAGTAGAATTAGCCGAGGGCATGGGAGTGGGATTTTGCCCGCTAACACTCTTCAAAAACACATTCACTTTTTCTTTATTCATTCCAACAAATTCGTTTATATCCACTTTGAGGCCGTTTAATTTAATTTCGCCTTGGTCAGCGGAAAAACGTATCCCGTTCTTATTCATAGCCTTATTGTTTCTGGTTAATGCCGCAAAAACTTCGTCTTTGTTTGGTATGTTTCGAATGGCTGAAATTACTTCAGCTTTGCCTTTTACCCCTTCACCTTGACTCCTGAATGTTTCTTTCATTAATTTACTGAAGGTTTTCCTGAAAAAAAAAATTGCATATTATATTGGTTTTGCAAAGCATTACTGTTATTTTAATGAAAAAAATATTTTTTTTGATAAAGTGTCTAAAAATATGTTGGGCAAACTAGAAGATCAATATTAACTAGATTCAAAGAATCTTTCGTCGCTCAACATATTTTTGATAAAGACCATTTTATATATATGTTATAACAGGTCTCAAATTACACGCAATTAGATGCATACTAAGAGCTACCAAACGTATGAAATAAACCGAGAAACTGTGCGCATTGCTAAGAGACATGGAAGGGGATATAGCACTTATAGCAGATTTGTCGCAGTCAACCGGTCGACCCAATCAGTACCTCTGTCAGTACTTAAAGTTCTGACGATTTAATTACGTCTCGTGATACTTTATTTGTGTATTTATTAACGAGTCGTTATAATTTTCCCTACACCTTGAAAATGATTAAGTGCAAGTTAGAAACACTTTTTGGTAAAAATAAGTGGAATTGAGTTGGTGTTCGACAGTGGTCGCGCTATTAGAACTCTAAATTCAAAAATCGATATCTCAAAATCTATTAAAAATAATTGATAGTAGTTTTTTCAAAAACGTTCTTAACATTTCTGCTATTTTCTTCGCAGACAGTCTGTGAAAATCTTTCAATAAAAATTCACACACGATTGCTGAAAATTGCTATTCACTAAAAGTATGGGTTGTTTAAAATTTTTGAATGAAAAAAAAAACAACCTTACCGAATTTTTCTTATTTAAACATAATGTAAAAGATCCGATTTTCAAAATAAAAAAAGTTTCAATATCTAAAGTGGTTCTTAAGTTATGGCGCGTTATGGGTTAAAAAGTTGAGTTTTTAAATTGCCGCGATTACTGGCGTTTTTTCGTTATAAAAAAAATGGACACCTTAACGATATCTTTATAATTCCATTTCAGATGCTCAGAAACATATCTAATGATTTTATCTAGTTATCTTCTCGAAGAAAAAGTTTTTTTAAAAATAAGCGGTTTGCGATCGTGATTTTACTTTACTCGATATAAGTTCATCACAAAACAAACAAACAAAGAATTACAAAGAATATGTTACACAAAGTTCAAATAATTTGCTGTCATGTCACTTGCCAATCTTGTCATGACATATGACAGGTAGCAGGTGGCGACTCTAGGGAGCCCTAACTGAACTACGCAACATTATGGTCAAGTTACACAACCTTTCAAACACTCTTTAATTTTAGTTGCTCTATGCTTTAGAGTGCCTTTAGGTACATCGGTACGATAAGATTACCTGTCCAAAAAATCCTTTATGGGTATTAAAATAGTTATTTTTTGTAAACATTTCTGCGTTAAACCTAAACGGACACTGCTTGTCAGAAGTTATGTTTACAGTTATACAAATTTGCCTAACAAAGAAAAAAATGCTTAACGTTTCGGAAAGTTTATCTCTTTCCGTCGTCGGAAGTAAAAAAAAATACAAAGAATAAGGAAAAAAATTATTTAAAATATTTAAATTCAACTATTCGAGAACACTTTACTTTTTTAAAACAGATACGTCTGCAAGAAAGCGTTGACGTTCTCTTAAATGACATTATATCAAGTTAGACTTCAAAATTGTTACTACCTGATAACAATTACTTATTAAGGTAAAACCAAAAAGCCCCAAACTTTCTGTATAATTATTTTTAAATTTTACGTATATTATGTTTATTTATGTTATGTTCTTTAAAATCAAAGAAGCGATTGCTATACATTACTAACATCTACAGATGCATGAGCAATACATTTATTTTTATTAGATTGAATTAAAAAAGCATCTTTTATTTTTCTTTTAGAGGCTATCGCTTCTTTCATTATAATTTTGGCGTTATTAAAATTTATTCTGTGTCCTGTGTCCCATGAATGCTGACAAATCTTAGATTTGTGAAAATCTCCCTTTCTTAAATATAATCTTTATGTTCTTTAATTCTAACATTTAAGGGTCTAGATGTTTCACCAATGTAAAATTTATCGCATTCACATGGTATTTGGTATAATACATTTTCTAATACATTTTTTGTTTGTTGTTTTGTATTGATTGTATTCATTTTGTATGATTTTAAAGAACATAACATAAATAAACATAATATACGTAAAATTTAAAAATAATCATACAGAAAGTTTGGGGCTTTTTGGTTTTACCTTATTAAGTAATTGTTATCAGGTAGTAGGGTTGGCAAAGGTTTTATACCAAATGGTATAATTAGTATTATACTTTGTATTTAACTTATCCAGTATTATACCATATTGTATTAAACTATTAAATATCAAAACATTGTCTCACCGCCTTTGTTGTTGGGAAGATTTTGTGGTTACATCCTTAGGTTACATCCACGCACAATTTGACCAATATCTTAGATCCCAGATTTGGTGGACAGTCGCTTAACGATACAACCAATTTTTTAGCTTAATTTACAACCAAACCAAACAAAACAAAACTGTTGAGAAGCTGCTTGTCGTAGAACACAATTTAAGGTTTCTGGAGCTAGAGGAAGAGGGCAATAATTTGACATCTTCACAAATCCAAAAGGGTAGGTATATATTGACAATTTCTAATATTTTTTCTTCTTAATTTTTATTTTTAGATGGAGGGGAGTTGGATAATGCCACGTTAGAGGAGGAGGAAATTGAATTGGATACTCTCAGGCTCTAGCTTTCCAGAGACGAACAGTGTCCAGGGAGTTGAACTGAGTGACTTGGAAACGGAGATACAATTCTCGGAGATCGAAGATGAGGACGATATGCCCCTCGCAGAAATTACAAAACTTTTTTAAGTACAAAACTTTTTTATTCCAAGTCAAAAAAGCCAGTTTGACTTGCTTTGTTTTTTTTTATTGGTTTAAAATAAAATTTTTAATAATTGTTTTTATTAATTAATGTTTTAATTATTAATGTTTTTATTTAGTTTTATTGAATAAATGCTAAGTTTGGTTATAACAGATTTATTTTATAACAAAAAGCCTTTACCATTTTTTTAAATCGAAAGTATTATACCTTTTGGTATAATAAAGTATAAAACTTGGTATAAAACTAGTAAAAGTTAAATACCAGATTTTGCCAACCCTATCAGTTAGTAATTGTTAATTTTGAAGTTTAACTTGATATAATGTCATTTTAACAGAACGTCAACGGTTTCTTGTAGACGTATCTGTTTTAAAAAAGTAAAGCGTTCTCGAATAGTTGAATTTAAATATTTTAAATAGTTTTTTTCTTTATTCTTTGTATTTTTTTTTGCTTCCGACGACGGAAAGAGATAAACTTACCGAAACGTAAAGGAGTTTTTTCTTTGTTAGGCAAATTTGTATAACTGTAAACATAACTTCTGACAAACAGTGTCCGTTTAGGTTTAACGCAAAAGTGTTTACAAAAAATAACTATTTTATTTTGTAGATTTTCATGCAGTGCAGTGGCGAAATATCCATAAAGGATTTTTTGGAGAGATGAATCCGCCACATAGGTATAGACATTTTTTAAGATTACCTGTGCCTGTTACTTCTCAGCGAATCTTGATAATCGCGTAGGACTTTCGCTTGGCTCTCCTCTATTATGGTCCCGGCCGGCTTAAAATTGTACACTGCATGCCCGAAGAACAGAACGGAAGAACTAAGCTGAATGATTGTTAAAGCTGACGGTGTTTGTTGCTCGTTGTACCATTGATCGAAGACGTCGTAGCCTGAGTTAACTAGACTGACCCCGCTGGCGGTAATGTTGAGGAATCCGACAGTGTTGCAGGCGTATATGGCTCCCTAAAAATATCCGGAAATACAAATACAGGGTTGTTCACCACATACGACACGGAGTATTGTAGCCGAACGATTTGATTATTACACATTGTAAGTTTTGGGTTCGTTGAAGGACTATTAGAGCTACAATTTAAAAATATTTTTACAAGATACAGAGTGTCCCAAATAAGTAAAAAATATTATAGCTGTATTTTTTTTTCAATAGAACACCCTGTATATTATTCTATTTAATGTACATGTTTTATGGTGTACAAATATTAACAAAACGTCATAAAGTAAGAGATGACAAAAAGATAGTATGTAACAGCCTGGGTATTATTTATTTTTGTTTATTATTTTTTTGTTAGTATTATTATTTAGTCTTTATTTTAATAGTTTTTTGTTTTACCCGTCCTATATTAAATCCTCTGGTAGCAAGCTGCGCCACTGCCAAGTTTGCGCCCGCCCCTGCAAATCCAAGCGAGCCAGCCAGAATATTTAAATACGCTCCTCGAGCTTCTGAATTGGCAAAACTCATAGACTGTAACAAAATGAAATTATATTATATGAGAAAGCGTGTACAGAAAATCTTACTTTAGTTTAGCTGAAATCAGTTATGTTAAGAAATATTTGCTTATTTAGTATTTGGAAGCCTTTTTGAATAGTATGTCACCAAATTGTTTCTGCGTAAATGCATCATTTTCAGTTTTTCAACTTTAGAATTGCTGAAATCCGGGCTACTTTATTTTAGCTCAAATCAGTGACGTAAGAAATATTTATTTTTAGTACTTGGAAGCCTTTCCAAATAGAAAGTCACTAAAATTTTTCTGCGGAAATGCATATTTTTCAGTTTTTCAACTTTAGAATAGCTGAAACCAGTTACATGAAAACACGTTTCTGTTTTTCATTCTAGAAATTTTTCTTTACATAGACACGCAAAAAACTTCTTGATAAACTTTAGTGATAAAACATTGTAAAATATAGCAAGATTTGAAAAGCACTCGGCAATTGAAATTCGTAAACAGGCGCATTTTAGCTTACAGCGTGTTTTGATTGCTTTGGTTTTATTTGTTGTTTTTTCGGTACGGTATTGATGTCTAAATCACAGTATCTACTAGGTTAAGTTCATACCTACACATGAAAATTGTTTAGGAATTAAAGCATTAACATGTTTTCATATAACTGATTTCGCAGTTATTCTAAAGTTAACACTATTTTAGGAAAAGGACGTATTTCCGCAGAAAATTTTTTGTGTGTTTATGTTTAGAAAAGTGTTTAAAATGTAAAGCAGGAACATGTTTTCATGTAACTGATTTTGGTTATTCTAAAATTCTAAAGTATCAGGTAGTCTAGTCGAAGAAACAAAGAATCATGCATTTCTGCAGAAAAAGATTTTTTCATGATACTTTGACCAAGTTTCGTGCACTATAAAACCCCATCATCAAGGGCGAAAAAATCGTCAGATTTAAATAAAATTTGGTATGTTAATAGATTGGACCAAGGCCATCACGGCACGTGTCACTTTGACAGTTGGTTTTGACGTAAGAAACGTGAATAGTTGATATTCGATCGCGACCAAATTTGGTGGCCCTACCTTGCAAAATTGGATACGACGTTTCGTTTACATCTTCATCAGGGTGGGACTAAGGATTTGATATTGAAGAAAAATGTTGGTCGATTTCGGCATAATTGGGGACGGGCTACAGGATGAGACCCGCGACTTTTCGAACCGATGCAATGCTTCCAAATAGCCGAAATCCTCAGGATTTTTCTTAATTATGGGTCGATTGGAACTAAACCCAGCACGTGGATAGAGGTACCCGAATTGAGTCCTCTGAACAGTTCATAGAATGCACAATGAAAGAATTCCAAAACAAGTCATTCATTGGATACCACCTGGTAAACGAAAGAGAGGAAAAGAGTCCCAAGAAAACATGGATGGAAGAAATAAGAAGGTCCATGAGCGAGAAAAATCTGACCGAAGATCAATGGGAAAATAGCGCAGGGTGGAAGTTAGGCATCGGACAACGTCGTAGGACGTTCTGACCCGAATTTATATATATATATATATATATATATATATATATATATATATATATATATATATATATATATATATATATATATATAAAAGGAATTAACAATTTTATAACAACAAAAACTTTGCTTCTTCTAAAATAGCAATAAACATATTATTTTGATATATCATTTAAAATATTTTCTTTTGAGCAACGTCTGGTCAATTTACCATTATAAATATTATCAAGCTTAATATTTACTTTCTTTATTAATTTTAAAATTAATAGAATTATCTGCCGTTAGTCATTAATAAATATAACAAATCATTAAGTTATCAGAATTTAATTCATTGTAAGAAAGTCCAAGATTTCAAAATTTTGTTCAAACAATAAAATTAAATACTTTCGTATCTTTCTTTTATTAGTTAGCGTTGAATACGTTGATTAGTTTGTATATTTTTTTGATTAGTTTAAAATAAATAAAACACACACTTGAAAATACTAAAAATGAAAATATTTTCAAAAATCACATCAAAAAGTGCTTTAGATAAAAATTTACATTTTTATAGTTTGGAAAACTAAAGTGTCCATAAAAATATACCTCTATATTTCATTAGAATTTAAAAGAAATATAAAAAAAGAAAATCTGATATTTTTAAGCATAATTAAATTTTCTAGAAAATAAAAATGGAATAAGCAATTTACTTCAATGTATTTGTTATTCAACATTAATATTAATATTTAGGCAATATTGCTACGCAACATTTGTTGCATTTATTGCAAGATAGTTTTTATTAATGTAGATATTATAATGCTAGAGCGCTTTTAAAGCACAGGTAGTCTCTGTTCCAGTTCAGAATAATAAACAATTTTATTTCATATTAAATAACAAAATCTGTCTGAAATCACATGACTTTATTTCGAAGTATGTTTAAATAGCATAATAGATCCTATGCGCATCTAGGTCAGCTACATTAATTTTTTTATAAATAAATAAATAAACAAAGTGGATTAAAAATGTTTTGGTATCATATCAGTCAACTGAATAAAAAACAAATATATTACATATTATTTTATAAAAAAACTAACGTGTACCAGCGACTTCGTTCGCGTCGAATTAATCATTTGTAAGGGTGATAATAAAGCAAAGCAAGAATTTCCATTAACATCATACAAACGATAAAATTTTCTCACATTTATGTCAGCATAAGAAAAACAATATGGCGATATTATTATATAACTTGGTAATATTTGAGGGGCAGTATCATCTCGTTGAAATTTGACTTTCGAAAAATCCCTTTGCCAAAAATAAGCTTTTTACGTCAAGCAGTTTAAGCAGAATCGTGGTTAAGAAATTACCCAACTTTTTGGAACACCCTGTATGATTTTTTAAAAAATTTCAAAATATGTAAAAAACCAAATAAATTATGCTTGCCCAAGCGTTTTCCCGAATATATTTATCAAACGTTCAGTAAATTCTAAACTATGGTAGGTAAGTGTTTGCAATTGAATATTTAGTTTATATTGCTATTATCTGTCATATATTTCTGGTTATTTCTTTTTCCGATGATTTTGAACACCCTATATATGCTACCTCAAATTTGAATATTTTAACACTACCTATTTTCTGAGAAAGCAGACCTTTTTATAAAAAGTAACTAACTGGTGTTTTCATAAAAGTAATAATACAAAAAATTCCATACTTATGTGGAGAACTTTAGACTCCCTGTATATTAAAAAATTAGTGAAATATTACGTAATCTAACCCGACATTTGTGTGATGACTGTACGTTAGCGGTTATGTCTATTTCCGCACGTTATCGGTTAAACAGTAACAACTGATTTACAGTTTTCTATACATTTTGTAATTTTCAGACAAGATATACTTACCGTCCATTGAGAGGTAAAGTCATCTTGCGTTCTGGCAATTTATTTTTCTTTAAATATTGCTCCCAAGTTTGATATACTCGACCAGTATCATCTATAAATATCCTGCAAGGATTTTCGCTACCTCTACATTTCCTCAAAATAAATATAGGAACTGGTCGAATATCTGTTTCGGGATTATAGTCGGGATACTTCTTACTGAGTCCTAATTTTTCTTTTGGAAGGGGCTCAGTACAGTTGTAGATAACAGCGATTTCAATAACATCCTTATATTCGGCTATTTTTTCTAAAAAAGAATTAATGGTTTATAAAAAATCTGTGTCATCAAAATATGAAACAATTTTACTAAAAAAAGGAGGTTGGTTTCTTACAAGACATTATTTTTTTTGAAAATCCTTTAAAATGGATTTGTGGATATGATGCTGATTTTTTTATTAAAACTCTGTATTTTGTTTTCCATGCCTTGAATATCCAACAGTCCTTATTTTTTAATTTAAGCATGGATAAAGAACTGGAATGGATAAAAGATTTCATATTAATATATTCCCTATTTGTGTTGAAACAGAGAGAACTAGTGATGAGCAAGTGCAAGACCGAGACTCCTCTGGTTTTGGTCTTGCAGTCTAAGTAGCCTTGATTTTAACAGGCTCAGTCTTTATCTTACTGTACCTACGACTCTTGCACTTTTTTAATAAATGGCATTTTAAGTCAGCTAATGCAAATAACGCTTAAAAAAAGAAACAATATTTGTCCAATTAAAAAAAAATTGGGCCAAATGACCTCTCTTTATCATTACCACAAACTATTCGAGGTGAATAAAATATACCGAGGAACATGGACAGATACAAAATTCCTTCAAGACGGACTAACCTGGTATAATAATAATTCGTGATTGACTTTATTGTTCTAAATAAACAAAAATACAATTTTTTACGATATTTCAAAAGTAGAACAAGGGCTAAGTTCAGCTCTTACCGAACAGCGTCCGGTGGAGCTGCTCTTCCACTTAACCCAAATACAGACGTCAAAGATGGCTAACGGAATAGGGACTAGAGTATTTGGAGAAAGACCAAGGGTAATCTTATCCTTTTCCTTGGAAAAATACTCAACCGTATTCCAGGCAAATATCTTCGCCATTCTAGAATGCACGAGAGAAAACAACAGAACAACTTACTGAGGTAAGTTCATCAGTATACAGGGTCCGGCAATAGTGCGTCGGGCATCTGTAGCTCTTAGAATAAAAAAATTGAGCATTTTGTTTAAGTGCAAACCTAAAGTATGTACCAGGATGTATTTCAGGAAAATATTTTGACTTTTATAGAGTGGCTCAAAAAAGTGTGAGTGGACCTTGATGATTTTTTTTAAATGGTAAAACACCCTGTATATTATTGCATTTTTGGCTTCCTTTCAGATCACTTTACATAACCCTAAGATATGAATAAATATATTTCGATAGTTTCAGAGATATTAAAAAATAAATCAAAAATATATATTTTTCAGCCCTTCTTAAAAAAATTATTAAAAATACAAGAACTGTTCTGAAATCAAAACTATATTAGGTATTTACTTTAGATAGTCTGTTCTTACTTTGCTATAAACATGATAATAGTAAATCATACAGGATGTTCAATATTCTACGCCAAACTTTCTAAAATATAAAATAATTTTTCTTTGTTATTTTAAATGGAACACCCTGTATATTATTTTTTTATTAGATGGAGAGTTAAATAATGTACATTTTTTGTATTTAGAGTATTTCAAAATTTTTAACGGTTTCGCAGATACGCGCAGTATTATTTCATATTGCGTTTTCAATGGTAAAATACGAGAGAAAAATCATTGGGTGGCTTTGATAAAAATTTACTGTGGAAAATGCCATATGAAATATAAATCCGCAAATATCTGCGAAACCGTTAAAAATTTTGAAATACTCTAAATACAAAAAATGTTCATTTTTTAATTCTCCGTCTATTGAAAAAATAATATACAGGGTGTTCCATTTAAAATAACAAAGAAAAATTATTTTATATTTTAGAAAGTTTGGCGTAGAACATTGAACATACTGTATGATTTACGATTATCATGTTTATAGCAAAGTAAGAACAGACTATCTAAAGTAAATACCTAATATAGTTTTGATTTCAGAACAGTTCTTGTATTTTTAATAATTTTTTTAAGAAGGGCTGAAAAATATATATTTTTGATTTATTTTTTAATATCTCTGAAACTATCGAAATATATTTATTCATATCTTAGGGTTATGTAAAGTGATCTGAAAGGAAGCCAAAAATGCAATAATATACAGGGTGTTCCATTTAAAAAAAATCATCCAGGTCCACTCACACTTTTTTGAGCCACACTATAGAAGTTAAAACATTTTCCTGAAATACATCCTGGTACATACTTTAGGTTTGCACTTAAACAAAATTCTCAAGTTTTTTATTCTAGGAGCTACAGATGCCCGACGCACTATTGCCGGACCCTGTATATGCTCAGACAGCCAGGCGGCATTTAAGGTGCTTATGAGCTCAAAGGTATCGTCGAGACTCGTCTGGGAATGCCTGGGTGAACTGGGAACTACGGCAGAAAGAATCGGAATTAAATTATTCTTCGTGCCGGGCCACAGCGGCATCCAAGGCAACGAAAAAGCCGATGAACTAGGAAGCCAAGGATCATCGTCCTATCACTCAAGTCCAGAACCAATATCGGGTCATGCACTTGAGAATACCCAAATGTATGACCTGCAGTGCAGTAAAACTGTCAATCAAGGAAAAACAGAATGTCCACTGTCAGACAATGGCATAGGCATAGCAGACCTTCATCCAAGAACCTAATTCTAAAACCAAAAAGGAACTGCTGATGCTTAGCAGAAATAAAGAGCGGATTACAACAGGTCTCTTGGCAGAACATATGGCTGTCAGGTGCTACCTGAACAAATTCAATCTGTATCAGGGAAGTATTTGCTACAGGCTCTGAGATAAATATCCTAAAACAGCGGGGCACATAATGGCTCTGGATCGCGACACTTTCTATTTGAGAAAGCAAGGCAAGAATCGGAGGAACTAGGCTCCCATCCTATCAAGGACCTGCACAAGTTGGTGCAGGGTACAGGCCAGTACAGGGATAGGAAAGTGGAGGCAGACATGGAAAAGGGACAAACACAATAGACCTTACAAATCGCAGGATGCCCTCTTTTTGAAAGAAAAAAGCAACAAAAAGTCGATAATAGATGGCGTTGTTTAAACATAAAAAACACTGCCCCTTTCAGTTAAACTGGGACGTTGTACCACGCATACTGGTACTACTACATGATTAAAGATTTTAATGTATGTTTGTTAGCCTGAAAAATACAACATCCTCTTATCTTGTATATAAATTTAATTTCATTGGAACCTTTAGGACAATCGCCATAATTTTCACATAACTCTTAGTGTGAGTTTACATGCATCCGTAATGCGTTCTCGTTCTGTGTTCCGTCACTCCAATCATATTAGCTTCGTTCGCAGAGCAGCTAGAAATAGTTTACAACGGTCCGACGCATGCGCATAAAGTTAAAAAGCGTACGCAGAAGCAAAATTCGTGATACCTAACCAAAAATCCTGCGGTAGGAGAACAAAAATAGAAAATTTCTATTTTATTAATATAACGTAACTGTAAAAAGTTAATTGTCACGTCCTTCGCGGACATACTTTTGGCATTTGAAGGGGTAGCTGCAATAACCAGGCAGCTCCATTGTAAGAAATTTTGCTTGCTGCAAACAGCTCCCAGGAGCTACCCTGGTTTTTGCTGCAAGCCGAAAGCAAGTTAGTTCTAAATAACGTTGTCATTTGTGTACTATTAAATGGAGTTATCTGATCGTTGCAGGGAACGAATGGACTATTTTTTAAAGGGAAATTCAGTAAAAATCTCATTTTCCTAAAAAAATTGGAGCTGCCTGGTTATTGCAGCCACCCCTTCATTTAATTATGATTGATCGTTCGCAGAACCAGATTTGTTGGATCAGATCAGTTGGATATTTCGCTGTGCAAACAAAGCTATATTAAATATGCAGGGTGATTTTTAACCTATACGCATAAACTTGGGAAATTATTGCTGATGACAAATAATGACTCATAATGAAAAAAAAATGTTAGTAAAATATTTTTAGATTCTGAAATAATTTCAGTTTTTTTTTCACAAAAATTTATCAACTTTATCAGTAAATGCACATTCAATTTAATGGAATTTACGTTTTTTGTTTTTATTTCAAATAGTTTGTTATCTCCGTAAATAAAAATATTTTACTAACTTTTTTTTTCATTATTAGTCATTATTTATCATCGGCAATATTTTCCCAAGTTTATGCGTATAGGGTAAAAATCACCCTGTATATGAAATTTTCATATCAATTAAACTTTTAGTTACTTAATCGAGGCCGCGACTTTTAAATTCATTGTTGCCAACAATGGACATATTCGCTGGGAATTCAGGTGGTAGCTCTGCTGTAAAAAATGCCAATGCCATTTATTTAATTTCCTGACAACTGTCATCCATTTTGACACTTCAGTTTTGTATTACGAGTTTTTGGTTTAAATAAATAAGTGTTGTGATCCTTTAAGCTTGAAAATGTTACTAGCAGACCTTGCAGTCGAACATTGTTCTTTATAAAACCTCTTTTAGTGCGAGGTGTACAAGACAGTAAAATTTCAAACTGCACATTTAGGCGTTTGCGAAAAATATTGCATCTAGGGCTGGAACTTTATTTTTCACCATTAGTTACTCATTTTACTACAGCTCTAATAGATTATATTTAGTTTAGATATATTATCATCATTTCAGTAGTATACATGAAAGTTTTTAAAATAACTTATATCTTTCTACACACATTTTCCTACAAACGCAAAAAACCGGCAACACTGTATGCCGCAATTGATTTTGTCTCTCTGTCTATTAACCGGTCATTTATATTATTCTTTCTGACACTCATTAAAATCCAGACCACATAAATTAGATGACCAGCAGGGTATATTTATAATTAGTTTATTTTTATTTCATAAAATATTTTCATTAAAAGAAAATATATAAAAGTGGGTAACGCTGTGCCGGTCAAGCTTAATCACGTGACTAAAAGTTTATTTGGTATGAACTGTATTTAAAGCAGTATTTTAGCAGAAGCCAACATCAGCGACATCGGGAACTTTGGAAAGCGCAGGAAGTGCTTTAACGCAAAGACAGAATGAGAGGAAGGTTTGGTTCAATACAGCGGTATCGCAATGGGCCAAAGGCCTCCGAGTGACGGATCAAACAAGATCCCAAATCCCAGCAACCTAACCTAACCTATAAACTCTACTTAAGTAATGAGCTGTCATTGTTGAAATAAACCAATAAAATAGCATAAAATCAAAGACGGGCGATGAATGACGGATGCATGAAACCCATACACAAAAAATACTTACCGCTCGTCTCTTTTATAGCATTATATATTTTATCAATAAGCTTCTCCGTTGTTTTAGGGTATCCTTTTTCTTCCTTAGGGGGACCGTCCAAAGCAAATCCGATTTTACTTTTCAAAAACTGATGCTGATTATGTTCGAAGCGATCGTAGTCGCGATCTCCCAGCATGTCCGCAAATAGAGCCTGCAATTTATCTCCACTCATATCGTTTTCTTGATTCGTTTTATCCTTTAAATCTGCCAATTCTCGTTCGTTTTCCATTTCGGCAACGAAGGCACTTTCGGCCTTTTCTAACGCCGATATTAGTTCTTCTATTTTCATTTTTCCTCGACAGACCATAAAGACGCTCACGTTGTTAGCTAAAGGAAGCACAGCTACGGCGGCAGCTTTTTTCGCAGCTATGTATTGTGTAATGTCGGATAAGTTAACGTTAGAGCTAAGAGCGTCAGTTAAAGCTTTGTGATAAGCATCCTCTTCGACGTCCCATCCCAAAATCAAAAAGTTTCGGTTCAATAACTCTATCAGTTTTTTAGACGTCATTAAATTTTGAAAAAATAGCTGGCTGAAGTCGTCCGCCGAATTGTGAAGATAGAGCAGCAACACTTTCCTCTGAAATAAATATGTTTTTATTGTATTGCTTGTTATACAGGGTGGCGCTTCTCATACGCCGCGGAGGCTCCAAGAAGAACGACAGTTTGTATTGAAATGAAATTTTCTGATCATGTGTAGGTTAATTCAGAGCACTTTTTTAAAATATAGAGAGTTCTACAGGCTGTTCCCAAAAAAAGTTACATATCAAAGTTGTGTTTTTTGTAATGGAACACCCTATATATTAATTGATTTTTGGGTTCTGGGAGAAAAATAAAGGTGAGTTTTATATGTATATGACTAAAATGTAAGGTTTTTGACATATTTAACATTTTCTAGAAATAAAGAACAATTTTTAAATTACAATAAAAGCTACCTAAATTGTACCGGTATAGCCTAATATGTAGTTAAATTAACTATTGTACTTTAAATTATATTAAAACTCGATTCAAAAAATTATACAGGGTGAGACAAAATTAATATTGAACATTAGTCACTTTTAAAAGCATGTTACTGTTTTTATTTTAAATGAAACACCCAGTATATTATTTCGATATTTAATGGAGAATTCATGTCTCTTCAAAATACTATTAAGGTTGCCTACCCCTCAAACAAAGATTTCCCTAGATATTTTCATTTACATGATTTGATCTGAGTGAATCTTTATTATTTGATAAAATCTAGGGGGCTGTGATATGTCTGACATTACTTTAACATAGCTATCTAATTAGTCCAGCTTTAACAACTAGTTATCATTTTGTGTCAGTTAAAACAAAGAAAAAATTCTCAGAAATTTTCCGAAAATGCAAACTTATCCTACATCAGAGACAATTGATATATGTTTCTATTAGTTGGTGAACGCAGTGTGCATTCACCAAATAATAGAACTTAGATGCTCCTGATTTTATCTAGTCTGGGTTTTTAGGGGGATATGTTAAAGACAGTGTTTACAAAACTCGACCAACTATTGTCGACAACATGAGAAAAATTATTGTAGCTGCTTTTCGAGGTAGAACTCAACATATGTCTTTTAAAATGAAAAGATCCTTTTGAAAAGACAATCATTTTATGTAGTTAACAGGAAAGGAAGCATTTTGAGCATTTGATTTCATCAACCAAATTTTTGTCACATAATTATAGGTTTATATATAGTTTTAATTCTGTAATAATTAAAATGTTTTAAATCTGTATCTTTTTATTACTGTTGAGTATTTTACTTTACAATCTTTAATTTTTGTTAAATTAACAAAAGGTATATCACACAGCCACCCTAGATTTTTTCAAATAATAAAGATCTACTGATGCAAAATCATAAAATTAAAATATCTAGGAAAATCTTTGTCTGAGGGGTAGGCAACCTTAATAATATTTTGCAGATATATAAATTCCCCATTGAACACCGGAAAAATATACTGAGTGTTCCATTTAAAATAAAGGAGTAACTTGCTTTTAAAAGTGGCTAAAGTTTCATATTAATTTTGTCTCACCCTGTATAACTTTTCGGGTCAAATTTCAATTTAGTTTAACATACAATATCTACTGTAATTAAATATCAGGCTATACAAGGTCAACTAAAATTTAGGTAGCTGTTATCGAAATTTGAAATTTACTCTTCATTTTCACAAAAAGTGAAATATCTCAAAATCCTTAGACTTTATTTTTTTCCTAGAATCCGAAAATCAGTTAATATATAGGGTGTTCCATTAGAAAAAACACAACTTTGATGTGTAACTTTTTTTGGGGACACCCTGTATAATTCCATATATTTTTATAAAATGCTTTCAGTTAACCTACAAATGCTGCCAAAATTTCATTTCGATATAAATTACCATTCTTCTTGGAGGTTCCGCGGCGTATGAGAGGCGTCACCCTGTACAGAGTGGTACAAACTGTATTCCTTCCTTTTACTGAAGAAACAAGAAGGTTTAACTATAGGAACAAGATATATCCACAGACAACTCTATTTAAATTAGTTTGTGATATATCATTGAAAAGCAATTTTATTAGACTATTCATTTTTTAAATAGGCTTGAGTTTAAAATAACAATAATTTGAACGATTTTATAACAAGAGGAAGTAATTATTTTTCTGACCCTCCTGTCTGATATTCAATCAGTTGATTTGGACAGATCGAATATGTCGACTTTCCTTAACCAATAAACCAAATTTCAGCTTTAGCCGAAAATATGATTTAACCAATGATTATTAACAATCGTGTTTTTGTTAATTTTGTTGTGATGTTACACGTTTTATTTTTATCTCAAAAACTATTAGAGATTGGCATAGGTTAGTTAGGGTTGCCAGACGTCCGGCTAAAGCCGGACATGTCCTCCTTTTTTGGCAATTTGTTAATGTCCGGCCGGCTTTTCTTTATGTCCGGCTTTTTTCCATTTTACGAAAAATTGTTAATTAATTTCGATTTTTATAATACTAAAAAGTGCAAAGTGCAACCGGCGAACCGGCAACCGGTCAACCATAAAAATCAAACCAAGACCGGTTCATTAGTGTATAAGATAAAAAGAAAATAATTTTATTGAAATTTTAGCTTTGTTTGGGTTCTTGTTATTACCGATTCTGAACCGTCCTAGAACTCTGCAGCGCATGCGCAAATGAAATAATGTCTTCATATTTCGTTCTGCGCCTATGCATCACAGTTCTAGGACGGTTCAGAATCGGTAATAACAAGAACAAACTAAGCTTTTAAAGCTTGTGTAAATGCTTAATAAGTAAAGAAATGTCCGGCTTTTTTTTTTATCAAAAATCAGGCTTTTTGTACAATTGTCCTACTTTTATACACTGTCCATCTGGCAACCCTAGGTTAGTACAATAGAAAAATAACGATATGAAAGTAGTTTCAAAAATGTAAGAATACACCGGGTATTCCATTTAAAATAACAAAGATACTACCATATTTAGGATAAAGCGGCAACACTGTAATACTGAAAATAATTTAGACAGATGGAACAGCACTAATTTAAAAGTTATCATACAGGGTGAGTCTTAAACAAGTGCAAATATTTTCAGGGCTGGTAGATCTCGATAAAAAGAAACTTATTTTCTCTTTACCATTTTTCAGATAAGTCCAAAATAACCAAGTTATTTAAGTTTGAAAATTTAAAAACTTTTTTGAAAAAAATTTTGAGAGCCAACGGATTTTTTCTGTATTTGCATCCCTTTTAGTGCTGTAACCATAGATTTAGGAAGAACAGATATCACATTATGCATTTTAACCCGATCAAACATTCGGAGGTTGACGACGTACTGTAAAAACCAACTGAGATAGAGAAGGCGACATTGCCACATATCAAATTTGTGCCTATCTACTTAGTTTGATTTGCAGAAAAGGTGATTTTAAAACATTCACCGGATATCAATAAATCTCAATTTCTTAATTAAATTAATAGTTTATTTTTAAAAAAGCATGCGTAATAATATGTTATTAACCAGAGAATATATGCGTTACTATTAAAGGATATGTTTACTGTTTAATGTGCTGAAACGTCTAGAACTATTGGCAACGTCGCTGCTAGTCTTCCAGAATGAAATGAGCCGTCCGTCCCACCACCTCTCGCGACGTCCCATGGTCGTCACGTTATAGAGTACTACGTTTAGCTTACGGTGTGTTTGAAGTCGGAATCAAGTGAATTTTTCAGTGTTTTTCAGTAGGTTTTGTTTTTGTTTAACGTACTTTTGAATCTGCGAATGTTCAATATGGTACGACAGTGTCAAGTGTGTGGAAAAATAAGCTCAAATTACCCGAATTTGTCTTTTCACAGGTAGGTATTGTTTTGACGTTTTATATTTCCGGCGTAATTGTACATAGGCGTCCCATAAGGGAGCCTCTCACAATTAAAATAAGTTCTAATTATATTTGTTGAATTTTGATCTATTAAAACAAGAACGTAGTAGCCGGTAATTGAATTATAATTCGTCTCAATTACTACCTAACTGTTGTAGATCATAACAAATTTGAATATAAACGTTGCATTTGAAACTTTATTATAAGCCAAAAAGTGAGATTTTTTTTCTTAAATTGCGTCATATTTTGGTCATTATATACGATATTCTAAAGGAATTTTGCTCAACAAATAAACAAAGGTGTTTACCCGACCTTTTTACATTTTATTGCTTTATTATATCTGCCCCTTCGGCTTTGTTTAGATAATTTTTACCACCTTTAGACAATTTTTACACAAATACATCTTCCTAGAGTTATTTGTACGGTGTGTTTAACTTTTTTTTGGAATGGGACGAACTGTAAATAATTCTTAGGCTACTAGTTTTATACATACCTATATACAGAGTGACCCAGGCCTCGAAAAAAGCTTTTTACTTATTACGTTTTTGGTTTGATTTTTATTTCAATTTTTTACATAAGATGAGAGCCATTGTAACGCACATTTTCAAAATATTTTTGTCAACATACAGGGTGATTCAAACCGCAATACATATACTTAATACAGTTCATGAAGATTGAGACATTTAACTAAAATTTGATTATCTGAAATCCTTGAAAGTGAAATGAATCCTTTGAAAGTAATGGATTTGTAAATAAACATAATAGGTATTCATTTTCATGCGACAGAAATCCCATACTGTAGCACACAGATTTTATACTTTTAATGATAAATGCCTTCTATTGAGAGACTAAAAGGCAATTGCCTCGTATCAGAGCCATCATAATACAAGAAGAAGACCGAAAGTCAAATCTTGTCTTTGAAAAAAAAAACACAATTTTCTCATTAAATATTGATTTTAGGTATAGGAAGTTATTAATAATACAAGATTAAACAACTATAACACAGTACTTCACAGGAAGCTATCGATTGCGAACTAACTAAATCGTTACTAATTACTAATTTGAAAAGTTCTTTTAAGATAAAAAAAAAAGGTAAAACTAAAACCTAAACTATCATTTGAGATTAAACGGGAAGTTCTAAATAATGTTGCCTATTCTAAATAAAAAAAAAAATTATTTATAAGTTTTAGTTAATTTTAGTAAATTCCTAATTAAATTTGGTCGAAAAGAATATTTCTGTTTGCTGTAGGTAATTTTCTCAGGGAAAATACGTAAATCAAAATGACTTTTTAAGTAAAAAAAGTCAAAAGGACAAGTTATTCCTAAAAAGAACTGTCCTTTTCAAAAAAGGACAAGTGGCAACCCTAGGTATTTCTGGAATGGAAATTTAATGGCAAATCTACAACTTTAGTTTGAAAATATGTTCCGTCCACCTATGTTTACAAAAATGTCTAAAATATGCTTTACCATTGCCTCCATATTCTGAAAAAAAAATTGAAAGAAAAGTCACCAACCCCAAACTTAATATAGAACTGTTTCGGAAGCCTGAGTCACCCTGTAAATATTCAAAAGTAAGCGATTTTCGAAAACTACTAACGTTTCAACATAAGTATATGTGGGATATTAATTATATTATTATATTAGACCTTATAACAAAACTCATCTGACAAAAAAGTGTTAATGTAGTATATTAATATGGAGTAAAAATTTTACTAATTACTTTACTAATTAAATTCGTTCCAAAAAACGATACGCCACTGGCCATTAGAACAATCCAAATGCGCCTAGTTGCCGGGGTCGGAAATTTTAGACTTCTCTGTCTCTTCTGTCCTTGTTTGACACATTGGAATGTTTGATACACTACCAACGAGTATTTATGAATGAGATGTTCGGTCTATCTTTATAATGTCTTTGGCTGTAACCATAGAGTAAAGCCGTAACTATGGTAATATAGATTAAGAAATTAGACCGTGGGAAAATATGCGGTGAAGAGGCAGTTCTAAAAAGTTTTCGAAAAATATACAGGGAAATATAAATGAAAATGCACGATTTTCAAGATTTTTTTTGCGAAAAAAAACCTCACAGACGTGTTCCTGGGGTCGAAATATACCACACCTGAAGATATTTGCACTTATTTAAGACTCCCCTATAGTGTCCGCAAAAAGTCTGCCTCAACTGGGAGATTTTCTTTATTAATAACTGATTATTATGGACTTAATACATTCCCCAACAGTGCCACCACCACAGAATTCCGTAAAACACCAATTTATACAAATACAGGTGATTAAATAGCGATTACACAAAAAATTTATTATATTTGAAAAGTATTAGACATAAAACTGTTGCATAGCTGTGCTATTGTAGAAAATTACCTCATTTAATGGTGCAGTACATATAAAATTAATGGCCTCCATTAATTCAATATGATGGAAAATGTGAGAAATTTGGGGTAATTTTCTTTGCAAGCTTTTTGTTGCTTCGATTTCTGAAGTATCTAAAATTTTTCAATACAATGTTAATAAAAAATTTATAACTAATTAATTAGTATTCACCTCTTTGTTGTTTAATATGCCGGTGTATCATCTTGAGACTTTGTAATATATCCTGAGATCCTTTTAGGCATGTAAACACATTCAATTGATTATTCTGTTGAAATATACATACAGCCGCTGCAGTTCTTCCAGAAATAAGATTCTTTATCATGGATAAAGATTCGTAATTATCTAGGGCTCTCAGCAAACCTCTGTTATATGAAATATTACTAATATCCCAACCAATAAAATGAAAATTATTGTTAATAATATCAGCAACATCATTATTATTTGTTAACAGTTGGATAAAATTTGATGAAAATTCATCTGTTGCATTATGAAGATAAAGAAGTAATCCGTTTATCTGTAAATACGGACCAGATTATAGAAAAGAAATACATTTTTTACATTTAAACTTACTCCGTTACAACAAGGTTTCAATGAAATAAGAGACACTGCATGTTCAAGCACTGTTTCCTGTAATATCACGAGTATGTTAGAAGGTAATTGATACTTTAAAAGTTTTACAGCTTCAGTTTGGGCACCTTCAAAATAAATAAGTTAAATACGAACCTAATAATATAAAACGAAATAAAATTATACCTAATACATCATCTTCAACAAGCAAAGAAACAAATTCATCACAACTTTGTAAAATTTGTTTATCATTCTCAGGTATATATTGTCCACTTATTTTCTGAAGTTTTACTGGGATATTAAATTTATCTTGAATTTCATGTTTTAAATCACCTATAAAAAATAAATTACATATTTTATATAGGATAATTCAAATACTAAATTTTCCATTTACTTACCAAGAGTATCATACTCTGATAGTGAAAGAAGAGCTGTTGAATCTTGATAAGTAATAAAAAACTGATGATATTTTTCACACATTATGTATGTACTCGGTTATTATATAATTCCAACTCTCTTTAAGACAGACTTAAAACTACTTTAAATTTTAAACAGACTAAAATAAAATTAAATTCCGAGCTATGGCTGCTATGGGATTCCCACAACTGCAGATTAGAACTTTCTATTGATCCTATTGAAATCCCTCCCCAAGTAAAATAACATTAATTGAATTGTATAAAAACTGGATAGATTCATGAATAAAAAAATGTAAATATACAAACCAATAGTGAAATTATAGATAAATTAAAACAAATTAAATCACATACAAAAATAACCAGTGTCAGCCAGTGTAGTATTCCACCGATTTCAGCCGATTTTGCGTTATGAGCACAGATTTACTGATTATGACAGTATTTTTATGGTATTATTCTATGGATTCTCTCAGGGATGGGCGGGTACAGAGATATGAAAATGGAAGGCATGGAAGAGGATAAACATTGGAAAGAAAAATTAGTTTTTTACCTGTAAAATATTTATTTTAAATAAGATAAATTTTTTACGTTTTTTTGAAAACGTGAAAAATCCTCAAAACTGTGTGGCAAGCTGTGTGGTCAAAACTGTACGTCTATAGATTAGTAAAGCATTTAAATTTATTTCAGTATGTTAAGTCATTTCTTGGTAATTTTATTAATAATATAATTTTTAAAAAAGAATATGTGGTAATTTTTGGAAGGATCATTCTTTTTTAAATAAGCGTTTTGGGTAAAGGTGTGGATCCGGTGGCTGACCTTGAAGCCCATATTTGCTGCATTTGATCATCGATTCTACGCAAGCGCACATCGTCAATGTTGCCAAATTGCAGTTTATTTTCGAATTATTTGCAGTTGAAAACAAATGTTTTTTGTGTTAATCAGTAATAATACAAATTCTATAATTCATTTTATAATTTCAGATTTATCTTAATATCAAAAATTAAGGTAAGGAGGATAACGTCGAAGATTGTGAAGTTAAGATATTTTTACATTAGAATTAAAAATTATCATTTACGGATATTTTTCTTATTTAGGTTTTATACCTATTAAGGGGCGTCCAGACCGGATGAGCGAGCAAGAATTCGGGTATGTTCTATGGGAACTTAGATTAAGAATAAAAATAGATAGAGCAAGTCATTCGTAAATTCACAAAATCGAGGTGCCTACATCGTTTTATCGGTGAGTGCCCCCACTACCATAGTTTATGGACAGCGGGGTAAAGAGGAAAGTGGTAGGGGAGTTTACAGCGGAAGAGCATCAAACAAAGACATTATAAAGATAGACCGAACATCTCATTCATAAATACTCATTGGTAGTGTATCAAACATTCCAATGTGTCAAACAAGGACAGAAGAGACAGAGAAGTCTACAATTTCCGACCCCGGCAACTAGGCGCATTTGGGATTGTTCTAATGGCCAGTGGCGTATCGTTTTTTTGGAACATAATAGTATATGCTATAAAATATTTAACAAACACTATAAAAAATTTGTTTATTAAATATTCAATAATTAAAAGTTAGATATAATTAAAAGATATTATACGTATTGTATATCGTATAGTGATTGATAATTGATAAACTAAAATGTTAATGGATCTATTATATAAGATGTCTTGTTATTTAGATAGTATTAATTACAAAAGAAAAATAGATGCATGTGAATAACTATTTTTTATATTAAATATCAGTAGATATTATTTACAATAATAATATAATTAATATAATGTATAATTAAAAAGCACAAAATTCATCTTTTCCTACCTATACCATAAATATATTCGGTAATTTTAAGTGGAAATATTAGCACAAAAACTAAAAAAAAACAATGTTCTGTAGTTTTCAAATTCATATTAGTAAGAGAGTAATATTTTGACCAAACGAATTCTCAGTGTAAGGATATTTACATACCATATAATTTTACATTAATTAGGTATTAATCATAACACGATATTAATAAAAAACACAAGTGTTGTATTTTAATAATATATTTAGGGACTGAGTAAAAAATATAATATATGTATAATATTCTTACATTTACAGGTTCATATTAAATAAAATATTGTAACCTGAAAAAATATATATTTTGTTAAATGCCACTGTAAGGATCCAAGCAGAAACTAATTTCTCATTGGCTTTTTACTTGTTGACATATGTATTTGCATAACAGATAACATAGTTATAGCAAATAGTCTAAAAAAAACGGCGTCAAAGGCGGCTGAGGAATGACGATTGATAATTTAGCGAGGTCAATCTTAAACTACACCATTTAAAAATCATATTTACTTAATGTAAAAATAAATTACAACCTTAGAGCGCCTTTAAAAAATAGTACGAGCCAAGAAAATGACTTCTAGGGCTTGACCTCACTGAAATTATCATATTTTCATTCCCCAGTCGCCTTTGAAGCCGTTTTTTTCTCGATCGTATGGTTTCCTAACTTATTCAATCAATCAATCATTTATTTATTTCCATAAAACAATGTACAATTGTATAGGAATAGTCAATAAATTCTTAAAGCTAACACAAATATATAATACAAAATATAAAAAAACAAACACAACAGATCATAATAAAATTATCATATACGTAGGCCTCATATTATAATTTGCAGGTATTCCTCCACACTATAAAAGTTCATTCCGAACAAATCATTTTTTAAGTAAAAGTCTAGAATATGCGATTCTAATCACTATCATAATTTGTCTCTCAACAAAAGTAATTCTGTAGCTCTGCCTAGGGTTCACATCTCTCACTATTTTGCATAGTAGCATTACGTCAATTTTAAACATGATGTAAAGGACCAATTTCATATGCACTATGTAATTAAAGTAACGACTTCCACACCATGAATATCTTCACTTCCTAAAACAAAATATAAACATGAAGTTGGTGAATATAAATATCTACATTGAGTATACATTGTGAGCAAAATAAAATTGACGATCAATGACATTCACCACATAAATTTACATTTTATAAAATTACATAAATCTTGCTTTCAAAGCCAACCCTAACGCTGTTTTTTTTTTTTTTTTTCGATGGTGAGATCTTATACAACTATAGTGTAATTTTAGTAAAATAATATTAATATAATATATATTATATATATATACAAATCTATATACATATAGGGTAACACCTCTCATAGGACCAGGCTCCAAGGAAAATGAAAGTGAATTTGTATGACTTGATTGATTTCTAAACCCTCCATTTGTTCTTTCAATACAAACTTCCATCAACAAAAATCCTTGAAACCTTCATATCGTATGAAAGGCACCACCCTGTACACTTTGAATCTGTGTATACATATTAGTATATAGTAATATTTTATATTAAAAAAATTAAACTGTAAATATATATGTACTTACATATTGTGACGGAATAGGTATCCTAACAAGATCATAGTTCTTATCTCGTTATATGCAGGATCCTGATATCTTAATGTTAATTTCCTAGGTGATGTTGAAACAACTGAAAGACCACAAATCGCGACATAAATGGCTGTGAAAATCATCAGATTTTAAATATTTTCTTCAATTCCTTATAAAAAAAATCAGCTGTTCTTGAGTTCTCTTTTGCTTGACTTTTTAATATTATGCTATGAATAAATCCTAACAGAGAAAACCATTTAATTTTTCTCTCACTATCTTTTAGAAATCTGAAATAAAATATTTATCTAGTAATAGAAAACGTAAATAGGCATTATTTTACAAATGTAAACATACCAATTATAATTTATGTAAACATACAAATTATTTGTATTCATAATTAAATACAAATATACGATTTTAAATCGGACAATATTGTAACAAAAATATAAACATTACTTCTTATAATATACATAATATATTATATTCACAAAATTATATTATAAAACAAATAAACAAATTTTAACAAATATGGTAAATATTTTAGGTAAATAAAACGAGATGTTGTATTACCACAGAACAGTACTTACTTTTGAAATGACGATGTTTAAATTCTTTTTATTCTCACACATTTTGCCAGTGTAGACCCATTTTAAATGCTAATTTTGGTCTTTTATATAAAATGAAACAATTATACATTAATAGTTTATTAAGATTGACACTGTTGACCGCGTCCAATTCCCCTACTATAGAAAATACTATAACAACAGAGCGGCGTTGTCAGATTAAAAATTAATCCTAACAGCTGATGAAAAATGACGAAATTTACAAATATTTCAAGTTTATTTTTCTTGTAATCTTGACTGAATCTTAATAAGTACTAAATAAAATTATAAATGTCGAAATTTTGAAAAGTAGTAAGCTAATTATATTATTATTTTCTTAAGATTTCCCCAAAGTATACGTATACAAAATTAAAAATAAACAAAAGCGGAGAAATACTGGGCAACATACCAAACAATAACAATAGGATGTTGGCATTCGCATAAAATGTAAACAGTTCCCCTGTATGGGAACGCTTAAGTGGTGTGGACTTATATGGTGTGGACGGCTCTGCGAGCGAGCGAATGATTGCTTGCTCGCGCTCGACGCTGTTCCACGCCGTGTCGGTACATCAAAGAAAATTCGCGCTATTGCACGTTCGGTTTAGACGGGATTTTGTTTACCACGTTTGCGATCTAATATCAAAAATGGAATGGCCAAATGAAGTTGTTTTAGAACTAATAGAGGAGTACAAAAATCGCCAAGACCCGTAAGGTTATAGCTAGCCTTTCCCTAGGTGAAATTGCTTTTCGGTAATTGGTATCACTTTTCATTATTTTTATGTCAATTAAATCTAATAAGGTATTAAAATCTGTAAGTGACATCCGACAAAAGTTCTTAAATTTTCCAGAATCTTCTGTTTCAACATCGTTTAGTAAATTGTTACCACCATGAGAAACTCGATTTTTAAAAAGAGTTATGTTCCACCATCTCCTCTGCAGTCGTTTTCTCTTTTGACGTTTCAACAATTTATAAAATACAATGAAAGGCGCACAAGCAGTGATTTTTTCCGACATTATGAACATGAAGTGCCACACTCCGATCAACGCCGAACATACAAATAATCGCTAGGTCTGGACGGAAGCTGATTATCTGCTCGAGAGCGGGAGAGATCCTTCAGAGATCACGAGCGAATTTGAATAAATGTTTGCTCGCCCTCGTTACTGCTCGTTCATCTGGTCTGGACGTCCCTTTAGAATTATTTTGTATAATCAATATGACACATTAATTTGATACAAGATTTTTTTCTAGTTATTTACAGGCAACAATAGTTTTGATTATATCAATTATTATATGTATATTGAAGTACCGTGTGATCGAAAAAAAACGGCGTGCAGTTGGCAAATGACTATCGATGACATTCCCCATTATAATTTTACATATAAAATGACAGCGATTTTCATTTCATAGTGTTCTGCACTGACACCGTTTTTTTTTCGATTATACGGTACTATACCGCATGATGAGTCTTACAGCACAATACAAGTCAGTGAGATAGAGGTAACATTTTACCTAGTTTGATTATAGTATTTGTATCATAATTTCTTAAAAATATCAAGTTAGTGGATTAATAGCAATTGTATACATATATCGATGAATGATCTTTTTCTCTATAGAAGGGATATGGTTTGTGTCCTAGAATACATTACAGTATTTAATATCCTGTACTTTGATATTCTTTTCTTATTTTACTGTAATTTCTTTTCTGTAATACAAAAATCTTGATAATAGGTGAAGGTTCATTTTTGATCTTATTAGATTTATACACAGACCAAAAATAACCACTAAGACCATTAAGACTTAGTTAAGTCTTAACCATTAAGACTTAGTTAAGTTAATTTATGATTTATAATAAGATTTTATATCCTTCTTATAATTGTTTTTATGTCAATATGCTTTATGGTGTGGAGAATATCTTAATACTTGCATTAGATATCTTAATACTTGCATATCCTTCAGGAAAAATATTGTTTATAAATCATATATGCTCAGAAAATCACATAAATTAGGTGTAAGGATAGAAAAATCTTAAGGTAGCGGAAAAATGAATGCAATATATGTATAAGCAGAATTAAACAAGGTACCAATTAATATCGCTGATACTACAGTTATAATTACGGATGCTAAAAGGCTTTTTAAAGGCCCACGTAGTTTTAATGAAATGTTATAAAACCTATTATGAATATGATATGGAGCTACAGCATTTAAAAATTAAAAAAAGAAGAAATTTGGGCACACCCCTTTTATTATTCCTAATTTTTAATAAAGCACTTTTTAAGCGTAACATAATCTAGAGCAATTAGATTAATTATAGCAATTTAGAGCTTTATTTCTATTTAATTTTATTGACTATGATATAATACATAATAAGCGTTCACGTATGTATATATATTGCCGTCACTGAAATAAAAATGAAATGTATATATATTGCCGTCACCCGTCACTGAAATAAACCTTATTTATTTTCTACTGAAAATAATTCCAAAAGAACTTGCAATCTGGCAACATCGACGATGTGCGCATGCGTAGTATCTGTGACTATATGCAGCAAAAACTCGTTTCAAGGTCAGCCTTGGATCCGGTCCACAGTTTTACCCAGTTTTGGTATACCCAATATGAAAATGTGTAACGTAAAAAACTCTCATCCCAACCATGAAAAAGCATGAAGCCCAAATTAAGCCAAATCACAGATTCCACAGATTTAGACTTGTCAACGTATATAAGGACTTTATATATGATTCAGGATGACATATGGATGACATGACATAAGCTGTTCTGTGGACATAAGTTAATATTTGAGGGTGCAGCCACACTATCCTAAAAACGGCGTATCGGCGTAATGACCTTGAATAGATTTCCAGTAATTCTATTGGCTGAAACATTCATCTGTCAGAAATTTTATCTGTCAAATTCATCTGTCAAAAATTTCAGCCAATAGAATTACTGGAAATCGATTCAAGGTCGTTACGCCGTTACGCCGATACGCCGTTTTTAGGATAGTGTGGCTGCACCCTGAGACAAAATCTGATTGGTCCCTAGATCATATCCACAGGGGAACTGTTTACATTTTATGCGAATGCCAACATCCTATTGTTATTGTTTGGTATGTTGCCCAGTATTTCTCCGCTTTTGTTTATTTTTAATTTTGTATACGTATACTTTGGGGAAATCTTAAGAAAATAATAATATAATTAGCTTACTACTTTTCAAAATTTCGACATTTATAATTTTATTTAGTACTTATTAAGATTCAGTCAAGATTACAAGAAAAATAAACTTGAAATATTTGTAAATTTCGTCATTTTTCATCAGCCGTTAGGATTAATTTTTAATCTGACAACGCCGCTCTGTTGTTATAGTATTTTCTATAGTAGGGGAATTGGACGCGGTCAACAGTGTCAATACTGTCGATAAACAGCTGATTGGCATGATCAGCTGTTTGCCGTGCTTTTATTTTTCCATATTTCTTAACTATTAATAAACTATTAATGTATAATTGTTTCATTTTATATAAAAGACCAAAATTAGCATTTAAAATGGGTCTACACTGGCAAAATGTGTGAGAATAAAAGAATTTAAACATCGTCATTTCAAAAGTAAGTACTGTTCTGTGGTAATACAACATCTCGTTTTATTTACCTAAAATATTTACCATATTTGTTAAAATTTGTTTATTTGTTTTATAATATAATTTTGTGAATATAATATATTATGTATATTATAAGAAGTAATGTTTATATTTTTGTTACAATATTGTCCGATTTAAAATCGTATATTTGTATTTAATTATGAATACAAATAATTTGTATGTTTACATAAATTATAATTGGTATGTTTACATTTGTAAAATAATGCCTATTTACGTTTTCTATTACTAAGATAAATATTTTATTTCAGATTTCTAAAAGATAGTGAGAGAAAAATTAAATGGTTTTCTCTGTTAGGATTTATTCATAGCATAATATTAAAAAGTCGAGCAAAAGAGAACTCAAGAACAGCTGATTTTTTTATAAGGAATTGAAGAAAATATTTAAAATCTGATGATTTTCACAGCCATTTATGTCGCGATTTGTGGTCTTTCAGTTGTTTCAACATCACCTAGGAAATTAACATTAAGATATCAGGATCCTGCATATAACGAGATAAGAACTATGATCTTGTTAGGATACCTATTCCGTCACAATATGTAAGTACATATATATTTACAGTTTAATTTTTTAATATAAAATATTACTATATACTAATATGTATACACAGATTCAAAGTGTACAGGGTGGTGCCTTTCATACGATATGAAGGTTTCAAGGATTTTTGTTGATGGAAGTTTGTATTGAAAGAACAAATGGAGGGTTTAGAAATCAATCAAGTCATACAAATTCACTTTCATTTTCCTTGGAGCCTTTGCGTCCTATGAGAGGTGTTACCCTATACCTATATTAATATTATTTTACTAAAATTACACTATAGTTGTATAAGATCTCACCATCGAAAAAAAAACAGCGTTAGGGTTGGCTTTGAAAGCAAGATTTATGTAATTTTATAAAATGTAAATTTATGTGGTGAATGTCATTGATCGTCAATTTTATTTTGCTCACAATGTATACTCAATGTAGATATTTATATTCACCAACTTCATGTTTATATTTTGTTTTAGGAAGTGAAGATATTCATGGTGTGGAAGTCGTTACTTTAATTACATAGTGCATATGAAATTGGTCCTTTACATCATGTTTAAAATTGACGTAATGCTACTATGCAAAATATTGAGAGATGTGAATCCTAGGCAGAGCTACAGAATTACTTTTGTTGAGAGACAAATTATGATAGTGATTAGAATCGCATATTCTAGACTTTTACTTAAAAAATGATTTGTTCGGAATGAACTTTTATAGTGTGGAGGAATACCTGCAAATTATAATATGAGGCTTACGTATATGATAATTTTATTATGATCTGTTGTGTTTGTTTTTTTATATTTTGTATTATATATTTGTGTTAGCTTTAAGAATTTATTGACTATTCCTATACAATTGTACATTGTTTTATGGAAATAAATAAATGATTGATTGATTGAATATATTTGCTATAACTATGTTATCTGTTATGCAAATACATATGTCAACAAGTAAAAAGCCAATGAGAAATTAGTTTCTGCTTGGATCCTTACAGTGGCATTTAACAAAATATATATTTTTTCAGGTTACAATATTTTATTTAATATGAACCTGTAAATGTAAGAATATTATACATATATTATATTTTTTACTCAGTCCCTAAATATATTATTAAAATACAACACTTGTGTTTTTTATTAATATTGTGTTATGATTAATACCTAATTAATGTAAAATTATATGGTATGTAAATATCCTTACACTGAGAATTCGTTTGGTCAAAATATTACTCTCTTACTAATATGAATTTGAAAACTACAGAACATTGTTTTTTTTTTAGTTTTTGTGCTAATATTTTCACTTAAAATTACCGAATATATTTATGGTATAGGTAGGAAAAGATGAATTTTGTGCTTTTTAATTATACATTATATTAATTATATTATTATTGTAAATAATATCTACTGATATTTAATATAAAAAATAGTTATTCACATGCATCTATTTTTCTTTTGTAATTAATACTATCTAAATAACAAGACATCTTATATAATAGATGTATAATATCTTTTAATTATATCTAACTTTTAATTATTGAATATTTAATAAACAAATTTTTTATAGTGTTTGTTAAATATTTTATAGCATATACTATTATGTATTTATAATAATTTATTAGTTTTATTGCATGAACATATTTTTAAAATTTATTATTAAAAAATATTTTATCTTTGCCTCTAACAAGCCTCTAACCACCTACTTCTATATCTCTGGCTTTTACTTTACTATCATCAAATCTGAAGTTGTCTCTGAAACTGAAATCTGTCAATTCTAAACTGTGAAGTTAGACAATAGTTAGACAAAAACAATGCTGTCCTTGTCTAGGCGGCCATACTTGTCGTGAGGAGAATGACAGGAATGACACTAATGACTGTTTCCAATTTTCCTATTTCACTGTCACCCCCCTGGTAGGCACCTCGATTTTGTGAATTTATGAATGACTTGCTCTATCTATTTTTATTCTTAATCTAAGATCATATCTATATTTAAAGGGATTGGTCGTAAATATTATGAAATATATGGAAATATCAAATAATTATTAAGAAACTTTTGAAAACAGTGAAAGTGAAAACGGGCTAACATTTTTTTATTTCCAAAGGGGCGAGGTTGGGGAGAGGTTTAAAACAAAATTTTTTTATTATATGTCATCTGATAATAAAAAACTGCAGTATATTTGTTAAACGACGGTAAAACGTATTATCACCTAAATATACAGTAGTTATAAATCATTATAAATCTTTATAATGTTGTTACGATGTAGTAAGTCATCTCGAAAAACAGTATCTTTATTTTGTAGATATATTTCAAGTTCGAGCAGTACCGAAAAGCACAGGTAAGTACCTACATAGTAATTGATTTTAGAACAAATATATTATTATGTTTGTAGTGTAGTTGTAAAGTATTAGTGGTTGGTGGAGGTACAGGTGGATGCGCTCTTACGGCAAAATTTTCAAGAACATTAAAAAAGTCTGATCTTATAATAATAGAGCCAAGCAGCGAGCATTATTATCAACCTCTTTTTACTCTTGTTGGAGCTGGTATAGACAAAATAGAAGATACAAAGAAAAATGAAAAAGACATACTACCTGAAAACTGTACTTGGATCAAACAGAAAGCTGCACATTTTGATTTAAATAAAAATATTGTAACAACAGCAAACGGATCTCAAATCGAATATGATTATTTAGTTGTATCTACTGGAATTATACCTAGATATGAGATGGTATAGTAACTTTTCTTATAAACGGTCTACTCTTAACAGTAATTCAAATTGCAATTAATTAGTCTTTTAGATAGTTTTGAATTTAAAACTCAGAAGATTCCTTCTTTCTTTTCTTATATTTTTTAGCAATATCTATAAATTATTATTTCAATTTTTACTAGATACCAGGGTTGGTAGAATCTCTGCAAAATCCCAAAATTGGTGTTTGTTCAATATATTCACTCAAATATGTGCAAAATGTATTTCCAACAATGCAAACTTTAAAATCTGGTAATGCTATATTTACTTTCCCTGCGTCTCCTGTGAAATGTCCAGGTGCACCACAGAAAATTTGTTATCTCACAGATGATTATCTTAGGAAGGTAAGAGCATGTATAAGTAAAATAGAAAATACATAAGTAATTATATATTAATTATCAATAAATTACCTATTGTATTTATTAATTTTTAAAAGGCTGAAAATTTATAGGAGGGTAAAAGAGATAATGTTAACATAATTTATAATACCTCTTTGCCAGTAATATTTGGCGTGAAGAAATATGCTGATGCTTTATGGAAAATATGTAAAGAAAGGAACATAACTGTGAACACTAGGAAAAATTTAATATCTATTAATCCGCAGAATAGTGAAGCGACATTTCAGAATTTGGATCAGCCTGAAGAGAAAACAACAATTTCGGTAAGATATTCTGTAAACTTTGAAAATGAATTAATTCTTAAATCAGCAAAAAGTATTGTTGATATTTTTTCTGACCTCTATTTGTTATTGACGATTGACGTATCTAAAGAGATGGATTTTAAAATAAATTAATAGCCGCTTTATGTCGAATTTCACTTAAATTCAGTGAAAAAACAATCTAGAATTTATCTGCAACTGCAACACGGTATGTTTATAGAAATAATTCCTAGAAGTCAAGTTTGAAGATATTGTAATATTATGTTGAATATCAATTGAAAGGTAATTCCTATAATAACGGGTAAGGGTTTTTACCTTATCTTCAAGATCCTTCATTTATCGTATTGTTTCCTAAATTTCAAAATTGTATTTCTGTGAAAAAGAGACAGCATTTTGGTCAATACTTCAATTGCTACTTAAGGCAAAAAGAAATATACGGGGTGTTTCAAAAAACATGTACCATCTCTCGTGGGTAGATTCCTCATGTAAAAATAAGATTTATTTTTCATATCAACATAGGTCCGATTCTGCTTTGTTTCGTAGCTACAGGGTGTTAAAGTCTTAATAATCTTTCAATTTATTATAATTTTCTTCTAAGTACTTTAGTGATACGAATGAAATTTTGACGGTAAAAGTTACTATAAGTGCTACATATTCTAATGCTAAAAAAGTGTCGATAAATTCATCAGGGACGTGCGTATGGGTTATCACTGGAATATTTTTAAAAAAAAAACATGTGCGCCACTGACTTTCTTTCTTTTGATATCGAAATTGTGTAGGCCGTTTATTACCAATTAAAAATTATCTCTTGATATTTTGTCGAATTTGGCCTCCTTGATGAGATAAACGCAATTTTATTAATTTGCCTTGATCGAGGTCTAATAGCCACCTTTAAAAATTTTTAATATCATTAACCTGTGAAAGTTCCAGTGGCGTACATGCTTGTTTTAGAAAAATAATCTAGTGATAACTAGGGTTCGGAAAACTACATGTTACTTTTAAAAACTACATAAACTACATTACATGTAGTTAATGTAGTTTATGTAGAGGGTGTAGTTTATGTAACCTATGTATGTAACTTTCAAATATCAAAGGTTTGAGGTGAGATTATAATAAGTTGAAGCTTTAGAAAACACAATGTATTTAAGAAAACAGAAGAAATATGGCTTTAAATATAATATTCACACATCATATTATTTAGACCCCTCATACAAAGCAAAATTATTCATAATATCAATACATAGTTTATTAACGTAGTTTTCATGTAGTTAATGAACGGGAAAAGACGTAGTTTTTGAAGAAAAACTACACGTAGTTAATCAGATAAATTACGTCTTAATTAACTACTTCCGAACCCTGGAACCCATATGCACGTCCCTGGTGAATATGTCGACACTTTTGGTGGGTTCATACAGCCAAATAAAATAAAATAAGAATAAAATAAAATAAGAAATAAGGAATTCTTATTTGTGTGCGTTCATACAGTCAAATAAAATAAATAAGAAATATATATTTGCTCATGCGCAGTACGATGAGGCTGGATAAAAGTTAACTTTTACGATTGTTTATAGTAATTTTACTATTTATAGTATATTTATTTATTCGTTGCCTACTATATTATACATTTTACTTATGTGAAATTATAAAATAAATTAAATCCAAACTGAAAATATTTGTAGGTTAGAATTAAGCGTGCGCAAAGCCGTTTTCACATAAAATAAAACAAGAAGTTAAGAGATAAAGACTTCTTATTTTATTTGTTATTTTATTTGGCTGTATGAACGCATGTACGGTATCCCATATAACCAAGTTTCTTATTTTATTTTATTTTATTCTTATTTTATTTTATTTGGCTGTATGAACCCACCATTTAACCACGGCACGCCAACTCTGCTCAGATTCCTTTGTTTAAAATTTCTATAAAATTTGACCTTGACGGAGCCATTATCGTTTCCTAGTCAGGGCCGGATTAAAACGTATTAAAAAATTTCTCAGAAAATACGACAGGGTCGTATTAAAAAAATATTGTAATTGACTAAAACTGAATTTTATTTACAACACTTTTGTCCAAACAAATGAATCGTTAACCGCGCATACTTCTCGAAAAGTAAAAATGAAAAATATTTCACTGTAGAGAATAGACAATTAAAATTAAAAAACATGCAACCAACAAAAACATGCCAGGAGTTACAAACCAGAATTAAAGAAATACCAATAAAATATTTATTGAACAATATAAAGAGGCTACGTACAAATTATGCCCATCAATGGGCGTAGCAAATTTTATTAATATTCAAATTTCACAAATTAATAAATCCACAATTTTTTTGAGAAACTTCTATTTTTTTTCATGGCAGGAAACAAAGTAGGTACCGCATTGATTGTATTTTATACGGTTAGAAAGTGAATTGGTAAACATTTTAAATTCAAAATGAACAGAACGCAACTTGTACTTTTTGTGGGCCTTATTTATATCTTCAAAATGTATTGTTAACTTATTTTAGATATACTCATTTTATTTACTTTTATAATTATATTTAAATTAATAGTATAATTATTTTTAAATTTAATTTTTAATGTCTAGATACAACATTAAATTTTACTAAATATTTAACATTAAATCTTACTAATATTAAAGTTTGTTAAGATTTTTAATTAGATCTTCCTTTTAGCTGAATGTCCTAATATGTATACTACTGTTTTTTTTTCACAACTAAAATATGTTAAAATAATTAATCACATATATACATACCTAATAGGATCTCTAGGAAACAGAAAGAAACTTTTATTGAACAACAAAAATAAAACTACTAAAACTAATTATATTACATTATAATAATAATAGCTCCCGTATATAGCGTTTGACGCCTTGGAAGTAGCAAGGTACAGCTTGCCATACTAGAGCCGTTCGGTATACAAAGGAAGGTAATGTGGCTAGCACTACGCTTCAACCGCCTATTATTTCTCGAAATTTCGCGTTACCTCAGGATTATGAATCCCAAGTACTCATTTAAGGCTGAGTCGACCTATGTACCCAAACTATTTTTATTTTAATAAAAATTGTCGGCTGATGAAATGCCGGGTGTGGGATTCGAACCCACTACCTTGAGATTGGAGAGCCTGTATCTCTACGCCACCGGGCACCTTTTAGCAATTATAATACATAAGAAACGAAAATAAAACTAGAAAACCCAAATATATCACATAATAAACAAAAATAAAACAACAAAAACAAAATATATCACTCAAGAAAAAATCAAAATAAATTAAGTCGCACGCTACTGACCCGAATCTGCCGTAACCTTGCCGTAACTGTGTGTTGTTGCTGAAAAAACTACGACACTGGTTACTTTCTGTTGATGGAAACGCAAATGGCGGCGTGCGCGAGGATATGCGCGTAGCGTTCCCGCCAAAGCGAGTCGGCCTGCCGTGTGATTTATATGCCGTGCTTTAACTTTAAAATATGTCGCATTTATAGTAACTTTTACCCTTAAAATTTCATTCGAAACGTTAAAAGTACTGGAAGAAAATTATAATAAATCGAAAAAATATCAAGACTTTAACACCCTGTAGCTACGAAACAAAGCAGAATCGGGCCTATGTTGATATGAAAAACAAATCTTATTTTATCTTTTTTGAAACATCCTGTATTAACTGTTTTCTCGGTAAGATTTATACTGTAACAATTATTTGAAATGAATTTTATTTCTTTCCTTACAAACTGCTTTATGTTGAAAAAGATGTGTAAAAATAATTGTAAATATGAAAATTTTAATATCAAAAGAAACATTTCAACTAAGAACGCTATATTTTGGTTGACTCTATACAGGGTGGTTCGAATTGTAATCGGGAAACTTCGGTAACCTGTTCTTCAGATAAAGATAAGTAAAAAACTTCGTATAAATTTATACGATGTACTTAAACAGCCGTTAAACGGTAGCCTACTAAAATGCCGTTAATAGATATTATGACGTCGTTGCATAAGTCGTTGATGTCGGCGGAAAGTAATGCCTAGCGATAGGCCTTTTGCAAGAGCATCTGTGGCTCCGTGACTGAGGCTATTGCTTCGTGACCGAAAGGTCCGTGGTTCAAATCTCACGCCGGACTAAGACTTTTCATATTATTTTTTGCTTATAGCTTGATCTTATTGCATTGGTTTCACTCTTTTTGTTTGGATTGGTTTAGTTATTTGGCGGGTTGGTTAGCGTGGTTATTTGGAGGGTGTTAATTCATTGGTTAATTGGTTATTTGGTGGGGTTGGTTGGTTTTTACTAATTTATATTTGTTTTTTATATTTTTTTACAAGTGTCAAGGTTAGTTGCGTTGGTTAAGTTGGTTATTTGGTGGGGTGGATAGCGTTGGTTAGTCCTTATAAAATGGCTGTACTTAAACTGCCGTTAAACGGTAGCTTACTAAAATGCCGTTAATAGGTAGACGTCGTTGATGTGACGCACTTGACGGCTTTATGAAATATATGAATTTTATAGGGACTAACCAACGCTATCCACCCTACCAAATAACCAACTTAACCAACGCAACTAACCTCGACACTGATAAAAAAATTTAAAAAACAAATATAAATTAGTAAAAACCAACCAACCCCACCAAATAACCAACTAACCAATGAATTAACACCCTCCAAATAACCACGCTAACCAACCCGCCAAATAACTAAACCAATCCAACTAAAAAGAGTGAAACCAATGCAATAAGATCACGCTATAAGCAAAAAAAATATATAAAAAAGTCTTAGTCGGCGTGAGATTTGAACCCCGGACCATTCGCTCACGAAGCGATAGCCTCAGCCACGGAGCCATAGGTGCTCTTGCAAAATGCTTATGGCTAGGCATTACTTTCCGCCGACATGAACGACGTAACAATATCTATTAACGGCATTTTAGTAGGCTACCGTTTAACGGCTGTTTAAGTACATCGTTTCATAAAACCGTCAAGTGCGTCTCATCAACGACGTCCTACCTATTAATGGCATTTTAGTAAGCTAC